GAGGTCACATATACCGCAATACTGAGTGCTACTTAATAATAATTGAATTGGGTCACTGGTGGAAGGCGGCTGCTGCAAAACAGCAGCCGCAGGTGTTTTCAGTTTGCATCAGCAGTAACTTCACACAACTTCAATACGGCTGTAGAAGTTATGTCTAAAAAAATGATAAGGCCAACAGTGCAAACCAGAACATAGTAGTGAAACTAAACTATACAGGGAGTTTAACACAGAACACTCTCAATAACAGTGTTTTCTCTATCACCAGCCACACATGTTGAGCAAATGAGTCAGGTACAATATACTACTTTGTTTTGATGCAGGTGATTGCACAGATTGGCACTGGTCACTATGGTGATCCTCTGCAGTGAAGCTGTAGTGGAAATGCTTGTGTTTACCGCTTAGTGTGGTATAACTGGATTAAAATAGGCTATCAAGGCTACTGAACGACGTGGGCGCCCGGTTAGCTCAGTGGGTAGAGCTGGCAACCCATGTACCGAGGCTGAGTCCTTGCTGCTTGTCATCCCCTCTCTTTGCCCCCATTTCCTGTCTGTCTTCGGCTGTCACTATCATAAAAGCAATAAAAGCCCCAAAAAATACTTAAAAAAAAATAAAAAATAACAAGAGGTAAAATAATAGGCACACTATAAACCCATCACTCTCACATTAAGTTGACATAGTGACACATATTGCCGAACAGATCTTCCAAGTTCAACCTGCAAATGTATTCTATCTTGTTGAGACAGTGTGCTGGCTTTTCAATTTCACATAGTTATGAACGACTGAACAATTATGGCATTCACTTTGTATTTTTAAATATGTTCAACATATTGTCTTCCTCACCATGGAGTGGTTTTCTATTTTATTAATTTGTGTTCTGAAAAACTGTGGTTCTTTAGCTCTACAGATTACCCACTCAACTAATGATGTTAATTTCTTTCTTAACTTAACCTCTGACAAAGGTTTATTAATCTGAAGCTGATATCTACCAAGCTTACTATTTTGACTCTTTTCAGGGGCAGCCGGTTTGTGATGATTCAGAGCCAGCCAGAGATGACGCTGACCCACAGGACCCATCACAAAACCATGCCAGCCCAGCCACACTGGAAAATGGAGCCACAACCTCATCCCCAAGTCAGACAGTCTCAGTTGGCGAGTCAGTCATTAGCACAAAGCCACAAGTCACCGAGACTTGTCAGGATGAAGCTACAGCTTCTGAAAGTGACTCTCAACCATGCAGTGAGGTGTCCCCTGGATCCGACATGTCTGTTTCCACAACACAGCCCTCCCCTACACCTGCCAGTGATAAACTGACAGAGGAACAACAATATGCTCCATCAGATATTAGTACAGAGAACAGTCCTGTGCAGATTCCTGCTGACAAGCCAAGTGACGTTCCTTCTGAGCTGTCTACTTCTGCGTCATCACCAACATCAACTAAAGAAACCAGCTCCACTGCACCTGAATCGTCCGAGCAAACCCCTCAAGAATGTGATTCAGTAGCAAAGCAGTCTGCCAGTGAACAAGCTAAAGATAAAAGAATCCATCGTGAGAAACAAAATCTGTCTGGGAGGCCAAAGGATAATGAAAATCACACCAACATTGAACTGCATACATTCACTAAGCAAACTGAGAGGAAAGAAGGCCAAGCAGCCAGAGATGAGAGAGACTGTAGCTCAGATAACCCAAATACTACAAAAACTGTGTTTTCTGCTGATCCATGTCCAGTAACAAAGGAAACAGCCAAAAGCACTGAGGTAGTTTCTGTCAAATACGTTGAGTTTTAACCCTTAAACTGACTCGAATCATTAGCTTATAACATATGGCTTATAATGTAGGACTACAGGATGATTAGCTGTAAAAATTATATAATAGATATTAGGCGTGTCAGAAAATAAAGAAAAATATTGTATCACAATATTTTGTTTTGTGATATTGTTTCTCAAAAACAATGTACATTTTTGTGTTTAAATCTGCAAATACTAGAAAGCAGTGTTGTAAACTTTTCTTTACACAGATTTTATGCTTACAATATTGTAATACATTAGATTAGATCCTCTGTTTCATGACCCCGTACCCTGTAGCCAATATGCCAATACACAGCCCATAAAGATATGGTAATAATCTAATCATATGGGCTTTATTTAATCTTCAACCTTTTATTTTTATCACAGGCTGTTGACACCAAATTAAATGAGAAAACAAGCACAAGCCTGACAGAGAAACAGGAACAGCAGCCACACAACAGGGTTGTAGATGTCTCCAGGTCACCAGTGTCCAACCACCCTCTCAGTCAGAGTGATGTGGCAGATAATATCTGGGAAGCATCCACTGAACATCAAGCACCACAAACGTAAGTTTTTCGTTTGTAACACATTTTAGAATATTTTTTTCTAATCTTAATCTAAATCAAATTTAATAACTAGTTTACTCTGGCTTTTAGTTATTGATTTTATTATTTCTGATGCAGTAACTGAGAGGCAAGTGAAATAAAAAAAATCTGGTGGTCCAAGTTTTATCTAAATTGCTTTCTCTCCTGTGTTTATGACTTAAAGACAGACTTAGAAAATGGATCACCAGAATTATTTTTCTTCACTTGCCTCACAAGGCTTCCATAGATATTGCTATCATAATAAAAATATTTTGATGTAGTATTATTAATTCTATAAATAAAATATGCGGTTAACATTTATATACTTTCTTTTCCAGTTTACCAAACAGTGAATATATGACAGTGTACTTCCATGCTGTCACTTCCAAAGATATTGATCCAGAAAATGATCTGATTTTCTTAATGTCAGAAAAATTGTGTGGAACATGGGATAAATGTGTCCTGGAAATGTCCTTCTCGAGGTATGACTTCTTTTGAAAAACATCTTCTTCACAATTATAACAAATAACTGTTTTGTCAACTTTCCACTAAAAACCAAGGAAATTAAATCAGACTGTGATTATGGACTTTACTTTTAGTTTTATTTATCTCATAGAAGGAGAGTAGCTATTATTTAGTTGATTGTTTGCTTTGAAAGGACTCATTTGTCACATCAGCCTGTCTCATCACTAATAATACTGTGAACTGTGTCTCACAGGCCACTAGGGGACAAAAGATATCTTGTTCAAGGACAAGTTAAAATTTCCAAGAACATCATTCATGAGATCATACCCTACAAATACTTCATTTTCAAGCATGGGGAAAAGGGCTCGTATGAGGCCATCTACCAGAAACATGGAGATCAAAATGTCAACAGGTGCCTGAAAATCAAAGAGGACTTTTTAACATGTGAAGGTAATTCAGAGTCACTTTGCTACACTTTGGCTGAACGGAAACGTCTATTAATGTTTACAGACTAGGGCCAAACTAATAAATCAACCAGGCAGATATGAGCCGGTATTAGTTTATTGCGGATACATTTTACTGGCATACATTTTGACTGATAACAAGAAATGACAGTAGCCCATACTGTAGATAGTAATGTACAAACTTTATATTAATTACATAGTTTGCCCACAAGAGAAAACGTTTATTTTAGGGCACCAAGGGGACAACAGATGTTTACCTCCAAACAGTAATGGTATAATCGAGATATAGATGTCAGATAAGCTATTGTATAGTATATTGTCTCATTCTCTGTATCAAATTAGCTGCACAGTATCTGCTAATATGTATTGTATGTAAAATCGTTTACTGATTATTTGAATTTTGGTAGTTTAGGCTCAATAGTCAATGTCAGTCCACTGCATCTAACATTACAGAGTAACTAAACCTTGACTGAGGGACAGACTGAGATAATTATTGTCTTATTTTAAAATGATGTGTGGCTATGAGGAGTGCCATCACGCCAGTATATTGTCTGGACTGGGGGCCAGAGACGTTACTGCTGCTGAAAGCACAAGTTTCATTTTGTGCAACCACATATAAATGCAGGTTATCTTTTCCAGGCAGTAGTTTATAAGCCCGGCTGCCCTCTTGTTGTTTATCAAATGTAATACATAGTTCTATTACACCCTTAATTTAGTTAGGAATAAAATAACGGAAGTGTCTTGAGGACACAGACAGACAGAGAGCTGAACTGTCAGCTGTAAGTGTGGACAGAGATGTTAACGTTACTGTTATACTGAAGAAAACTCATTGTTCCCACAATTCACTCTCACTCTTTTTCTGTCAAATAGTCTGTTCATCGTCCCGTTAAAGTCGTAAACACTAATACCCGCTTTGACATGAGCAGGAGATGGGGTCCTTGCTCTGATTTTTACATATGGTTTGGCGTACCATTTTAAAGCCTTCTGTCCAGTTGTTAATCTGTATCCTAAACTCATGAATTTCACCTTTCTTGGAAGAGGACAGATAGAATGAGAGTTCAAATGTGTGTCTGTTGTAAATAGTTGAACAAATTCAAGGATAAAGCATCAAAAAAGAAACGTGTAATTACTATTAATTTTGTACTGTTTGACTTTCAAGGAGAGTGGCACCAGTATGATGATGTGATCCATCTGGAGCTGAAGAAGAATTTCTTGCCTGGGAGATATTCGATCAAAGAAGTTGTAGTGAAAAAGAGAGACCTAGCTGGCAGAGTGATGCTGGATATCATCTTTGACCTTCTTACAACTTGGAATGAACCAAATGTGGACAACTTCTTTCTCCTGCTACAACAGTTCTTCTATACATACAGCTATCCTGTACTCCATGATGGCAGGGAAAGGCCGTGGGAATTAGCATATGGCAGTAAACAGGTAAACAGGGATTTATTCTAGAACAGCATATGGTCCCCTAAAAATGTATGGAAATTGAATTAATAAAAAACTGTTTCCAGTAACAATACCATCCGAATATAAGTATTACACGCTGGTTATTAATTTCTTCCATTGCTTCTTCTAGGTGGAAATCTTGCTGAGATGTGCTCTGAATGAATACATAAAAACACAATCCCTCAGCTCTGAGAAAAAAACACCTGACAACCCTGCAAACAGGAATTGTCAGTTTGCTCATTTACTATAAGTATCTGAAAGACGACGTGATCGATCAACTACCTAGTCTATGTGATCTTCTTTGCCTGCCTTATAAACCACAACACCATTTCCCCCTTTTCTGGGAAAACTTTGCAGGCCCTTTAGCGAATCAGAGGTAAGAGGTAACCAATGTCAGTGGTTTAAGTTAGCCTAAAATAGTAAATGTTACAGATTATAATAATGACAATAAAGATTATAGTTGAGAGATGAGTAATAGAAAAGTAAACAAGAAAAAATAATAAAAGCTAAATGGAGGGTATTGGTCCCACAGTGGATAAATCTATATACTGTATGTCTTGAACTGTAGTTTGAATGGAGCTAACGGAACCTTTCACAAGTACTGACTTACACAGTCAATGTACTTCTGCTTTCACGCAATGTAAAGATGTCAGCTATATCTTAAAGGTCCAGTGTGTAAAACTTCAAACTCAGCTATACCCTTAAAACCATGCAAACCATTGGCCTTGTTTGTCAAAAGACTGTATTAATCCTGCAACACCCCTTGTGGCAGTAATGCATCATTTCATTGCTTACCAAAAACAGTGTCATTAAATAAAAAGAGAAGAAGAGAAGATGAAAGTGTTTTTCAATTGTTTTGACACTTCAGTGTAAATGCTGAAAACTAACTTTACTAACTTAACTTGCTGAAATTGAACTTTTACACATAAACAGCAATAGCCTTGACCATGAAAGTATACAAAATACATTTTGCTTATAGTGTTGCATCCAATACAAATCTGACACAATTTACCATATGCCTCAACAACATATAGAGTACAAACAAACCCTAAGGATGTATATTATAACTTTTCAACTTCTACTTTTTTCCTCCTAAATATAATGAAACTAAACACCAACTTCCCCACTGGTATAGAGTTGCTGATGCTGTTGAGATGATGTGCAACAATGCTAGACAACACCATATTGAGAAGTGGGTCTTGGTCATCCCTCTGGTTCACCTACTGAAAGGAGAAAGTAAGCCATTCGAGCCAGTTCCACCTGTCTTGAATCCACAGTTTGACTCCTGGACAGGCTTGAGGGGGAGCAACGTCTGTACGGACAGTAATGCAAAGTATGGAAGCATTTCTCTACTATAAACACCTAAGCACATGTACAGACCCTTTTGAAAGACCTAGAGTAAATGTTGATGACATTATGTTGAAATTTAGTTAAATTCATTGTCTGTCTTTTTATTGTTATTATTTTTTACCCTCACCACCTGGTAATAACTAGCAACTCTGTTTTTGAATTAGTGTGATCCAGATCATAAAAGGCCATGAATATCTGGCAAACATTGATCGTCTTCTTGTGCACTCTTGGATGTCTCTGCTGCCTGCACATGATTTAACAAGCTTCTTATCCAGTATGAGGGTTGAGCTCCTAGACGTTCTTCAATACATGCAGTTCAATATTAAATCTGGAACAAACTTCATGGTATGTATCATTAAAGCAGCTGTAATTGTTTTTTAGGATTGTGTATCAAATGACAATGTTAAAACAATACGACCATATGAAAGGGGTTGCTTATAGTGATGAACTTCTGAATTAATAAGAAATTAAGAACTATCACCTGACTCTGTTATTTGTTAAGCTGCATAGTCCTCAGATTTACTGTTCTGTTTCATTCTCCACCCTCATAGCAGTGATTTTGGCCAGTCAGAAAGCTTGCTGTACACTACCTGCAATGTATTGCAGATTCATAAATAAGCTACCACTTATCAGAATCACTGTATGTCTTTAAATTACATGTGTTATATCATTTGAACAACAGGTTTTCAAAGAATTGGCATCTCAACTCATTGACAGAGAAAGCCATGGCAGCAGAAGGTAAAAAAAATAATATGTCACTGTGACACACTGTGTTGGGTCATATTACTTTGAAATGTTATCAGTTACTCAATACAAATTACATATGGGGCTAAAACAGTAACATCATAAACAACTGTTTATTTGTGTGCAACATATTTCACTCTCTCTTTTTAGGGACAGAACTAAAACCAGAGCAGCCTACGTTTGGTTATTGAGAGCAGTTAGAGCAAATTAGTTTTCCCACTATGCGTGTCAAGACTGAATATAACTTTCCTGTGGAATAAAATAAATGTAACAGCTGATCAGCACTTCTGATTGGTATTTATAGAAACCACCGATCAAACTAATTAGAACGAATATCGGCCAGTAAAAAAAGTTTTATAATCTATTGGATTACAAAACATTTATTTAATCTGAATACTTTGGATTACTTGAAAATCAAACATTTCTAAAAAAAAATGGACACAGCCAGAAAAATGTGAGTTCCAAAATATTCTATTTTCTCTTTAAACATCAAAACATTTTCATTTCATTTAGTTTATTCAGCATTTATAGTTGCACAAATCAAATTAGAAAGTTTCTCAAGACATTTTGAGCCTGCTTGAATGCTTGGTATCCCGAGAGAGAGAAGATACAGTTATTGTTTGGGAATTTATTTTGAAAATAGTATATCTGTAGTTTCCTGTTAAAATACATTTACTTTCTGGGGATTTTTGAAAAAATAGTTGCATCCCTTGCCTCCTGTTATGAAACCATTGGGGTCTTTATTTTGTAATAAATCATCCTGTTAAAATACAGTTACTCTATGGGGCTTTTATTTTGACAGAAGAGCTTCAGCCATTCCCATTAAGATACAAATACTGTTTAGGGCTTTTATTTTTGTGAGAGGAAGTGGCGATGCATCATCTGTCTTTATATGTGCATGTCTGTGTGCGTGTCTCTTAGTGAGACAAAAGATAAAATGTCTGACATTAAAAGTGGATCAATTAGAGTAACCCGTCGTGATAGATTTTAATTAAGTCAGCTTTGATCATTTAACCCCAGCAACCAGCTGATCTCAGCTGCTTAAAAATAGTCCATCATTAATCCACAAATCAGAGCAGAGGAACATCAGGTGTGTCTGTGTTACTGAGACAGAGGGTACATCTTAAGTCTCCTATTTGACATTTCCTCACTCCCTGATCCATGCTTGAACCGAAATCTTGTAGGCTGTCCCAAAGCACTTATTTGTGCACTGAGGGTCGAGGATCAAGGATCGGAGGAGCTATGAGCAAGGATCCACGGGAGCAGCCTTCATGGTCTTTTACCGACCGACAAGCCCCTTTATTGGATATCAGTTATTTGACTTGATGCTGCAGTTCATCAGACTCAGCACCGTTTAATATGATCATATTAATGTAAAAAGAAATTACATAAAAAAATCGACATCATATTTTACATAATTTATCGTAATTTCCATTCAGTCACATGAGGCTCAAAATTCTTGATTCAGGTTTGATATGAGTTACGTCATTTTAATTTTCCCTGAAGCATTTAGCCTAATAAATACTGATATACATGGAAAGGTTTAAAAGACACCATGGTCATATTCTGGGTTATTAAATAATGAATTTACAATCATAATATTTAAATGATAATATAAAGGCATTCTGCCAGTAGAAAATATTCCTGTGCCTCTTCTGTCGGGCAGCGCAAGCTTGTCTTTATTTATTCTGTGTTGTGGATGTAGCCTATGAGTGTTTTCTTAATTTACAAATGAGGATGCTTTTAGTAATTTTAAATGTTTTTTATGCACACATTAATGTCAGTGCAGCAAATATCATTGAACAGCAAAATTTAAAAACTCTCCAGAGGAAACAGAGGATATATCAGGAGGACTATTTTACTCTAAACAATTTTCCTGTATGAACCTGGACCGTGTGTAGGAACTTTTGGAGATGTAAAATAACACAGAACATTAATTAACATAAGATCTGTCGGCGTGCCAAAGATGTACCAATCAATGCAGCTGCTGTCTCTCTAATGGGAAGAAACTTCACAATCCGTCTGCTATTAATCACAATGTTATCAATGCTATTTTTTCATCACTATAATACAGGTTGTTGTTCATGTGCAGGCGTTAAACAGGTAACAGGCTGCGATTAGTACCGTTAACATGTGTGCAGACAGAAACTCCACCAAAAGTCTAAATAGTTGTTAAAGCTGGCTGACAGCAGATCCAGCTGTGATCAGCTGTTGCCACCATCAACCGTTATCGTTTCATGTGACATTACAGTGGAAAGGACGTCTCAATTCTCTAAAAACACATTTGCTCGTTCTTTCTTTCCTTCTCGTTTTCAGTTGTTCAGCTTCTATACACTCTAATGATGGTACCACACACTCTAGCTCAGAAAATCCCATCCATAAGCAAACAATTAGGCCAAAACTGTGTGCAGTTTTTAGCGATTCGCACAAAAAGTTGCTAACAAAACACATAGTGCACTTGGGTTGTCGACCATTCAGAGGCTGTGTTCCTGAGTTGTCGACAAGCTGTGTGGGCATGTGTGTGGCAGCTCTGATCTCAAACACACATTGCATAATGGAATAGCATGAGATTTACCCAATTGCTATATCAAGATTTATTTTTTATTTTTTGTGTAATCAGTTACTATCCAACACTGACAGTATCTGTGTCGTAATGTCTATGAATTTCAGTACATATCTTATTTTTATCCACAAACAACAATAACCAAAATATCTGTCCCATAGTTTTGATGACACATATGGAGAGTGTTGCCTGAAAACTGCAGCAATGCTTCTTGGTTCTATTTGCTGTCACACAACAAATCCAGACCACAGTGATGTTCCTATTTGCTTCCTTAATCTGGTCTGTCTGATTGCCAAGATATATGATCCCACCTATTCCCAGGTAAGACTCACTTCAGTCTGTTGGAGAGACCACACCTTTATGTATCCATACTAAGTCATAGTAGAAGCTTGAAATGCTTGGAGCAGTTCACAGCAACAGCTTCAATCTTTTATTTTGTCTATCATATATAGAGGAAAAATATATTTAGACTGATGGTTTGATAAATTTGGGAATGTGTTGTGTGTTGTGTGTTGTGTGTCCTAACTCCAAACATTTGAATGTCCTCATTAAAAGCAAGATACACTGCAAAGCTGAAAATACAGACCTTAGTAAGACCTTAGTCTTAATGCTTAAATGCAAGAAGAAGAAAAAAGGACTATGTTAAAGTTGATTGTGTAAATTGTATTATGTAAAAGAAATTCAAAACATAAAGATGACCATAGTAACTTGTAACTCCTGTTTAAGTCAAGAGAGCGGATTTATGAAGAGTCAATCGGGGAAGCATTACAAACAATGACGAAATGGCAGAGACAAACCTTCGGAAACAAACTGCTTAAGGAATGCAACCGTATGCAGTTTTTTGTACCCCGTGAAATTACGGTAAGCAGAAATGAATAGCACTAATGTATACTGCCCTACAAAGGCAAACCGCAGTAACTACAGTTTTTGGTAAAATGGAGCTATGACTCAAATTGAGCTTGTAAATGTCTGTTTTTATCTAACAACACATTCTCTACATTTTCAAAAGTTCATTCTTGCTCTATATAGAAAAAACCTAAAAAAAAAAAATATGCAATTTCCACATTTTTGGGGTCACAAGTAAAATAATTGTTAATGATTTTTAATACATGAAAAGTACTAAATAAACATATCTGTTGTTCTGCTTACAATATAACGCATTTGGCTAGACAGTAAACAAAATGTTATTGTTAACGTAGTTTGTGGTTAGCCTTTGTAGTGAAATATTGGTTGTTATCTGTTATACTTAAACTGTTACATAGCTGACCAACAATTAAAAATTCTTCTGTTTCTTTTTTAGGTATGGGAAAAGTTACTCTCATTATCCTTCAAAAATGATGAACACACATCATTCTGGAGAACCACTTTCATGGCGGATTTTGAAAGAAAACTAAATAAAGTAAGACTGGATTTGTGTTTGTCTTAACATGATTACATTTGCATTTGAGGAAAAACAACTGAGGACATGTGCTTGTGTGCTAGGAACAGCCAGTGGATCAGATTGGAATATACTGTAGCAAGATGGAAGAACTGAGCAAGACAAGTCCATTGCTATGCAGTGCAATGGAGAAATGTGCATTGGAGGCGATTGAAACGATTTGTCAGGTAATATTTTGATGAGGGTGAAAAAGCTAAGTTAATAAATGCTTTGTCATCATATAATGTAAATGTCAGTGCTTAAGAATATATTTCATGAACAATTACTATGAAGCAGTTTATAGCTGAATTTATGTGTATGTATGTTGGTGTGAATTTAGATTAATGGTGCCAAATTAAAATTAGTTAGTTGCATGTAAAGACAGTGTCTGTGTGAAGCATACCATTAACTAACATCATCTTAAGGCAATATTATATATAGTGTATAGAATTTATAGATTATAGATAGATAATAGATTAGATTTCTATTATATTTGTATTCAATATTTTGTTTTATTTTATTTTACTTGCTATTTGTATTACATTCCCCTATGCTGCTGTGCCTAAGCTTGATTTTTTTCTATGGGGTATCAATAAAGGAACATCTTATCTTATCTTAAGTAACTTTTACATTACTTTTAACTAGGGATGCTCGATATTGGCTTTTCTGCCGATATCCGATTTTCCGATATTGTCCAATTCTCAATTTCCGATACCGATATCACCCGATACCGATATATGCAGGCTTTTTACACCAAAACTGTTAGGTAACAACATAACATATCTCCTATTGTGGAATTATATCAAAAAGGACACGCAAGCAGATATTTGTTTGGTATGATCCGGTTTTAAATTTTAATGTTTTTCCACCAGATTACATAAAGGTGCATACACATACAACATAGCTAATAATAAATATACAAGATACAGCTCATGACAATGTGCCCTTCCAATTCAGATTACATAGGTCTAATAAACATCATACAGAAAGTGTCCTTAATGTTTTTATCTGGATAAAAAAATGCAGCACCTTATGTTTCATATGTATAGGCTTTGCCTTGGCTTGGAAATGCTGAAGCCTACAGAACAAACATTGGTTATTAAAACCCGATACCGATAATTCCCAAAATTACATTTTTAAGTGAATATCGGCATCGACATCCCTACTTTTAACCCTTAATTTCTCTTATGAATTCACAGAGCTGTAAGCTGTTTTATTTTAGTCTTACTGTGGGCCAAAACATCTTTATTATATCTTAATGTCTCTGGTAAACAGGAGGATTAATGGTAAAGATGACCCACACGGATATAAACATTAATTGAGCTTTGCTACAGTACTTTGTTAAAAAAATTATTATTTTAAGAACAAACTGAACTGTCTTGGTCAACCATTTCTGAAGTTAGATCATAAACTGAAAAATCAACGTACCTGAAAATACATTTCATTAATTATAATTGTGTTATTTAATTTGAAAACATAATTAGTTACAGTAGTAGTTACCACCAACAATAGTGGAATTACGGTAACATGTTACTCCCAACACTGATGAAAACATACCTACAAATATTATATCTCATTTCTGCCAACAGATCCTCCAATTTTAGACACTGGATCTTTAATTAAATATTTTCTTCAAGATTTGGTACTTTCCTCTGATGCACCTATATGACTGTGAACTTTTTTCTCAATCTTCTTAAGAAAACATGACAGGAAAAACAATTTTGGCTGAAATTTACCAGTCTCTCCTGATGGTGGTGCAACATTGAGTATTTGTGCATGTTTTTTTTCATGCGATTTTTTTCTCTTTAGGATAAATCTGCTGTTTCAGCTCTATTGAAGAAACATGATATCACAAAGTCTGGGAAGTTGATGTCTGTTATTTTGCTGAAGACATGGCCCAAAGATGAGAATGGACATTACATTGAAGGCCAGGACTTGATATTTGAGTACCTTGTAAATTGGCCCATGGCCGAAACTGTCTTCCAAATGACAGGTAAATACTTTTAACGTATAATGTTAATAGTATAGTAATACCTAAAGAAAGAAAGTCTGTCATAGTAAAATGTTTTTGTAACTGCTTTTATTATTGGTTGTGTACATAGCTCATTTATTCATTTATACTTGTTTATGTTATTTATTTACTAGGAAAACTGATGGACAAATTGTCAGATGATGCGCAAAACAGGCTGACTTCTGCAAGTTCAGCATTAAAATCGGTGTCAGAGAAGTTCCTCAGTGGAGAGATCCAAATTAAAACTTTAAACCAAATACTCCAGAAAGAATGTGAATTTATAAACTTGCTGAAAATCGGTGAGTAAAATTTACTGTTTCTGTTATGCTCTTCTCCTCTCATCTTCTTTCTTATTTTTTTCTTCTTTATCTATTCTTACTCCAGCTTGTACCTATAAGGTGAAATTGTAATTCAGCTTCCAGGGCACATTGATCCTTAAGTTTGATATCATGAAATCATGAAAAAGAATTAGTTCAGTCTTCCTCAACTATATCAAGTGCATAAAAAATTATGAAATAAATTCAGTCCTCTCCATTTGTGTTGTAGTAGTATTGGAATGTGCTCATGACAAGGTACGTTTTATCAGTCTGTTTTCTGGGAATAATTGACACAAGCAGAAACCAGAAAACAAGCCGTTTTTTTCGTTTTGTCAAAAAAATGAAAATCAAAAGTTCAGCTCGTTTTCTCGTTTTCTCGTTTTTTTGGTTCTTACTTAACAAAACAAATTTACCACTCAATATCTTGTTTCCGTCGTTGGGCGGGTCCTCTGATTTGCTAGTGTGTTTCGTTGCCCTGTGCTCTTCAAAATAAAAGTTCTTCTGTTTGATAATGTCGGCAAAAATATTACTGTATTATAGACACTAGCAGACACAGAGAACCCCATCACCCACAGGCTCTGTGTTCATAATCCGGCTCAACAAAACCTAAAGCCCCGGTCAGAGTTAACCGGCTCTGAGCTTTGCGCTCTGTGCGCGTTCACATCAAAGGAGCTGCGATCGCGGGCTGCTGATTTCCTCACAGCCTGAGAGCTATGAGGAATACAAGTGATCACAACAAATTTCTGACAGCTGAACATTGCGTATCTGTTGACCTTTATCCATTTACAGTCAACAAATTATAAATTTAAATGTAAATTTTTCTTGTTGAAAGATATTTTATATTGTTTTCATATTATTATTTACTGACGGTGATTTTTTAATTCTACTACTGTGTTCATCTAAGTGCTTATGTTCTCCTAGATTGCCTCTGTGATGATGGTCGTTGTAAAGATCCAATAAACATTACAACATTACTGAACCTAAGAAAACAGGAAGCAGACGCTGTCCATTATGGGAAAGAACTGGTCGAGGGTCTTCTACAAATCTCCCAGGAGCTTCCAAAACATGTCAGAGGTAGGCAGCACTGGGAGACTCAGAGCAAAAATACGATTTCATATTGAAGTTTATTTTACAAACCTAGTCTTACGGTAAGGATACTATGTTATGGTGTAGTTCATTATCATGTTATTTCTTTCAGAATTATATATGTTTGCATATACTGAACAATTACTGGCTCCCGATTCAAATTATGATGTATGTAATATATCTATAATGTAATGTAAGTGTCGAGGCCACAAAAGCACATAGTTTGAATAGGGGTTAAACACAGTTAAAGTAAATATATTGTTCAGTTCATTTGAAATAGGCTATGGAGTCAAAAAGGCACTTATTTAGGGAAGGCACAAATCAAGACCAAGGGTAATATTGTACATTGAAGCCACAGCCATATTGATGCTAACTGAACTATAGACTATTGGAAGGGTTTGCAATTTTTTGTATTTTGTACTATATTTCTTTGCTATTTTCACTGATGTACGAAGAATTAGGATGTATTCACACCTGTTTCCTTTGGAGAAACTAAGAGTGTTTACCCACATTGCAAAGTGTGTGACAGTGATCCAATAGCAATAAGCACTGAATCATTGCTGTACAAGACGACTCCTTTTCATCCTTTCTCTGCCTGTTCTACCTGACCAAAACTATCAATAGACTCCCCTCACTTGTGAGTAAGGGGGTTGTTTGAACCAAGCTACTTTTCATCCCCTGAAGTAAAATCATACATTTGCCCAGTTCCAAGCCTGTGGTTTCTCTGCTGCTGGCCCTAATTCTGTTCGACAAGGTCAGGATTTCATTTGATCTGACAGGGCTTTAGTAATACTTGCTACTCTGTACATTGAAAGGGACCTGTGAAGAAGATCTTGGATTCTGATTGTACATTTAAGACTGAGAGGAAAATGGAAGTGCCTGTATATCCATATACATTCTTAATATATTTTTAATCCACAGTTGACCTCAAGGGGTTGGACAAAATACTTCATCAGAACATTGAGATGATGAATCTGAATGAATTTATGAAGGTTCACACGCTTGATGGACAGACCTCTCCTGCAATAGGGCAGGTCACTTTTTTTAACCTTTGTGATATCACTCGTCAAATGGCTTCAGAACTGCATGTCATTAAAGACAGTGCGATCTTCAAAATGTGCTGGAAAATAGAAGTGGAAGAGTTGTCAAAAGTGCAACCTGATACAGATGACAATGAACATCAAGATGCAAATGTGGAAATCTACACTCTCGACCTGGTCTACAGCAAAATATTCCAGAGCTGCTACAATAAGTATAAAGGGCTTTATGGTGGTCTGAAGAGTGGGGAACTGTTACTGGAAGAAATAGACAGCATCTTTGAGGACTATGAAGTGAAGCACTTGCAGGAAGAGTTTGACATCATGTGCAGAACAGATCCATCTGATAACAGAAAATGGACCAAAGAAAGAATTCAGCAGATTCAACATTATCATGAACTTCATCTCGCAATGGAATCTGCCAAAATCATCATGGATATCAGGAACACAATATGTCCAGAAGGAGACTTCAATGTACTGGATAAATTGCTGCAAATGGTACGTTTCCTAATAATGTATAGTTAGCAAAAGCAGATTTGTCTGATCTGGTCCTCACCTGTAAGACATTTACAACAAACCTACTGACATGGCTTCATTCAGTAGGGAGAAACTGTGAGGGATGCTTTTATTTGTATAAAATAAAAAAATATTTTCTGGATACACATGGTATCTGCTATTCTACTGTACACATTTTTGTGCTGTGCTATGATGAAATACTGAAATACTTCAGTACTGAAAACTACATGCATTGAAATGTGAAATGGAAATTGAAATAACTTGGACTAAACATTTACCCACAGTCCTATATCATTTAGATAAGAGTTTGAGGAAAATGTACTTTCTATAGTAATAAACCTTGATGACAAAGAGGGGGTTTTTTTTATAGCCATCTAAACTTGAATCATGAATCATACACTCAACAATAGTAATCATAATGTAATTTTTTTTTCAGAATCAACCTGACTACAAGAAAAGCCTGAATTGCATAGATGATACCTTCATAAAGGCCAAACAGATTCTGATGGACATTACAAATGATCGCAGGGAATGTCTTCAGAAACTCAGTCAGAGCCTAGAGTTCGTCCAGTGGGTTAATAAAGAACTTGAAGGTACTGTACAGTAGATACCATTTTTTGTTACCAATAGTTGAACACCATTATTTGTATAAACTTAAGGAAATTTCTAATTGCAGATATCAATGAGCTGAAAGTTTTTGTTGACCTGGCATCCATCTCTGCTGGAGAAAATGACCTTGATGTGGATCGAGTGGCCTGTTTCCATGATGCTGTCCTTGGTTACTCATCCATGTTGTATGGATTGAAACTGGACTCTGATTTTGAGGCCTTCAAGGAGTCATTGTCAAAATTGTGGAAAGCACTTGAAAATGACAGAAATATACCAAGAAAGCTGGTGAGATTCCACCCTTTATGTTACCACCATACTGTAACTAAATTAAAAACAAAACTAAGCACAATCTAAGCAAAACCAATGAAAAGTAAATCAAATCATTCATACATATACGTACAATACATTCAACATTTTACACAAATACTTTGGGAAAAGTAAAAAAATATGTTTCTTCAGAGGGGAGATAGGCTACCTAGTTTGTCATGCATGCCAGATCCTATTCAATCCAAAACATTAAAACACAGTCAGAATAATTTTCTTTGGTATTGTTTTGTATCTGATTTCAGCGGGATACTGCACGACATTTGGAATGGTTAAAGACTGTAAAACAAAGCCATGGATCTGTTGAATTTTCATCACTGTCCTTGGCTACATCCATCAATGAGAAAGGGATATACATCATCAAGGCCCCAAACCAGATAAAGGTAAATGGACTACGTGAAATTAATGCATACATTTTAAAGAACGGGACAAAATATTGTCAGTGAGATGAAAAATTATTGTGCTATCAATTGTGGTATTAAAGTGCAAAGACATCAGTTTTATTTCATAAAAGTAACTATGGATTGTCTTGTACAATTTATATCCTACCTCAAATAATTTGATGAAGAATATATAACAGTAAATATATTTTGTAGATTTTTTCTTTTTCAGTCGTTATTTGTATGTAATATAATTTTGTTTAAATTAGTTTTTTTGAGAAATCGTGTCATGAACCCAGTATTGTGAATTGTATCAAATTGAGTAGGTTTATCGCTACATCCCTGTTTGTAACAATTATTGTTAACGTTTCATCATAATACATTTTTTGTGATTTAATTTAAGGGTTAAATATGAAACTTTAAAAAATAAATATTCTTTGAACACTTGCTGCACAGATAATCAACCTTTGAAGTCGAGTGTGTTAAGATTTAGGAGGATCTATTGGCAGAAATGCAATGTAATATTTAATAATGATGTTTTCGTTACCTTAGAATGAGTCTTTTATATCTATAGACGCTATGGCTGCCATGTTAAACTGCAGTGTTTCTACAGTAATCCATAACAGACAGATCAAACACTGGCTCTAAATAGTCTCTAGTTGCAATCTGCAACTACACTGTTAGATGACACTAAATCCTACACACTTGTCCTTTATCTAGAATAATTTTACCAGTAAAAATCTAAGTATAAATTAACTAAATTACATTGGCTTTTCTGGTCTTGTGCATGTGATGATAGTTTTTAGGTCTAATAACTTCAAATAAACACTAATGTAGTCCATGACATATTGATGTTTCCCTTCCCTTTCCTTATAGTTCACTTTAGAGACTTCCCTGATGCTGGAAATTCAGGAAGAGAAAAACATGACATGCACCTATGAGGACCTGAAAGAGCTGCAAAATAAACTTATGCTCATGTCTGGAAGAGGGGAACAAAATCAGACGGAAGTGGAATGCTTCACTGAGGTGTTGTATATTAACTGTATATTTTTGTGATTGAAATCTCACATATCTCATATCACACATGGGTTAAGTCTGCAATCAGTGGGATGTTTAAAAGTTTTGTTTTAAAAATAATAATATATATATTTTTTTACATTGCCATTCATTTCACTTTATCGTCTCCATATACAGGTGTTTGACAATGTCCAGAGACTCGCCAAGGCATTCATAGACATTAATGCTGCGGGAAACCCACTCTTCAGGTGTTGGGAAGCTAAGATTTATTGCAAAACTCAGAGTGACCCATGCATCATTATGGAAATCAACTTTTGCAAGACCCTGCATCACATCCAAGTATGTGGAAGTCTAGTTGAACAACTTACAGCACTGTCCCAGAAAATGGAGTGTTTTCTTGACGACTGGAGGAACTTCATGGACAAACAGAGATCTGATCACTACTACTTAAACTACTTCACAGCAGAACAAATATTGTACCTGTGCAGTGTTTTGACTCCGACAAATGTTAATGTAGAAATAGAGGACAATGCTTTAATGATGTTCTCTTTTATCAAACCAAACTGCACAACAACAGATGTCTGGAGCACATGGAGAAGGTTTCACAACCAATTTGAACCTGGCAAAAAGACTAATGAAGATGTTTACTTTCAAAGTCACTTTCTCCACCAGGGTGACAGCAATATGTCTTCAGCTAATGTGAGTCACTTAACAGCCAATGATCCAGAAGACAAGGTAGACCAGACTGTTGGTTTGAAAGAACTGGAAGAGTTGTGGAATGGATACATGAAGAATAAGGAGATATTTTTTCATGACCTTTTGGACATAAGGAGTTTAGGTGTTCTGTTAAAAATGATGACTGTCACAGAAAACCAAAATGAAAATGAATTGGAAGCACCAATACTTTCAGAGACAGAAGACAATTCACTCAGAAGAATTCTTCCAAAAGGCCTCTCCCCAAACCAACCTAATCTCATGATCTGCCCACACGATGAGGTCCTGGCTTCAAGTATCTGCTTGTACATGACCACTGACCACGAGCAACTACCAAGTTATGATGAGGTTCTTTTGTGTACGCCTGCAACATGTTATGAGCAAGTGGAGCTTTTTCTGAGGAGATGTCTCACACCAGGGGACATTGGCCAGAAGATTTACACAATGCTCTGGGCAGACCAACTAACATATGATGTTAGCTGTGCGATGGAGGAGTGTTTTCAGAAACTGTGTTCCAAGTTTAAACATAATTACAGGCTAGTGATCTATTGCAGCTCTGACAGAGAGCACACTTACATTCCTACTGCATTCAGTCAGTTCAAAAGAGACTTTGTGCCACAAGAGCCATTGGAAAGGATCCAGAAGTACTTATCCAGGCATTACACTGTCCTCTCAGATCACAAGAATGCTGTGTTCAAAGGTGGCCACTCTGTTGGCATTGTTGCTTCCAGACGTGCAGGAGTTGGTGAGTCATGTGCAGTAGTTTTCTTTACTAAAGTACTAATTGTACTAATTTAGTTTCTGTGCCCATATAAGGGAATTCAGACGGGTAATCAACAATAATTAATCTGTGCATTTGTCAAAGTTTCTGCTGAAGATGAAGAGAATTTGCAGATTTTTTTTTATCATACATTCAGTTTGTCTACTCATTGGGATGTCTTTTTAAAACATTTGTGTGCTCCCTTCAAAATGGGTGATATGAGAGCAGTCTTATTGTAAATCTAAGGCCATTTACGCCTGACATTAACATGCATGTTGGCTGATCAAATCAAATGTGAACAGCACTAAATACGTCAGTTCACACCTTCATTAGAATGCGTCTTGTCTACTTTGAATTGCCACCACCTCCAAATGTGGTGTGATCGATTGCGTCTTTGGTGCATTCATACCTGTACTTTAGCTCTGTCCACTTGTGATCTTACTTGCCTTTAGGTAACTACTAGCATACCCAGTTTTAGGTTATGAATTTAAGTCATGTAGTACAATGCGTTAAACTGTGTCTGCAGTTTTGAAATATTTAACTATTTCAAACAATGATGCTTAGATAAAAGACTTTTATCTATGAAATAACCTTTAAAAGTACATAGGATTATTTCCCTGAAATCAGTTATACAGCTTTTATTATTGAAAACACAGAACAGAATCAAATTGATCTTGTTTTATGCCTTATGGGAACAAAATTGTCGCTTCCTGATTACATACATATACATACAATGAGATACATTGCATGAATATTCCACTCCACTTATTGATGCCATCATGTCAGTCAACCAAATTATATATTGTCATTTCTCTATTTTAGGCAAGTCATTGTATGTCCAAAGTTTGTATGAAAAGTTGAAAGGAAGTGTTGAACAAGGAACTGCATTTAAGAAGTGCATCCGACTAACTGAACATGAGGTTGATGACCAAAATGTTATCCAGGCTTTGTATGACACACCAAATGAAAAAGATCTCATGGTGTTTCATTTTGATGTCACATCCTCGGTAAGCAATGTTTATAACTTTATAAGTTCTTTGTAATTTTTTTAACAATGTGATTCTCATCCTAAAGATGGTCAAAATGTGCTTCATCCAATATAAGTCCTCATAATATATCAATATATTCCTAATAAGATTTGGATAAGATTTTCTAATAATGCACATTATAATACTTAGGTGCAAAAAGGCTTGAATGAATTCCTATTCAAGCTTTTCTTTTTGCGGTACCTGATGGGTTCAGATGGACGGATGTGGCACTGCAGCCACAAACACTTGTACATCATTGAGATACTGGAATCAACAAATCATCAGCCCAGATCTGTAAGTTCAGATTTACTGTTTGTGCATTTTTCATCTTATGTAATCATGTTAAATAATTATTTCATACTTGATTATTGATATTATTGTGGCATCTTTGTCCAGTGAAATGTGAAAACAGATTTTCAAATAACTAATGTGCATTCTTAACTGAATATATCTATTTGTATATGTTTAGGGACAAAAGGAAAACTATGCGTTCTCAGACATTTTCCCTAAGGTGTATTGTTGTCCACCAAAGGAGGTTATGGCTTTGGAAAGGAGGAGAGAGGAAAATGCTGATATGGAGAGTGACGCCCCCTCTCATGGATGATGAATGTTTTAGGAGTGAAGCTTATCAAAGAACATACCAGTACCTCACACGTTTTTACAACAATGACAATCTTGACAACTTCACATACCGGGGCATTGAAGGGACTCATGCAAAGTGTATTCAGATACTCTTAATCTACTGTGGCATTATAGATCCATCATGGGCAGAGCTACGTAACTTTGTCTGGTTTCTTAATCTTCAGTTAAAAGACTGTGAGGAATCAGACTTCTGCAAAGTTGAATTTGTTGGAGACACTCTTCGTGGGTTCAAAAACTTTGTGGTTGAGTTCATGATCTTGATGTCGAAAGATTTTGCAACCCCATCACTATGCATCACTGACCAGGGCCCAGGGAGGCAACACATTGACATCAGTGGGCTTAATGAAAGAGACTTGGCTCCATTCCTCATTAGAAAGAGGTGGGAATCTGAGCCACATCCGTACATCTTTTTTAATGATGACCACATGTCAATGACTTTCATTGGGTTTCACCTGATGCTCAATGACCAAAAAGGGGTTGATGCCATAAATCCTGTGACAAAAGAAGTAATAAGGAGAAACATCATGACTCAAAATCTGTACAATGGCTTAAGACTTCAGAGAGTCCCTTTTAATAAGGACTTTGATCAGCTTCCTCGAGCTGAAAAGATTGAGCATCTGTGCAGTGTGCTTGGCGTCAAGTGGCCAACAGATCCTGATGAAACATATGAACTGACCACAGATAATATTCTCAAAATGATGGCAATCCATACGAGATTTAGGTGTGGGCTCCCAGTCATCATCATGGGAGAGACAGGATGTGGCAAGACAAGGCTCATTAAGTTTATGTGTGAATTGAGAAGGTGTGGAGCACCAGCAGAAAACATGAAAGTGGTCAAGGTTCATGGAGGAACTACATCAGAAATGATACATGAAAAAGTGAAGGAAGCAGAAACTCTTGCAAGGACCAATAAAGAGAATCATGAATTTGATTCAGTTCTTTTCTTTGACGAGGCAAACACAACAGAAGCCATCAACAGCATCAAGGAAATCATTTGTGATAACTCTGTGCAGGGACACCAACTCAGCTCTCAAACAGGACTACAGATTGTTGCTGCGTGCAACCCTTACAGGAAGCATACAGACAATATGATCAAAAGGCTAGAGGCCTCTGGATTGGGCTACCGGGTCAGGGCTGAGGAGACTGACGACAGACTTGGCTCCATCCCTCTTCGCCAGCTTGTGTATCGTGTTCATGTGTTACCTCCCAGCATGATTCCTCTTGTATGGGACTTTGGGCAGCTCAATGACTCAACAGAGAAAATTTACATTAAACAAATAGTGCAAAGACAGGTTACAGCCAACTTGATTGAGGCGCATTATATTCCAAATATAACAAAGGTTTTATCAGAATCACAAAAGTTCATGAGGAAGAGGAAAGATGAATGCAGCTTTGTCAGTTTGAGGGATGTTGAACGTTGCATGCAGGTGTTTGTGTGGTTCCACAAAAATCATCCCATGTTTGCTAGGGAACTGAAAACGTTCCTTCAGGAGCAAAATCAGAGGAAGAAAAACGCAAACAAGTTTCAACCTGCTAGTGACAAAGTAATCTGGTCACTCTTGATGGCCACTGGAGTGTGCTATCAGTCCTGCTTGGAAGACAAAGGGTCATATCAGAGAACTGTCAGCCAGTTGCTTCCTCATGAATACAACACGAAAAGATTACTGCAGGAAATCCAACTCATGCATGACCTCCTACTCAATGGTGTACCCATGGGTAAAACAATAGCCAGAAACGAGGCATTGAAAGAAAATTTTTTCATGATGGTGATTTGTGTTGAGCTAAGAATTCCTTTGTTTATTGTTGGGAAGCCAGGGAGCTCCAAATCACTGTCCAAAACCCTAGTTGCAGATGCAATGCAGGGCCCTGCCTCACATTCCGAACTCTACAAGAAGCTGAAGCAGATACATCTGGTGTCTTTTCAGTGCAGCCCTCATTCCACTCCTGAAAGAATCATCAACACATTCAAACAGTGTGCCCGCTTTCAGGAAAGCAAAAACTTAGATGAATACATCTCAGTAGTTGTTCTGGATGAAATTGGATTGGCTGAAGATTCCCCTAAAATGCCACTGAAAACACTGCACCCATTACTGGAAGAGGGCTGTGTTGATGATGAGCCACAACCCCATAAAAGGGTTGGGTTCATTGGAATTTCCAACTGGGCACTAGACCCTGCTAAGATGAATCGTGGAATTTTTGTGTCCCGTGGAGATCCAAATGAGATAGAGCTCATCGAAAGTGCTAAAGGGATATGCTCGTCCGAAGAAAAGGTTCTTGAAAAGATCAGACACCTCTTTGAGCCTTTTGCAAAAGCATATATGACCGTATGCAAAGAAGGCAGGGGTTTTTTTGGACTGCGGGATTTCTACAGTCTGATAAAGATGGTATTTTCCATCACTAAATCCAGTAATGAGAGACCTACTGCAGATGAAATCACTGCAGCAGTCCTGAGAAACTTCAGTGGAAAAGATGATGTAGATGTGATGGGCATATTCAGGAAAGAACTCAGAGATGACTTTGCAAATGCCAGCATCACAGCCTATGATTTGGTCAATCAAGGCATCGTTCCAGATTGCCAAGTGGACCAAAGTCGTTACCTCTTGATTCTGACAAAAAACTATGCAGCGCTTCAGATTCTCCAACAGATATTTTTCTGTCACCAAATCCGTCCAGAGATCATCTTTGGGTCCAGTTTCCCAAAGGATCAGGAATACACTCAGATTTGTCGGAATATCAATCGGGTCAAGGTTTGCATGGAAACTGGACAGACAGTTGTACTGCTGAACCTTCAGAATCTGTACGAAAGTCTGTATGATGCTCTCAACCAATACTATGTGACCCTAGGAGGTCAAAAGTATGTTGATCTTGGATTAGGAACTCATCGTGTGAAATGCAGAGTTCACAAAAACTTCAGGCTAATAGTCATTGAAGAGAAAGAGGTGGTCTATGAGCAGTTCCCAATCCCACTGATTAACAGGTTGGAAAAACACTACCTTGACATCAACACAGTTCTCAGTAATGAGCAGAAGGACATTGCCAGACAACTACAGGAATGGGTTGGTGATTTTGTCTCCTTAAGTAGTCAACACTCGAAGACAAAGAAATATGTTCCAAGTGATGTCTTCATTGGCTACCACTCTGACACATGCTCCTCCGTGGTCTTGCAAGTAACAGAGAATCAAAGTGCTGAAACAGATGCTCAAACCATTCTGGACAAAGCCAAAGACATTCTGCTCAACTGTGCCACTCCAGACTCAGTTGTTCGTTTGGACGAAGCCAGACTTCCTGATGAAGAAAGGGAACATTTAATGAAAGAATATGTAAAAGAGGAGATGCACAGTTCATTGGGAGACTACATTGTCTATCACACACAGAAGGAACAGTCCCACTTCTTCTTCACTGAGGTAAGTATTTTTTACTTTTCTATCAATTTCAGGAAAAATCCTCCCCAAAACATTGTTTCACTATTAAAAAAAAACCTATTCGAAATGCCTTAGATTATAAAAGCTCATTCCAAGGTAACAAAAACCTGTTAAATGTTATACACTGGGCCTCCAGTATAAAGCTACAGTCATATGAAATTGAGACTGATAATACACAACAGTGTAACAGTGTATGTGGGTGGCCTTTTCTATTAGTAATATCAAATGACATAATAATTTCATAATATTTTGTAATGTTTTGTTTTTTCTTTTTCTTTTTTGAAGGTCACAACATTTTCCAGGCTACTGACTGCAGCAGACACTCAACAACTGCAGAATGTGGTTAAGCTTGACGATATCAGGCTGCTATCACTGCGGCAGTTTGACACAGAGTATTCTTTCCTCAAGAAAATCAGGTGTGTAAATACAGTATAAAGAGCATGGTGCAAAGGTGCTAATTAGCTCAGTCCAACTTAACAATGGCTTAACTATACTTAACAATTTCCCACACTGCGTATTTTGTTCTTTGGAAGATAATTATAAAACTTATAATATTGTGCATTATATAGATATATATATATAGGGCTGCATACGACTGTAAAGTGTCTATTCATGTGTCTAATGTAAATCATGCCTATCTCCTGAATATTAGGGAATTTCTTGGTACAGAGAATCAAAGTGTTGAAACAGATGCTCAGACCATTCTGGACAAAGCCAAAGACAAAGTGCTCATTATCCAAACAGACTATGATGATGACTCCCACAGACGGAATATTCTTTCTTCAGCCAAGTGAGTCTGAAGATTATTACATAATTAATTTATTTTACATCTTTCTCTAACATTATTATTATTATTATTATTATTATTATTATTATTATGTTACAAAAGTAATATTTGGATTTCTTAGGTATTCATGCATCAATGAAATAAAAAAGTGGGCCACTACTGACAACACAAAGACATTTGTGTACTTTGTCACCAAACTTCCTCGAACTGAGGGTGGTACCTCATATGTTGGCTTTCAAGGCGGTTAGTCCTGCTGTTACACACACACACACACACACACACACACACACACACACAAAGAGAGAAAGAGAGAGAGAGAGAGAGAGAGAGAGAGAGTGAGTGAGTAAGTAAATTTGTCTGTTTCATGTCAGTGACACTATGCTTAATTAGTACAACAGAGAAAGATTCATTTATACAGCTTCTTTCATACACAAAATGCAGCTCTATACATTAAGAATAATAACAAAAAACAAAAATAATGAAAGAGTAGACAATTTAAATAGTACAGATTGCGTCTTCATTAATCTGACTTTTTTTTCCAGGTCCTTGGAGGTCTGTTCACATTGATGATCTCAGAAGATCAAAAGAGTTTGTGTCTGATGTTCATTCCTTGAAAAATCTACACATAAGTGATCTTTTTGAAGATCCACCTGAGGGTAATTCATCAAAAATCATTTTTTTCCTAAAGACTGTTATATATTTTAAGTAAATTAATAAGTCCACCTATAATTCTCTTACTTTTCAAGCCAAGGACACAGATGACCACACCAGTGTGCCACAAAATGATGACTCTACTGTAAGTTTAATTTACCACCGATATTCATAAACCTGGAAGAACAAGAGGATCCTGATTACCAGTCAGGCCACATAAGCAAAATACAATGTACTAATCTCTGATTCATGGTTAAGTAGTTATGCCAATGTGACAAATGATTAGAAGGCATGTCTAAGATCTGAGAACTGCCTTTTTAGCTTATTAGTACACTTTTTTAGAGTTAAGTCCATTATAATAGGTCATCTGATTTAGATTATAGAGATTGAGTGATTTCATTTAATTCAAAAGTTGATTCAAAAATAATAACCAAGCAGCAACATTTTTTTGTTCCTTTAAAACATATGGACACTAGTTGGCACCTCATAGTTCAGATTTTTAACTCATGAACATACCATTTATTCATTCATTGAATAATTATAACTGACTGAGATTATCTGGCCCATAATTTGAAGATAGGTTTGTCAGTCAGTTACTCACAGCCTCTGAACTGTGCTGGGGGATTCACTTTTAGGGAATTGTTTTATTTTTCAGATGCTGGATTACTGTTGTTAATTTTTTGCAGGTTTTGGGAGATTTGTTTGATACAACAGATCTGATGAGGAGCTGTGTGCAGAGTGCAGTGAGCATGCTCAGAGATGCAGCAGACAGTGGAGAACTCAGCACTCACAGAGTTGAGAACCTGCTCACACTTCTGGATGGAAGTCAGACAGAAGGTTAGAAAATCAGTCATTCGGGGTCATTGTTTAATATCAGGCCATCGTTACACACATCTACTCTGTGCAGTGAAAATACATATTACTGAAAAAAGTAAATTCATTTTGTTTTTAAGGTGTGTTTACAAGCATTGTGAGGAAACATCTCCACTCGCTGTTAAAGGAATATGAGGACAACATCCCCAATCCAAAAAGCTGGGTTCTGAGGGAGGCATCTAATGTCAATGCTCTTCAAGAGGGGGGAACATTCCTGTACGTCTCTCCTTTACATCCCTAACCATAGCTGTCTACATGACTCTTTTCTTTGCTATATTTACATACAATCTTTGCCATTTCTTCATCACTTATTTAAATCAATTTTGCTTTGATGTAAAAAGCACCACTGCAAACTTCAGCTACACAAGCTGCCATTGCCAATATGTATATGAAAGTCATGTGAATATTTCTTACAGACACACACTGTGGAGGAAAATCCAAGCAGTTGTTACTCCACTTCTAGCCAACTTGGTCTCAGTCATTGACCGAGATTGCAATTTGGACCTTCTGCTGAATGAGTCCGATGACATCAGGAGCCTATGGCTTGAGATATTTGCGAGCAAAGAGATGCTCCATGTCCCTTATATGAAGGTGGAAAGCAAGTAAGTATGATCATGGGTCCGTGTATGTTTTGGTCATTGGATTGTCCTTCCAGAAACGGGTATTAAAAAACAGAAAACGAGTGGTTATTTGATTTTCGTTTTAAAATACAAAAATTAAAATTGAAATACAAGGCGTTTTTTCTTTTTCATGGTCAGAAAGGGATGAGCAAAATTAAAAAAAATATTCCATTTTCATTTTCTATTTCATATAACAAAAAATAAAATCACTAGAAAACAGAAACGGAAAAAAGGCCTGTTTTTTCATATTCTGAGACCGGATGTTGTCATTTACAGGACGGTGCTGTGTAGAAGAAACAGTAGACTAGTAGACTGCGGTCAATCCAGCCGTGAGTCCGATCTCCGTGGTCAAATCAGCCGCACTTAAATTTAGAGTGTACAAGTATTCTCAGCATTATGGTAAATGCGGAGAAACGCCGTATTTACTTCCGGTTTTCAAAATAAAGGTATTTATAGCCGTAAGCTATAATTAAAATATGTTACATTAAAGTGTTTCATGCGCTACTGATGAATAAAAAAACACTTTATATCAAGTATCTTTACTGCACCAGTGTGGAGAAATGCCAAAATAAAAGCCTGACATTTATGCCTCCAGAGATTGCATATTTGACCATATTTGAGGTACTGTAAAAACATATTGCTCAGTGTTTCCTGGCTACTGATGGTATATTTGACTTTTACACATATGAGACTACAAACATACTTAATATCAAGCATTTTTACTGTACCAATTTGGAGAAATTCAACAATAAAAGTCCATATTTGTATCTCCAAGTGGTATTTTCATATATTTGAGCTACTGTAAAAACACTTTGCTCAATAATTCCTGGCTATGGATGATATATTTGACTTCTACACATCTAAGACTACAAGTATACTTAATATCAAGCATTTTTACTGTACCAATTTGGAGAAATTGAAGAATAAAAGTCCCATATTTATACTTCCAGATTCCATATTTTCTTATATTTGAGCTACTGTAAAAATGTAAACTGTATGTGGAACCACCTGCAACAGCTGTCACACTGAATAATATAAAAAATAATATGTGAGGAAGAGACGGTAGGTACAATGGTGTTTTGAAGTTAAAACTAATTATTTTTCCCTTTTACCTACAAATGGACACAGCAGAGCTGCAAAATAAGAAGAATGTGGACTGGCATTGCATTTTGTGTGAAAAGTAATCAAATTAGAATTGTGTAGGATTTTGTGTTTAGTGTTTATATTATCAAGATGTTATTTAACATTTGTGTGAAATTTTGTCACGATTACTGCAGCATTATTGAAGTATAATGAAAATGCTTCACCCATAGCCAGGAAACACTGAGCAATGTGTTTTTACAGTACCTCAAATACGGTCAAATATGCAATCTCTGGAGGCATAAATGTCAGGCTTTTATTTTGGCATTTCTCCACACTGGTGCAGTAAAGATACTTGATATAAAGTGTTTTTTTATTCATCAGGGGCACATGAAACACTTTAATGTAACATATTTTAATTATAGCTTACGGCTATAAATACCTTTATTTTGAAAACCGGAAGTAAATACGCTGTTTCTCCGCATTTACCATAATGCTGAGAATACTTGTACACTCTAAATTTAAGTGCGGCTGATTTGACCACGGAGATCGGACTCACGGCTGGATTGACCGCAGTCTACTAGCCTACTGTTTATTCTCCACAGCACTGTCCTGTTAATGACAACATCCGGTCTCAGAATATGAAACAACAGGCCTTTTTTCTGTTTCTGTTTTCTAGTGATTTTATTTTTTGTTATATGAAATAGAAAATGAAAATCGAATAATTTCTTTAATTTCGCTCATCCCTTTCTGACCATGAAAAAGAAAATCGCTTTGTATTTCAATTTTAATTTTTGTATTTTAAAACGAAAATCAAATAACCACTCGTTTTCTGTTTTTTAATACCCGTTTCTGAAAGGAAAATCCAATGACCAAAACATACACGGACCATCATGGTATCTATAAAGCACAAATGCTTTCATTTGACATTTATTTACACCCTTGGCCTGAAAGCTCAAGACAATCTTGACAACATATCATTGATGTTGTTTTAGTCAGTTTCATTAACTATACTGCAGTTTTAAAAATGAAATCCATGTTTGCCAGCTGCCAGTTCTAAATGGTTTGTTTTCTGCACATAAATTCAAATGAGGGACAGCAGCAGCTAGAAGCTGTTTGGCTAAAAATATCTGCATTGTGACTCCTCTGGCTTGCAAAATCACATTCCTAATATCCTGCCTCTCCTACAGCTCCAGTGTCTTAATGGTACAAAGCCATATCACAGGTGGCAACACCATGCGCTGCCTCATGCCCTTCAGTTGGTGGATCAAAGACTTCCTGGATGGGCTCATGATGCAAACATCCAGACGTGAAAGTAATTATCATACTGTATAAGTAACATATCCAAATTCGATGTGTCCTGAAATTGTGCTGAATATTTGCAGTACTAGCTTTGTATTTGAAAGACCTCTCTTTTTTACATTGAACCCTAATGCTTTAGCGGCATTCTCACCTTTTGCAGATTGTTCACTTAGTAATTTCCAAGAGTTGTTCCTTAACACTCAACTTGGCAGTTACATGGCAAAAGTGTTAATGAAAGAACGAAGAGAGATTTTTTCAGAAGGTACCTACAGGATTTTGTCTCCATGACTGTGAAAGTGGCATCGGATGAAGAATTGCAGGTAAGGGTCAATTTGCTGCAATATCACTATCACTTTCTTTCATTTATCTGGAGGCCTTGAATACGTTAATTGGAAACAAAACAAGACACAGCTTGCAGAGGGTTAAAACTGAGTTAAATGCAGACAAACACACTTGAATATTTTAACACAGAAACGTTTAGTTGCAACCTGAAGTGTTTTGACAGTTTATTGACAGTCAAGTTCAAATTCAAGTTGGATGATTGCAAACACAAAAATACCTGTCCACCATTTATTTTCATTATAGCAGTCAAATATTATGTTCATTAATAAAAGCCTGATGGCTTCATTTTATTTTTTTTTAATTGGTTGTTAGTTGTATGCAATCCTATATTTAATTCTTTCCCCACTTCAACCTTCCATGTGGCTTTGTGCTATGTTAATTCGTGCTTTTCAGAGGCAGACAATTTTCCCCTAAATTGACCAAAACGAATCCAGTGGACCTAAAAGCAATTGCAGTGAGGAGAGAGTGGTCTCCCGCAATGACTTACACAAATGAAACACAAACCTCGGCTCCAGTCTAGTGCATCTGTTCAATCAATATAGCATGTGTCTGAGGCAGAATGTGTTATATCTGATGAGTACAAAGCAGCAAGGAATAGGACCAAATGCAGATAATTGCGCAGATGGGAGCAGTTATGCAAACTTATCGAAAGGGGTCAGAAAAAGAATCATCAGTCCAAGGATCAGGCAGAAGGTCAAGTAGGCAGGCAGGTCCAGGTTTCAGGGTAAAGGGTTTCGGGTTGCATGTCTGGGTGCAGGTTCAGGTTTATGGTACAGATACAGGTTCAAATGGCTAGAAAAGCAAGCCACAAAGCAACAGTGACAGTGACAAGAGGGTGGCTGTGTTTGCACGGTCAAACAAGTGGAAAACTCTGGAGAAATACTATTTTGACGCAAACAGGCAAAAGGGCTGCAGTGTCTCAAGCTGTTCCACTTTTTTTAAAAGTAATTATTGCCTTTATGATAGTGACAGCTGAAGAGGGGCAGAGAGAGGGGAAAACAGACAGCAAAGGGCTGCAGGTCGGATTCGAACGCTGGGCCGGCCAGCTCTACCCACTGAGCTACCTGGGCACCCAGCTGTTCCACTTTTACCAGTGGACCAAGATGACTGCAAGGAGGGAAAGGCAAGGAAATGGAGGGAAATTCCTCCATAGGATGTTCAGTACATCATTAACAGTTACACATGCACAGCAGCGTCTAAACAGCAATATTAGTGGAATAATAATTTTTATTAGTCATGTAAACTACAATGTTTTTTTTGGAATAAGAGTAAAAAAACGAGAAGAATATTTTGTGCATGTAAATGTAGTCAATCTGGCTCCTGACAGGGGAAAATGGGCTTGGAGAAGCTCATGAGAGAACAGGTGAGCAGTTGGGCAGGGAGAGTCAGGTGACTTGGACTGTGTGAGGCCAATGGCATCTGGTAGATTGACGGGGAATGGCGAGTCCTGATTGTTCCTAGGAAAAGGGTGGGCCGGGGGAAAGTGGCTAGAGACAGGGACCAAATGGCAGAATGAGTAAAATGACAACAACTGAGGCAGACAGATTAACCATTACATATACCTACTTACCTTGAGGTGGTTACTTAACTTAACTTAATTAATGTTGCTGCAGTTAAAAAATAAAGCTGCATTATTAATCTACTTGCATTTCCTACTCAGCTCTTGTGTCAGGCCCTGGCCAACTGCGTTGATGAAGTACGGAGACGAAAAAGAGATGAAGATGAGCCTTCTCTTCTTCATATCCACATTGCCTACCATTTCTACCAAAGTCGTCTGAACAACCTGTCACGGATGCTATTTCTTCAGCCTGATGTTGTTTCTCCTTTGCGAAAAAACCAGCACATTAGACATTGTCCAGAAATGGTAAACACAAGGAGACCTTGTAGTATGGTGCAATTAAAAAATAAAATAAATAAATACAGTGATCATATTTTATTTCAATTTGATTTAATTCATGCATTATAGTACAACTGACTGATAAACAAGAGTCTTGCACCGGCATTAGTATCCAGAACAATGTTGTGTAATGGGTAAAACATATATTTATATGAATTCATGGACAATGGCAAAAAATGAAAACAAAATGTATGTCTCAAATGTTTTAAATTTAGCAAAAATGCTGAGTCACTTCCAAACTATATTGTTGTCTTGTAGGTTTTGGATGTCCATGCAGCCAAAGCATGCATTGAATGTCTAGAATCTCCTGCATTAGATACTGATGCTCTCTGCAAGGACTGGCTGCAGCAGGTGAAGAGACTGGAAGCCTCTTTGGAGTTGATTTGTTCTCAACCTAACACCAGACAATATGGAGAGCGAGGCAAAGAAAGACTCCATTATGTCAGGTGAGATGCTGAAGCACTTAAATGGAGTAAAATACTCAGCTCAAAGTCATATAAAATATTATACAGGGAAAATGACATCTCTGCATGGCTTTTTATCTGGATGCTCTGATTCCCTCCCACAATCTGGCCACAAACAGGTTAGGTGACCGTAAGAGTGAATTGTTTTGTGTCTCAGCCCTTTGATAGACTGGTTATCTGTCTAGAGCTTGTACCCAGGCCTCTTATCCAGTGTTCTTTAAAACACTGTTGTGATAATGTGTAAATTGTGTAACATTTAGGAGAATCTTTTGGCGGAAATGGGATATAATATGCAGCCCGCCTTGTTGATTGGCCATGTTTCTACAGTAGCCCAGTGGGACAAACCAAACACTGGCACTGGGCTACTGCTTGGTGTTTGTCTTGCAGCCTTTTATTTTGCCAAGCTTTCACCAACAACTTTAATCCTATAGCATTACCCAGCTGAATGATAGTCTACTCTTTAACTGATGGTTCACAATATATTTATTGATGAGCAAACATGACGACACTGTAGCTCCCTTAAACCTTGAATACATCTGGAACACACCGTTACAGATAGAAACAAAAATGAAATATAAATCTTCTTTTATATTCTGATAACAAACTTATTGTATTATAGCTTACAATATTTATTTAATAATACAATAATAATATCACAATATTCAAATCATGAAATATCACCTTTTTAACACCCTTTTAAGCTTAGTGACAATCTATGATAGAGTGCTGTAAGTAAATGTATTTAACATAAAATTAGTTTTTAAACAGTCATTTTATATAGTATGTGCAACTTTAATATTGTATATTGCAGCTACTGTAAACACACAAATGCTGCAGTGCTTTTTTTATACCGTACTAGCAAGCAAACTCCATCGCGATAATGGCTCATTAAGACCGACAGAGTAAACATACTAGCTTAAAACTCTAAAAATACAAAAAAGTGCCACAGTATGACTTAACATTAAACACCACACAAAGTCATAACAAACCTTGTGCCATTATCAGCTGGGTGCTAGATAAAAAAAAATACCCATCATTTTTGGCCTTAGGCAAACACGCTTTGTAACGCGGCCACACTTGAGCTGTCAGAGTATTTGGGGTGACACTTCTGTACAAGCCAATCTTGAGGGGTTGTATTGTAGGCAGTCTGCAGCCCTAATGCTGTAAAGCGTTATGCACTTCTCCTCAACCCTGACACCAAAGTTAAACAGTGTATATAGTGTGAGAACAGGCATATGGGACGCAGAGTGGAAATGTTAGATAATGTTGCTTTAATGAGTAAGGTGATTGTTTAACTGTCATCTAGTCTTTACCATCTCTGCTGACCAATTTCCTGGTGCCCTACACCAATACTGTTTTTGGGTATGATGAATCTGTATAATATACTGTATTTCTACAACATATTAACTATGATTATGGTCTTTAATATTTTATAGTAATGGCTGGAAACGCATCTGCATCCTGTCATTGTTTGTGGAACACATGCTGCTGAATTTCCATCATGATGAGAATCAGCTCAGAACACTGGCCTTACATCATTTTCAGACCTTAAGCAGGGTGAGTAGATTTTTAATCTAAACTATATTCTCCAAAATCCAGTGTAAGCAATGCCCTACATTCAGACTTGCTGGTTCTTTTTTAACCCATCCATCCTGAGGAGAATTTTGGTATCTTGTGATGGTCTACTTGATTTTGGGACATTTTGCCACATTACTGTGTTATATTAAGATGATGTTCAGTCAAAGAAAGTGAAAAATCACCATTATGGCTATTATTTTATATTTCTAAGGTTCTGGAAGAAAACTCAGATGTAAAATCAATGAAGGCTTTTCAAGCTGTGATTAAAATACTGAAGGACTGTAAGCAGAGCACAAGTGGTCAGATTTTCAGGTAAATGTCTTGTTAATTTGTCAGTTCTTTTGAATGAAATAGTGATGAAAGCTCTTTAGCTACAGAAAATCTGATTGACATTGGTTTGATTTTCAGGTTCGGACTTCAGTGTAAGGTGTGCATGAGGGAGCCACAGGACCCTGTAGGGTTGCCATGTCATCACATCTTCTGCTCCACATGCATCAGGGCAAGCCTTGATGCAGGACAGACTTCCTGTCCCTTTTGCAGGCAGGAGTTACCAAATAACTTTCAGCCACAGGTGTCTGAAGATATCAGGTGAGGTTTTTTAAATAGTGTATATACCATTAATCACCTGTAAATATCCAAATGTGAAACTCAACCCTCTCAGGATCAGTTATTGAATAGCAACTGAAGAGCTTGTACAGTTGCTTGCTATCATGAATTAATCAATCAAGCTAAGTTAGCAAGCAAGTGGCTTGCACGCTGTGTGTGTGTGTGTGTGTGTGTGTGTGTGTGCGTGTGTGTGTGCGTGTGTGTGCGTGTGTGTGCGTGTGTGTGTGTGTGGTAAGTGTGAACACGTCAGATGTTGTGAAACATAGTATCACTCAGAACAAGTACAGTGGTATATGGACTGAAGTGTAATTTTTGGAGAATCACTAACCACAAATATAAGCTACATCTAAAGAGGTTTTAAAAAACGCTGATAAAAAGTCATTGCTTAGGATTTTTTATGATATGTTGCATTTGATTTTTGTGACTCTGCAGGGCTTCTATCAAGAAAAATGCAGAATTCAGGCAGCGTTGCAATGGCTTCTTCATTGATCTGCTCTCCACTGTGTGCTTCAAGGACAACACACCACCAGCCAGAGGTGTCATCAAACACCTGTTGTCCTTCCTGATGGTTGAGACAGGTACCACACCACAAACAATGGAAATATCAGTTTTCCTTTTTGTTTTTTTCACCTTCTTTTCTAATGAACTTGGACACTGCATGTGACAGCTATTACCATTTTGTACATACTTTTCTTTAATTGGTGTCTTTTAATAAATTGTTTATTATATGTAAGTTTGTTTTTAGACAATAATAATTTGTTTTTAATTTTTTAATTCTTCTTTTCAAAATTTGTGCTTTTTCGGTTTATATGTTAAATATTTTCTGCTTGTTTAAATAAATTAACATTCTTATTAGTCTATTTTTTTAAACTAATATTTACTACTAATTATTTCTCTAACCAGAACACGAACAGATTCACACCAAAGATCTGTCACCTTTCGACGAGTCCCCAGATAAAAATCCAGTTGTGCGATCTGTGATCCTCAAGCTGCTGCTGAAGTTCAGGTAGGTAAACTTAATATGAAACTATAATATTAAAATTCAACATCTGAGTTAAAATGACAAGCTTGCTGGCAGATGTTAATGGTAGCTCCATCATCAACAGTACTGAGGCATTTGACAGCAGTGCTCCTCTGCTTTACCTTTGTGAAACTATTCTCCATTGTATGAAGTGTATAAGGAACTTAACTGTGTTTGTTTCAGCTTTGATGAAGTCAAGGAATATTTGCAGCAGCATTTGTCATCTGTTGAAGACAGCCGATTTGTGGATGAGGAGGATAAAGCACAGCTTTATGCCCTGTACATCAACTGTTTGGAGGTAAGGCATCTTTAAAACAATCACACAAGTTACTGTTTACTGTGTAGAATAGTGTAGAAATTATTAGAAGATTTCACTAAAGATTTTAAAGAATCAAGATGCTATTCGAAAGGAGTCCATACTAAGTGTGAGCTCCCCACCAAATTATCTCTCTAGTCGGACATTACACATCCCATTTATTACTATTCAGTATTTTAACTTTTTACACAGTGTTTGAGTGCCTTAAGGTTCAACCATTTGGGAATAAGATGAATAAAGAATCCAGATGTTGGGAGCCTATTGTGATTTATTTTACATTTTTAGCCTCTGGGACTCAACTTAAACCAATGGTATCAGCAAAGGAGTAGAAGTCTTTTGTGTTGGATGAAGTTTAGGTTTATGTGGTTCAAGATGTTCAAGATGTTTGTCATATGAAACAAAAGAAAGCAAGTTTTCCTCTGTGCAATGAAATTCTTCCTTTGCTGTGCTGTCCACCCTGATACCGACGCATTACAAAAGTAGAATACAATAAGTAACAAAAAAACCACATATTATTACCCAATAATAGAATAGTAAAAAAACACAATATTACAATAAGTACAGTAAGTTAAAAAAAAAAAAAGGGTAGTGTTAGTAGTTGTTTTATTTATGCTGGTTATTTAAAACTATTGTTTCATATTCTGCTCATTACAGTTTACTGATGCTCCTTTAACATCTTTTCTCTGCAGGACTCCATGTGGGAGAAAATGCCTCAGGGAGGCGACAAGGCTGAAGAGTTTAAGACATTTTTCAATGATGAAATAAAATTCATACGCTTCTTTTTGGCTGAAGACACTTCTGTTCCAGCAACAGTATCTGTTCAACATCTCCAGCACATCGCAAAATTGCGTCTGTCACTAACCATGGCTGCCCAGCTCATCAGTGACCGTCTGTCTGGTGAGAGATAATATCAATACAGCTGACAGTTTCCGTTAGTTAGGAATATAAAAAAATAAGTGTTGGATTATGTTGCTGTTACAGACAACATTGTTGGAGCAGAAGATTTCCTGAACACGGTGATTAAGCTCTGTGAGGACAGTGGGAATGATTGGTACCGTGTTTACCTGATCCGCAAGCTCAGCGAATGGAAGGGTGTTGAGTTTGTCCAGACACTGATGAAACAACATCAGTTCACATGGCTGTTCCCTAAAGAGATCCTTCAGCAGGTATGCTTCCATTCATTGTCAAATTCAATACCAAAAATGTATCGCAGATTGCAGATTGCAGCCAATCACCTTCTCAGCAGATCGAATGATACGCTGCAGTCTGCACTTGTCCTTGGCAGTGGCAGCAGCGTATCAGATGGTGACGGAAGAGGTGAGGGTGGACTCGATGATGGCGGTGTAGAAGTGCACCATCATCATCTTTGGCAGGTTGAACTTCCTCAGCTGCCGCAGGCAGTACATCCTCTGCTGGGCTTTCTTGGTGAGGGAGCTGATGTTCAGCTCCCACTTGAGTTCCTGGGTAATGAGGGTACCCAGGAAGCGAAAGGACTCCACAGAGTCAACTGGGGAGTCACACAGGATGATTGGGGCAGGTGGGGCTGGGTTTTTCCTGTCCACAACCATCTCCACTGTTTTTAGAGCATTTAGCTCCAGGTTGTTCTGGCTGCACCAGGTCACCAGATGATCAATCTCCCATCTGTAGGAATCATAAAGCAATGTCTCCATTATAACATGATGTAACCAGAGGGACCAATCGTCAGCAGCACTCATCATTTGATAGTGTGAAGGTCTTTATTTACTGAAACATGGAAACAAACCATGGAGTCAAATTTATCTCAGTTAGAATATTCCTGAACCAGGAAGCCAACCGGTCATCTCAAATCCATTTAGTACCCATGTAATTGGATATATTACGACATGTTTTTGCTCCTTTAACTCCATTCGTGGTGTGAACAGAATGAAGATGGAGGCCAGATGGACCAGTATCTTGTGTATGGAGAGGAATACAAGGCGGTCAGGGATGCAGTTGCAAAGGCAGTGGTGGACGGCGATGTTGAGCAGATAGAAGAAGTCTGTGAGGTATTTATATTTAATTAACCCAAGTCTTTGCTGGTACAAGTATTGTTCCATGCACTTTATTTCATATCTTTCTATCACTCGTTAATCATTTAGCAAACATTGCTGCAGTGTATTATTAAATTTAGTTTACTTTGCTCTAACTATTCCAGATATTGATTGTTTACATTAGTTTCTATATTGTATAAAAATAAACTTGTCTTGAAGTTTCATTTAGTTGTGTAATCAATCACAATCTGAATTAATATATGTTCTGTTATTGTTAATTGAAATTTAGTCCAGACCTTTAAATCAGTTTGCACTTAAAATGTATCACCATGCAATGGAAATGTAATGTTGACCAAAAATAAGTTGAGTGACTTGATGTTCACTGCAATGAATTGCACCAATCAAATTGTCATACTGTAAAGTAAAGAATGGCAATCAACAGCTAAAGAGCTAAAACTTGCAAACACACTGGTATGTTCCGTGAAAGACCATAGTTGATACTGGAACACTATGTCCATTCAGTCTGAAAAGTACCTGCTCATTACTTCATTTTTGTTTGTTTTCCATTGTTTTAGAAATGCACAGCACCACCAAGGAAGCGGACAATGTTCATCCTTCTGGCACTTCTCAGAGAAGTTACAACTCTTTACAGATCTGAAAATACAAGTCTTCATCTGACTCCTGAGGTATGAAGACTTTTTAGAAACTGAATAATATATTACACATCAACACTCTAGAGAACACAACAAAGACTTGAACAATGGCTTTGATTGCATGGATTCAATTTTCAAACTGATAATTGTGACAACAAAAACAAAAACTTTCAGAGATGAATTAATCCCATTCTGTTTCAATTCCAGAGCCGCAGCAAACATACAACAGTTTCACAAGCTGAGGAGTACTACTCCTACTAAAACACTGATCTAAATGTGAATGTGATCTAAGTAATCTAAACTTGTAATAATATCATGAAATTTCCTGTTAACAAAATGAGAGAGTAATGAGTAAATCAAAAAGTATTCTGTTAAGGCATGCAGGTAAATGTTTTTCCTTAAGTGATAGATGGTTTAATGTACAGGTGTTAAAGCAAACAATGTTCTTGTCTGTAATTTTAGTAGATAAATAAAGTAATATCTAAATCAAAGAAGTTTAACCTTTTTGAAAATATGCTTATTAACTTTTTTACTGAGAATTAGATGAGAAGATCTGGACAGTAAATATTAAACTACTCCCAGCAACTGGATAGCTTAGCTTAGCATAAACACTGGACACAGTGGAAATCATCTAGCCTAGGCTTGTCCCTGATTCAAGGAAATTAAACAAATTCCTAACCAAATTACAAAGCATACCTAACAAAGCCACATATTCAGATAGTTACACTCATAATTATTGCAAAATTTGTAAAAGCCTCTATGACCTTTTAATCATTTTATTATATAAAAACATTTTTAATATGATAGACAAGTTTATACCATATCTCTGAAACCATCACTCAGATCTTAAAAGCCACCTACAAAATTTGTGCCATAAGAAAGCCAATAATGTACAAGTCTGGAAATAAAACTGTGAAAAAATACCTTACTCAAACATGTGCTTTATGGAGCAAAACTTAAAATTATTATTATTTAGCTTTGCCGTAGTACTATTGATCAGCAACCTTTGAGCTGATATTATATTGTCATTTGTTTAATAATGGTGATATAAAAGTTTTGGTTATTGTCACTGTATATTGTTTTATATCTTCCCTGTAGCGATGCCAATCATTTGGAGATCTCATCCAGGGCTCAAGGTATCTGCATCAAAGAGAAGTAAGGGATTTTGCTTCAGCTTTGGTTCACAACAGGTTGGGAGCTCTGGCCATGTCTCCTGATAATACGCTTGTAACCAACACTGTCATTGAGCTGACCATCCATCTGGCAGCCGTGCTGCTCACTCGGACTCACAACCTGGTGATGCCACTCAAGCAACTTGGTCTGTTTCCTGAAAATATGCAGGTAAACATGTATAATATCTGCTTCTGTAGACCATTTCAACTCTCCTAGTCTGAGCTGCTCTGTTTTAAATGACAGAAGGCTGTCAATTTTAAAACATTAATGCAATATTTAAGAATTTAAGAGATTTAAGAGATTAAACATTCAGAAATTAACAAAAATGATCAACAGAATGTTGATCATTATGTTATAGACCCAGCATGCTAACCAGCTATCCCCGGCCCATCCTGTTTCATACTAACAGTTTATACCTCAAGAGGTATGATAGTATAGCTCAGCCCCAGGAAATATTTGTACACCTATTTTACTTTTTAAACACACTTTATTCAAACGTGCACAAACTTACAATATACAATATAAAACTCACCACAACCGTATTGGTTAGTCTTAACACTTCACCAACAATCACAACTCTTGCTTGGTCAAAATAAATCCTTAATTCTCCGAAGTACATGTGAAACATATTCAAGCTTTACATGTTGTCTCGCTCCTCTCCTGCTTGATTGTTGTTTTCATCAGTCAAAGCTCCTGTTCACAGCTAACTGAGCTGACAGCAGGTAGTAGTAATTATGACCTGATTTGTGATATGGTGTCCCCTATTTTTTGGAGTACACATTGCACCTTTAAGATGCCTTACATAGTGCCAACTTTTAAATTTTCATTTTATTTATCCTAACAGGGGGCATTTATACCCACAATGCCTGATGACATGTTAGCTGTTGCCCAGGCAGTTATACAACAAGCCCAAGGGAGGGTTATTTGGTATGGTAAGTATTATTCATTGTAAATTCATTCATTGGATGTATTGTATGTATTACTTTCCTCATTCAATCTCTTTAGTAGATTTCTTTTTCTAAGACAGATGCCTGAAAGCTTTTGTATCATTATATTAAATGCTAAAGAGTCACATAAACCCACCTACTAATATCAGTCCCTAGTTTAGTTTAACTTCTGTCTCAATAATTCAGGTGATTTAAACCTATTTTAATTGGTTGATTGTTTTTCACAGTGTGTCCAAATAATCATCCATACTTTATTGATGAGGTAAGCTATTTTTATACAGTTCCATTTCATTTACTTGCAAAGAAATTACAGACAGGAAGTGGTTAAAACATACAGTGGATAAGATAATTTGCTTTCTGAGCAAAATGACCTGATCTGCTGTGTTCCACTGCAGTGTGGCCAGCCCATGGAGCGACGCCAATGTCTGGAGTGTGGCCACGAGGTTGGAGGGAACAATCATATAGCCGTGCCTGGATTCAGACCAATTCAGCTGCAGCAGTGAGTGTCATTAATGATGAAACTACAGTCATGCACAAAATTTATGGAAGTATTAATCACAATTATTTTGTGGGTGGGGAAAAAAGCAAGACCACAAAGACATAGTTTCAGTTTTGTTGTATGGCTGTTAGTAAGTATTGGCTACATACAGATTAAATTGTATCAACATTTCCATTTTCAAACAAAGATACTTTAGCCTTAGAACAAAATCACATTTTTGTAATTAATTTTAGACTAGAACAACCAGGATGGTAATTTGTGAGTTCCCTTTTTAAACCCATATTGAATGTACAGTAGTTGTTCCACCAAATGGCATGTACAGTTACATTTACTCCCCTGTACTAACTGGCTGATTAATCCTGTAATGTCTTTTTTTAAGGGATCACACAAGGCCTGGGCACATCCTGGGAGACCCTGAGCGGAGAAACAACCTAGATGCCCTGGACACCAAAAACATGTCTCTGACTCCCTTCACTCTAGTTAGGCTGGTTACACATTTGGCCATGTTACTGGGAGCCTCAGAGAAGTCCCAGGTGAGCAGATGAATAGTTACTCACAAAATAAATACCTATATCAGCACTGTGTAGTAGCAATTTTTGACATTTTGTGTATCTGATATCAGATAATTCTATACAGATTATATTGTCTCTGCAAAATAATAATTATCAACAATAAAGAATGCCTGTTCTTTTTAATCTGATATTGTCCCCCATTCTGTGTACCTTTAGTTTTTCCAGCGCATCATCCAGCCACCTGTGGAGGATGTTTGTTTGTTTCTCATTCAACACATAATGAAGGATCTGGATCAGCTGTCACAGGCACTGGGACGAGGAGCTGACGACACTGTTACAACTGTCCACTTGGTGATCAAATCCCTGCAAGAGCTAGTGCAGGCCAGTCACTGTAAGCCAACCACCACTCACCCACCACGTCACTGTTAAATAATTGTTTGTTGATGCACATTACCTAATCTACTTTGTCTAAATGACAAAATGAATGATATCATACCATGATACCAATGATGAATCATACCCAGATGTGTTGAGACGGTTCTAAAGCTGTCACACGGTATGGGTATGAGAGTGTTATTTTATCGGGACAACACGCTCTTGCGTGCTAGCTCCAGGGAGGAAGCAGCTTTAAAAACCTCTGTCGAGTCTGGGCTTTACAATACTTTACATTATACATAACATTATTCCTACATTTGGTAGAAAAGATTTTCAATCTGTCATCATGTATTTTTGTACACAGCTAACAGTATCTAGTATGACTTTGATTAGTGCTTTATTCATTCAGAACAGATGGTTGTCTCACTTGGTTTTATTTTATGTGTAGTTTGTCAAATGATATCAATAAGATTTTGAAGTTTATGCACACACACATGCACTGGAGGCAACCCTGAAACACTACAAACATTCACACACCACCCTAATAAAGATGCTATGGAGGACCCCTTTTTGCCCAAACTAAATTTGAGTGTCACATATGGTCACTGTTGAGAAAAAAATAATAGAAATCTGAACTTTCTTGAACTGACTTCAAATGACTTAAAGTAAGAACAAATTACATTTATTACAGGTAAATATTGGACTTGATGTTGTATGTTCAATGAAGACAGACAGTTGCTAATGTTCTTATCTGTTTCAATAAGCTCTATAGACTGTTATCTATAGAGCTTTTTCCAGGATTTATGTCAGTGAATATGTCTATTTTCTCAAGAAATACTGTCTCCTAAACAACAAGATGGACACACAACCTACAAAAATGATGTTTGGGTTTTGAATTTTTGAAATCTGGGATATGCGCAGAAAACTAAAATTGCATGAAAGGATAATAATATCTATGAATGTTTCCTTTTATTTATTAATTTTTTACATATTTTTAAAGGGTAGGGATTTACAAAATACCTTCTATTTGACTTCGTCTAGCTGGTATTGATCCTTCCCTAAGAACCAAAGAATCCAGAAACACCTGGGAGACTACTGTGGCTGCAGATATTGTGACGCCTCGTTTGACGGTAAAGCCTTTTTATATATTTTCCCACTTATGACAAAGCTTTCATGAAATTTCAAAACGGGTAGTTTGACTACTCAGTCATCAGTTTCAATGAGGATACTTTTATTAGAAGCTCTTGTTATCTAACTATCTTCACAGCTTTCTTTTGCACAAACAAATATTTTCCATTGCTGCAGTAAATTCTCCTTCCACCATTACTAATATTTTGTGTCTAGGATCTTGATCAACTCCTGCGAGATGCAAAGGGCAGCATCAGGACTGACTCCCGTGTTTCTTCCAACTTCATCATGAGGACTACCTTCGGTGATGATTGCGCCTTCCTGACGTCTCTGGCTCAGGGCTCTCAGGTCCACAGTTCAGCGGTTTGGAGCTGCAGAGAGAGGCTGTCAGTGCTCACCCTCACACACATAGCGTTATAGTTCCTACAAACAATGTAACAAAGTTGTCAAAGATCAAGAAAAGGGGAAAAAACTTCCCTTGCCTTTCAGGGCTTCGTAGTTTTAACATTTCAAGCTATAAACAAACAAGAACATTACAACAACAAAAGTCTATGCTTCTTGATACATAGTCCTTATTTTTGACCTCATGACCTTTGATCTAGAGGCACCAGCTAGGGTTGTCAACTAGTTAACCAATCACAGATACTTACTAGTATCTGAGAGATGCTTTGCTGAAGCAACGGTGCAACATCCATTGTTAGAGAGAAATGTAAACATATTTTCGCTTAAATTTTAAACTGTGGCGTGTTAATGGGGAAGACTGCTTGTAGCCGTATATGCAGCCTCGACAGGTCCGGAAGAATTGAATCCTCTGTACCGTCATGTTTTCAAAACTTGGTACTGAAGTATGAGTTCTTGTGATATGCATATTTTGCATACTCCATTAGATTAGACTAACTTTCAGAACTACAAGATATCTTATTATCTATCTAGTACATTTGAAAAATCTGATGAGTACATTCTTGCTCCTAAGGGGAAAAACTTTTCTAATTTTATCTAATTACCTTCCACCACTGTCAGGATAAATTTTTTAGTTTTACCCTGGTACTCATAGCACTTGTGAGTGAACATTTTGAGTGAACAGAATAAAACCCCCATTATAGTTTCAGGAAAATGTTAAATTATTTTTTCATCTTGACCGCTAGTCATTAGTTTTGATCAGCATTATAAATAGTCAGTGGTTATGAGGCCTGATTTTCAGCCGTTTAATTTGTGTTTTTCTTTTTCAGGAGAGAGAATTTCGGCAGATTAAGTTCCTTCCAAACATCTTAATCCTGCAGAGATGCTTGGTGAGAAAGTTCCAGAACGCATGTGACCAGATTGTGGGCTCCATCAGACAGTTCATTGAAGGGCAAAGAGGTACAGATGTGATGTCTCTGAGCAATGAATAGACCTAAGCCTTGTTTGTTCACAAAATGTTGAATTTACTAAAATCTAATTGACTGACTCTAAATTGATGGGGTGGTATGGGTTATACGACAAAAAACAACAGATGTCTGACATTTTACTCACTCAGTTTTTTCTTTTTCTTGTTACATTTTTTGTAATACAAACTTGGTAAATATTTTCAAAATATCTTGTTTCAGAAATGAGGACACAGTATGACAAACACATTGACATCTTCCTGAAAACATGGAATCTGCTCAGAGAGTCTGTAGCCAGCAGTAAGTAAAGCACTTATCCTCCTCTAAGGTTACGTTCCCACTGCATGCAGACTGGGAAAAAATCAGTTTCATGCGGTTTGTGGCACTTATGAGCAACAAAAATGTACCTGCAAAGTGAACGTAGCCATAGACGTTTACTCATGGAGAAGGTCATAATGAATAACTTTACATCTTGCCTTGTTCTCTTTTATTTTGTTCTGTTTTTCTCTCTGTGCTGTACAACTCTGTTGTATTAAAAATGCTGTATACATAACTTAAGTTGAGTTACATTAAAATGTACCTTAACAATGCATTTGTAACCAGAGTAATGCAATTCTGCACTGGTTTCACAGTTAGTATATATATATATATATATATATATATATATATATATATATATATATATATATTGGTGTATTAAGGAGTACGGAATTGTTTATGCCCAACCTACAGATGAGCTAAAGATCCCAGATGAATTTTGCAGTAAGGATTTGGACATGAACAGCGACCTGCAGTACCTCCTGCCCCGGCGGCAGGGTCCAGGCCTGTGTGCCACAGGGCTGGTCAGCTATCTGGTAACTCTACACAATGAGTTGGTGAATGCAGTGGATAGCCACACCGGAGAGGACAGCAGGTACAAAACACCAAGTTTGTTGTCCAGTGGAAAAGAGATTTTTTTCATTGTAAGAATGCAAAATACTGTCTTAACAATGCTGCACATTAATTGTACCATAAAGATAATCTGTCTAAAAATAATAGTCAAGTGACCATATGAACAATTAAAGAGGTTTTGCCTCCTATAATAATTCCTTTTATTCATTCTGGTCATTAAATGTCCAGTGTGTAACATTTAGGAGGATCTATTGGCAGAAATGGAATCCACTTTTACTGTGTTTGAGCACCAAGCATCGTATATGTAAACAGAGTCCACCTCCTCACGTCCTTCGCTCTGTCAGCTCAGAACATGGTCCGCCTGTCAAGGATCTGGGATGTTGATGCAACAGGCACTGACTTCCTGAGTCTTTTTTCGTCCAAACCAGACATTATTGAGAAGCAGCCTCAAGTCCAACCTGGGCTAGCGAGGCTTCTCTTCCCTCTACTTCTGGAGTGACATCACTCGATTGTTGGCTATTTTAGCCCCAAATTATTTGTGTATAATCATCTGAAAATAAAACTGGTTATGTTAACCTTTTATATCTACAGTTGCAATCTGCATTTACACTAGATGCCACTAAATCCTACACACAACAGACATTTAACATGTTTGCCGAAAACAAAACATGTTTGCTGTACTCTAGAAATCTGGGACAACTTATAAACAAAAAATATGTCTTAAAGAGGTTTTGTGCCTTTTTGGTTTGGATAAAGAAATGTTAATCCAGGAATAAAAAGCTCATATTTGCATTGTGATGTCTGCAGCAGTTACAAAGTGAATGTGGCAGAGCTAACGGAGCAGCATGTGATCCACTATGAGGTGGAGAAAGACCTGCTTCCTCTAGTTTTATCCAACTGCCAGTACAGCTTGGAGCGTGGCCATGAGACAATATCACAATATGACCTGCCCAGGATCCAGCAGCAGATCCTCACACGCTTCCTGCAGGGAAAACCCCTCATCACCCGCACAGTGAGTCCACACAGCCTGGTTTGGTTACTACAAATGACAGAAGCATAAACAGACACACACAAGCCGAACCTGCCATGTACATTCTATTTGTTCTGAAATATGCATCACCCTGGCGAGGAACACATTGAGTCTTCCATCATGGCTTGCACTACACAGAGTGTTATCGACCCTCCTAGACCAGTGTCATTATGTCAGGCTACAGCCAGTCAAGACAAGAGAGAGCAGGAACATTATTTAGTTTGACTTGGTTTATTTTGGGCTGTCATATTGTATTAGACTTCTAGCAAACCTAGATGCATCCAACACATTACGACTTCAAGAAAAAAAAAAGTATTTTGTCATTATTGCATCTGCTCTGTGTTGTCTTGTTTTTTTAACAGTTTTATTTCTGTATTTTCCTGCTTCACTAAACTCACTGGGCTTTATTCTAGGGAATTCCTACTCTGGTCAACACACAAGAGAGAGACTATGAAACAATTTTCAAAGCTGTTAAAAGAAAAGTGCACCAGGTAAATGAATGAACCATGCACATTACATTACTTTGGCACAGTAGAAAACTGAATTGTGATGTCTGAGTACATATTATGTTATAAAATTTCCCTTAAATATGTTTCATCTTACACATGTACCTAGTCAAAATACAAATATACTCTGTGTCACATGCCTTTAACAAAAGAAGGAAGATGATTTTCAATCCAATTAATCCAATGGTAATGTTTTTTCTATAAAACATCAGGAAATAGTAAAAATGGTTTTCACAATTTAGCTGAGGCCAGGGTTCTTCAAATTACCTGTTTTAAGTCAAAACTCACAGATGTTCATTTTACAGTTATGTAAAATGGAAGGGCAGCACATCCTCTCATGTGAAAAGCTGTAACCAGAGAATGTTTGGTATTTTTGTCAATACATCAAGTATTAGTCTGTTACAATGGTTGCTGATTAACCTTTTGTCAATTGACTGATCAGTTAACCAGTTAGTGAACGAATAGCTTGTTCTAATATTTACAGTGATAATAGTTGGTCCTGTAACAAACTACAGCTACTACCTTGTAAAGTACAAGGTTTCAATCCAACATGCTGCGTGTTTATTTTTGACAAATATAACTATCATATTTATTTTGTAAATGAAATAGTAAAAATCTTTGAGTTTTACCTAAATGTTTAGAAACATTTTTTTATATTTAGGGTAAAAATGTTGTTAAATGGCAGGTATCTCATCTCAACAGTAATATTCATATATAGATAGTTAAACATTCAGTAAATTAACTGTAAAATTTGACATTTGTAATATAAGTACATATAGTACAATATCGAAGAGACATATTTACCCATTATGTCTTCATCTTCATTCATACTTTGTTGTTCCTTCAGGATGCTTTGTCCTCTCTGACCCGGAACGCCATGTCCAGAGAGCTGGACTCTTACAGCGAGGTTTGTGAGGCTCTGAAGATTGTGGAGCTGCTTCTCGGTTTCCTCTCAGTGGCTGGTGGTGATCCGAGGATGTCGCTGGTCACTTACCTCCAGGACATCCTGAAGATGGCCGACCACATCAATCATCACATATTGCAGGTTGATGCATATGCAGTCTCTTTGTCTGGAGTGATAATAAATAATAAATAACATCAGCAAACAGGTAGCTTTGTAATCCTCTGCAAAACTAAAAACACACCAACCTTTGTAATGCTGACGACTCATCCTAATGCTAATCCTTTTGCAAGAATTCACTGGGCCTGGGTTGTGACTGAGGCTTGCTCTGTTATTGGAGCACAGAGCAAAAAAGGGAAAGGACTTCGTAAAGGGTTTAAGATCCCTGTTGTGTGTTGTCAGACTATTTAGAACAGATTCTTTACTCTGCTGTGTGTTGTTTCTTCAGGCTCTGAACAGATGCAGGCTCACACACTGTGTTTCTCTGTGGCAACACCTCTCCTTTATCAAGTCTGAAAACATGCTGCGACTCAAGATGGTAAGAGTTTCTTTTGAAGAATTTATGGGCTGGTTAAATGCAAAACAAGAGCACTGAACAGAAAAAGTTAAAAACCTGGGTATTAGAATCATGCTTTAGCTAATCTACTGTGTCCATGGCAACTTTACACTTCCTGCTTACATCCCCGAAAGCAACCTGGGGGTCACCAAATATTGACTGGGGGGGTCAATATTTATGTCATTCTTGTTTTCAAGGCTTTAACGAAACTTAAAAAAATAAAGTATTAAATATATACTATATTTCAGCAATTCATTCATTTCTGTGGAGAAAACTAAATTAAATAATTATTTTTATAGTTTAAATTATTATTTAAGATTTTAACTAAAATCTCGTAGGATAAGGGCACTTATTATCATTATTTGTTTATTTTTTGCAAATTTACTACAAACACAAAATTTAATTCAGAATATATACTGTAATTTAACACATAAAATACCTCACCCCATGTTTCTATAAAAAGGAGCCCTTTTCGGGGTATCCGGCGGAGTATCAGATGCCGCTGACAGAGGAAGACAAGGTTGAGCTGAAAAGCTTCATATCCGGGGGAAACTTGGACCAATGGCTGCTTGAGATGCACGAGTTCCTCCTGTTGAATCTGGGCCGCCTGCGTGCCACTGAGTACTTCAACCCAACCTGGAGGTAAACCTCTTCCAGCAAGAACCCAAATACATTTTCTGAGATGTGGATTAACTAAACCTCACCATCAGTACAAAGTCATGCTGTGCAGCCAAACATTGTTCAAATGTTATTTTATTGTTTTAATGGTTCCCAAATCTATTTTTAAAGTGATGCACAAGACAAAATATTTAGTTTGATGAAATTATACAAAGAATAAAAAACGAGGAGTTTTTAATATTTCACTCAGTGTAAGCATCATATTTATGGTATGCAGTTCTGAAACAAGGAAGGGCTCGCACTCTATTGTTTTGTCTGTTGACTGTTAATCATTGTTTATACTGACATGTGCGGCTTGTAATTACCTCATCTATTGAGTCCGCCATCTTGAACTGCCATCTTACTACAGTAGCCCAGAACAGACAAACCAAACACTGATTCTAGATAGCACCTTCCATGCTTTTTTGCGAATTTCATGGCCAATGTACTTCCTCCTTCACTTGGTATTCAGTTGGTTGCAATCGGCAACTTCACCTCTAGATGCACTAAATCCTAAAAACTGGTCTTTGAGAATCTCTGGTGGCTGATATTTGATGTAATTTCAATGCCAGCTTGGACGACGACTGTGGAGGCTGAGTCATGGTTATTTATTAGATGTACACTGGATGTAATGCCCTTAATACAATGTGTGTGTTTAGGTCCTTGAATTGTAGAAACTGTATGGGAAAACAACCATTAAAGATGAGAATAGGAGAGGACAATTGCAAAACGTGGCCCTTCCGTTGAATGAAACTGAGAAAGTAATGTGTTAAGATTCATATTTTTTTCTTCTTCTTAGTGTGAAAGAGACAATTGCTGCCTACATGGACCGTAAAGAAGTGGAGGTGCCTCTTTACGTGAAAGAGAAGTTTCCTGGAAGTCTGGAGCTCTCCAAGATTGTGGAGACCTGGAAATACACCATCACAGCCAAACAGGAATGGATGATGGAGGGATGAATTGGAAGAGTTTTGATTTTATCAGGTTAAGATCTGATCATTTTGGAAACCAAAGGGTTTTACTTTTTCCAATATCTTTTTGCTATTTTGATAGTGACAATAAGGATAGGGAGAAAGGCCTTGGAACGAATCCTTCATTTGTAGTACATGCTCTACACAGTGAGCTGCCAGGGATTTTATCTTGTTTCTTTTTATATTTTTCTGTTTTTATTGAATTTTCTGTGATACACATGTATGAAAAATAAAAAAAACAATTCAAGGCTTTTTAAAAACAATGAAACATACCAAGAATGATTAAATCTGAATGCAGGAAGCTTCAAATATATACAGTTTATTTAGTGTTAACATGAGCCAGTCGATAATTTACTGCATTTTATCAATATAGTTGAAATAATAATAACAAAAACTGTCCCAGACTCATTTTAAGAGGAAAATGTTGTATGCATTTGATGAACATAAATGTTTTATATGGTTTTTTTTTAGGTTGTATGTGTTTTATATTATATTATCGTTTCAGGATTATTTTTACATCTTTTGCATAAAGATTATTTTATTGTTTGACCACCAGTTTAATAGTTAAGGTAATGAATCTGCAGGGTGGGGGATTAACTTTTACTTTTATTATACGTTATTTTTTTTACTTTTTTATTACAAAAATATTCTATCTTAAAATAAATCATGTTAGAATTATCAGACCCATAGCTGAGAAGGTTTGTGTGAAAGAGATTGGATATTGTTTGAGGTCTGGTTGAAGCTGATTTATATTTGTTTTTTTTGTTCAGTCTCGACATGTTTTAGGTTACAAGAGGAAAATGTTGCATGCCTTTGACAAACATAAATGTTTATATTATCAGTTTCAGGATTATTTTTTTCATCCTTTGGCTAAAGTTTATTTCATTGTTTTACCACCAAAATGTTATAGTAAAGATATAACGAATCTGCAGGGTGGTGCGATTAACTTTTTACTTTTATTACACATTATTTTATTATCTTAAAAGAAATCTTTAAAAGAAATCATGTTAGAATTATCAGACACATAGCTGAGAAGGTTTGTGTGGAAGAGATTGGATATTGTTTGATGTCTTTGATTTATCTGATTTATGTTTAGTTTTTTTTTGTTCAGTCTCGACATGTTTAGGTTTTAGAGTCTAGAGACAATCATGGTCATAGTGTGTGACCACAAGGATGTTTAACAGCCTGGATATATGTGTGTGTGAACTCTTCACTGAAGTTTTCTAGTTTCAGAAAATCTAAAATCCTTTTTAAACCTTCTAAGTCTTATTTTTAAGACTCCATAAGCAGGAAGTGTGAAGTTTTATAGTTAAGATAATGAATCTGCAGTGTGGTGGGATTAACTTTTTATTTTTATTATACATTTATTTTTTACTTTTTTTTATTACAAAAACATTTTATCTTAAAATAAATCTTTATAAGAAATCATGTTAGAATTATCAGACACATAGCTCAGAGGGTTTGTGTGGAAGAGATTGGATATTGTTTGATGTCTTTGATTTATCTGATTTATGTTTTTTTTTTGTTCAGTGTTGCTCGACAATCATGTTCATTGGGTTACTAAGAGGATTAAATATTGTATGCCTTTGACAACTTTACATAAATGTTTTTATTATCAGTTTCAGGATTATTTTTAACATCTTTTGGATAAAGTTTATTTCATATGTTTGACCACCATTTTATAGTCAAGATAAAGAATCTGCAGTGTGGTGGGATTAACTTTTTACTTTTATTATTACAAAAATATTTTATCTTAAAAGAAATCTTCAAAATAAATTATGTCAGAATTATCAGACACATAGCTGAGAAGGTTTCTGTGGAAGAGATTGGATATTGTTTGATGTCTTTGATTTATCTGATTTATGTTTTGTTTTTTTTGTTCAGTCTGGATATGTTTTAGGTTTTAGAGTCGAGACAATCATGGTCATAGTTTGTGACCACAAAGATGTTTAACAGCCTGGATATGTGTGTGTCAACTCTTCACTGAAGTTTTCTAGTTTCAGATTTCTTTTTCTTTTTAACATTTTAAGTTTTATTTTTAATCAAAATATTATGTCAAACAAGTCAAATATATAAATGTTCATATGTTTTTATTATAGGAGTGATTATTACAATTTTAAATTATTTTATTTGTATTAACTAATCAATAAATCAGTTTATATATACATACCTGAGACACTGTCAATCATATTGAAAGTATATATTATTTTATCTGCTGATCCAATCTTACTAAATGTATCTATTAAGCTTTCTGTAATTGTTTTAGATGCAGTCTGGTTCTTTTTATTGTGAGAAATTAGATTTTTAGCAGGATTTGGTATTCCAACTTTTCATCCAGTTTTCATGTCATTGTGTTTTTCAAAACTTTAAAGACATAAAGACAATGTGTAAGATTTATGCTACTAAAATAAACAATTCTAATCTTTTCTTGGTCCCATTCATATGAACTCCTTTATGTGATCAAAGAACTGGTAAGACTTTGCTGAACCTTTTCATTAGATTTTAACTTTTGTCTTCATTATACAGCATATTGTCCACATTAGTAAACCCTGAACGTCAAATCAAGAATCACAATAAAGATCCAGTGTGTAACTTTTCTATTAGCAGGAACACAATATAATATTCATACATGTCTTCATTAGTCTACAATCACCCAATAATAAGAATTATGTTTTTGTTAGAATAAGACGTTTTTATCTAAAAGACTGAGTCACACTGTGTTTCTACAGTAGCCCAGAAAGGACAAACCACACACAGGCTCTTGCCACTTATAGTTTCTCTTTGGCACTTGGAAGGGGAGGGTGAAGAGAGGGAGTTACAATCTCTAAGCACACAGCTAGATGCCCCTAAATCATCCACACTGGACCTTTAAAGGACACTAAATGTAACAGTAACATATCTGACAAAGAGAACCAACAGCAGCCGACTGTGATTGAATCTTTAAAAGGACGATAAGTTCTAAATAAATACAACAGCTTTAACAAAAGTTGTTTTATTCTCATGTTCTCATGTAAATAAATTACAACACCGTCTTTAGTTACAAAAATAAAATGAAACCCAACTAACACGAAACACGTTGGACTTAATCATTTCAGACTTAAGAAAATGAGAATTTATTTTTTTCTGGAAATCGTAATTATCATAATGTGTCATCTTACAAATGCTTTAACAAAAGTGTTGATTTTCAGGGGCTGATTCCTCGTTCCCCGACTGTCAATCTACTGCTGTGATCGGACCGTACAGCGCAGCAGACAAACAAAAAGGTTGCAAGAACTTCACAGACAACACACAAATAAAGAGCAAGTTAAAAAAAAATATTCATGCAACATAAGTTGGGGCCGGGCAGTTTCTTTACCATGAAAACCAAAGAAATTAAAATAAAAACCTAATTCCAGTGTACCAACTGATGGGAAACTTTTTTTGGGATAATATAATGTGATTTATGATACAAAACATTCTTGCAAAGTTGTAATGATTCATATACATTGATACTAAAGAAGAAGTCTGTCAGCTGAGACTGATACACTGGTACGTGGTCATAATAAAAAAAAGCAAATTACAGATGCTAAAAAACAAAATTCAGTGCCAAAGCACAGCTTCTCTTTGCTTCTCCCAGTGTGATTTCTACAATGGTCCGTCTTGACAAATATCACAGCAGAAGGAAACACCAGAGAGTTAATTTTATCTTCATGTACTGAAGGAGTAATCGCTCTGAGTTATGTGTTGTTGATGGTTTAATGTTGTCTCTCAGTGCTGGTTCTTCATTCCCTGTGGTTTGCCCAGTTTCTTATCCTGCTGCTGCGGCTGTTGTTGCTGCTGCTGCTGCTGCTGCTGCCCCCGACCAGGGCCGGTCATTCCTCTGCCACGGCCACCGAACAGACCTACAGAGAGAGCCAGAGGTGGAGAGAGGAATGTCATTTTTGTTAGCTATGGTCAGTATTGTTCAGACAGAAAAATATGTATAATAGCTTAGAGTTTGCCAGATTTAGTCAAGTCATCTAATGTCTGACAGGTTTCACTCTGAGTGAACGGAGGTGCTGAGGTGAATACAGGAACTGTGATAGTGGCGCTCAAAAAAACATGCACACAAAAAGCTAATCCTACTACTTTTGACTTTTTCTAGAGCACAATGATCCTAACCTATAATTGCTTTAAAAACACATAAATTAGCAGCAACATTGGCCAAATGTGTCTCATATAATTTTTTCTGATATAAACATCTTGAATTTGAGCTGCTGAAATGTGGGAGTAGATAAGACGACATACAGTGTGTGGAGATGCAGACCAATGGGATAGAAAAATATCTTTAGCTCTCTAAAGAGTATTTTCCAGTTATATAATTTGACATTTTAATCAGCCTAATGATAGAAATTCCTCCATTCATTAAAGAGTAGGGAACTCTTCAACGACTTAAAACAAAAATCTTACATGATTTACACCTGACACTGACGATAAAAGAAGCATTTTAATGTTTTGGGCAAAAGTGATGATCCTGAGAGGGTGTGCACTTTATATTAGCAGAGAAGTTTGGAAACAACCAAAATCGGATGTGCAAATATTCCCATTAAGACGGCAGGACACAAACAAACGTGCGTTTCCACTCACCGCGGCCGGCTCCTCCTCTTCCTTTGCCCTGCTGTTTGTTCTGCTGGGTGCCTCCACGTCCGCGGCCCTTCGACACAACCTCCTCCTTCACCATGTCGATGATCTCGTCTGGAATTCGCAGATACTTGATGGTGCTTCCTCTGATGTAGCACTCGGGCATCCTCCAGAACTTATCTCCATCCTGCCAGAGGGGAGTGGAGGCGTCAATACATCCTAATAGTAATGTCTCTTTTAAAAAGTTTCAGTCTATATCTTTGAGGTCAGTTTAGGATCTCTGTCCTTTGTTTTCTATTGTAGTTTCATGGGAGTGATTGCTATTTTTCTTGTATTTTTTTCATTTCATTTTTTTGTAATTATTTACAGGCCAAAATAAATGTGTGTTTGCTTAGTCATTATTTTATTTTAACATTTTGGCTTTTTGCCCACCATCATTTTAATACAGAATAATCAGAGGGTATTTGCAAGTACAGTTTGAGATTCTACTCACACTGTAACAACAGCAAAATGGGAACAAATGATTAACTGACTGGTGGAATAATTAAGTAATAAATCAACAGAGGGGTAAATGATTCACATTTTCATAACTGGTTAATTTCTCCGGTCAATTATCCAGAGAAACGTTTGCTGATCAGCAAATCCAATGCAAAGGATTGCTGTTTTTCAAATGATTTATAGGAATATTGTTTTTTGACATTAGACTTTATAAGCAATTTGCCCTGATTAGCATTTTGTAGGCTCAGTGATAAAATAGTTAACTAAAATGAAGTTTAAGGGATTACAAAAATAATTGTTAATTTCAGCCACAGAAGCAAGTTTAATAAATGATGACACCTGAAAGTAAACACTGAGAGGCTGTATAAACTAGTAACAGTAAAAGATAAAAGAACACAAAAGTACTGGACCAAAAACTAAACAAAAAAATGTAATTAATCTTAAGATTATGAACTATGGAGTGATTGTTAAAAGCCTCTGTGGTTAATGGCCATAATCTTTTCTTGCCCGTTATATTTTAAGAGCGATGCAACTTATCTACAGCAGGAGACTCTGCAGACAACACTGACACCTACAGCTAGAGCTACATGTTAACACTGGGCCACAGAGATGTCTATTGCTACTACTACTTGTCCTCTCTCACTGCTGGAAGCACTGTGTCTGAAGTGATTTAGCTTTACCCTCGAGGTGCAGATAACTTCTCTCAGGTTGATGTTCATCCAGTTGTCACAGCTGACAAGGTGGCCGTTGTATGTCTCTCCATTCTTCAGCTCCACCAGCTGAGGAGAGAAAGGACATAAACAGCCGTCAGCTTTATAATACTGACGACACAATGCAGGATGGGTGACAAGACACAGCAAGTACAGGCTACACAGATTGCAAGGTACAATACAAGCAAAAACAAAAACAACGTTGCCAGGGTTGGAGGTAGTTTATCAAATTATACTGAAATAATTTAACTTGATAATAAAAAAATTAAAAAAGCTGAAACTGCAACAGGAGCAGCACATAGAGCATAATACTAACTAATTATATATATATATATATATATATATATATATATATATATATATATATATATATAAATAAAACTATCTATCTTTATAAGATTTTAAAACAAATAATTATTTAAAATGTAAATAAAGCCCAAGGGAAGCCGACCAAACCTTAGTAACTGCATAAAGGTTACTCTTAAACTATAAAATGATCAGAAGACAGATTAAAAACAGTATAAATATTTACATTTACTGCTTACAGACTAACAATCAGGAACGGTTAGTTTCTTTACAGTTATAGATAAAATACTTTGGGTGATTTAATTTTGCCTTCTTTCAGTCCGTAAGCATTTCTTCCCTTTCTGATCTGATACCTTGCAATAATGATCAGCAGTTTAACAGCTAAGTTATATAAATCAATAAATAAACAGATAATAAACATTAAAATGTGTCAAGTTGCTGCACATCCACATGCTTTAATAAACTCAGTGACAGCAGTGTCTCCTCACCATGGGATGGTTCTGGGCAGTCTTCAGCAGAGAGAGTGGAAGCTGCAAAATCAAAAGACAAACAGGTCACAGGTAGGAACTCACCTGTCCATCAACAGCATGTCAGGGCTGCTTTTGAGGTTACACTCAAACTTTAACCTTCAGACATACACAACCTTCCTTTAACTGACTAACTCCTGCAGGCTGTCTGCTACAATGGAGAACCCATAACTCACCCAGCAGTGTGTTATCTCAATTAAACCAACTCCACTTGCAGTTCAATAAGCTTCAATCACCAGTTCAGCCCGATATAGAGGAGTTATCGGTAGCGGTATGTATTTAAAAACAACCGACTGTGTGTCAGTGATGTTTTAATGGCGCTGAAGCAGCTAACGCTAACAGACCGCAGCTAACACACACACACTCATTAATATGACGTCAGTTAGCACAGCAGGCGGGTAACAGACAGTGTGAGACAACTACCGACGCTTTATCTGAACTCTACTGTTAAATACTTACCATAGTGGCAGTCTCTTTGATTCAGTGTCTCACTTTCTGTCTCAGTTCGTCACTGACACGATTTCACTTCTTCTTCTTCTTCTTCTTCTTCTTCTTCTTCTTCTAATGCTTTTCCGGCGCCGCGGTGCGTAATCAGTGACGTACGACGAGCTGCTGCCCCCTACAGTTAAGAGCAGGCGTTGCAGATTCTTCTTCTTCTCTCTTGTTTTAGGGCGGTTGGCCTCCAGCTTATTGGTGCCCTTACCGCCACCCTCTGGTCCGGAGTGTGAGTCAGAAACTATCAATAAATAACGATCAATAACTACAATATAATAATGTACAATAACCCTGTGTATCTATCTATCTATTTATTTATTTATTTATTTATTATTTATTTTTCCATTGCAGAAATTCTAAAACATAAATACAAACAAACACATCTACCCATGCTGTATATATTGTATACTTTCATATCTACCTTCCTCATGTACATAAAGAAACCTGCACCTAAATATGTATTTCAACATCCCTTGCACTATTGTCTACTCTCTACAAATGTTATTTGTTTGTTTATTTATGTAAACCTGTTTAGTTTATGTCTATTTTGTTGAGCTTGTTGTCCTGTTTATTATCTATGCTTAGTCTTCCTGGTATGTGTGCACATGCCTGGCCAATAAAAGTGATTCTGCTTCTGATAAATAAAGAAACACCGCAATTAATAACCTAAGAAAATAACTTTACATTAGTACAGGAGGAAAAAAACATATATAAATAGTGAAAATCATAATATTATCTACTTATTCTTGCCAATTACTAATTCATATCATATATATATATTATATTTATTTACCTATTAATCCACTATCTGTGTTTATTTATTTGTTTACGTCAATTTTTTTACGTCCCCCACTTGATTTATCAGCGTCACGTTGCTGACGTAATCACGCAACGTCGCCCGTTGAGCCGAGGACCGGTCGGGAGTGTGGCAGAAGGAGCCGTTAGCGGTGGAGGGTGCTCGCTCCCTTTACGGTCCTGGTCCACAAACAAATACAAGACCCACTAACAAATAAAAGAAATAAAAAAAAAGGAAACAACGGGACTCCCTCCCACCTGTGACCGGACGGGCGATGGATAACAGTAAACGGACGGTGGTCGTTACAGGTTTGTCTTCTTTGTCCCGCCGTAGTTTTCTTTGTCGGCAGCCTGAAACAACCGGATGAAGTGGAGGAAAAGTTGTAGAGATGACAGCTGCTGTAACGTTAATGGCGGTCGGGCTGTTACTGCTCCACTCTGCTGCTGGAGACTGTCGATTCAAACGTTGTTGCTTTGTTGGTTGTGATAGTGACAACATTGAAGTGGTGGTGGGTTATTTTAGTACAATCTGAGGCTCCTGACAAGATATGTGACATTATATATATATATTTTTTTTATCGTTGTTGTTTTCTGTTTACTTCACCAAAGGCCACAATCAATATAAAGATAAATAGTATAAAAAAAACACTAAATAACTCTCTAGAAATGATAGAAATGTGTAATAATTGTAGTTATTGGTGAAATATGTTAACTATAGACTGTGGTCTATATCATTAGGTGCACAAATAAAAATCAGAGTTATCTCTGACAGCAGTTTTTTGGTTGTTATTATCTTTAAATGTCACTTTAATATGTGTGAATGACAGACAATGCTGGGAAAAGGCTTCCTACATCTATGAAATTATTATGTTGTATTGTCTGGGATTCATATGCAGAGATTTAGTTGTAATAGTCAAAACATTTTCAACTTGTCTGTACAAAAGAAAGAGTGTCTATTCGTCTTTATGGCTTTGTATTGTGAGTTTGTTCTCAACACCCGGCCTCTTTCCAGACAGACATGGTGTTATTTTTATAGATTTGGGTAAAGTGGTTAAAAGTAAATAACAAGATAACCCAATAACCAACCAATGATTGTGTTCCAGTATCAATATCCTGCTGTATTTTTTTGTATTGAAGCATTTTATTTACAATTTAATCACATTCCTCTTTATTGTAATATTACATTTTGAACCTAAAGCTGTTTTTAGCTGCGTCCTACCAATCTGTCTTAAAAGCTGCTTTATGTGTTTGTAGCATTTTGCATCATTATAAATTAAACAAGAAAGACTCTACCTAAATAATGATTACAGTGACATGAATGTATCAGTAAGTATTCACTTCTAACCACTTAAATATAATATTTTTCCAAGTGCACAAACTACAGTCATGCACATTCAGTCTGTGGAGGATAACAGAAGCAGGGACTTGATGTTTTCAGACACAAAGGGGTGCAGAGGCTTGCAGTCCCCGGCTAATAGAAGATGTGTAGATTGCCTGGGAACAGCACCTTCACAATAGCGGGCCGGCTTGCAGCTGCCGGCCCCTCACTCTGCTCCTTTTCAGCAGCCTGTCAGACAGACTGACCCCCCTCTGCCTCCACCCAATCCCCAGAGACCGGCTGACCCTTAGAAAGGTGGTGGAAGGGGATCAGTTATAGATCCCTATATAAACAAGCTTGAGTGAATATCCATAGGCTGCTGCTATTTCGTAGGAGGAGTGGAGTGATTTTTAGTGAAAGTGATTTTAATTTGGTAATTCAAGGAAAGCATTGACATCAACACACTAAGGTCTCATATTCAAGCCTAACAACGCAGCCCATTCAGTAGGAGTTAATTCATTCTTTATTACAAAGGGAGATTCCTAAGATAGCCCATAGCTGTTTGGAAGTTACACTGCGTTCACTCATCTGCTTCCACAGAATTAAATGTATTTGCATTTGCTTTTTAACGTTATTTTTCTAATGTGAGACCCACTAGAGACCATGTTGCAGGAACACACAACACATCATTGTTTACATAATGTAACTCAGTGCAGCAACTACAATAACTTATGTGTTTTGCAGGTTTTGGGCCATTTGGAGAGCACACGGTCAACGCCAGCTGGGTAGCAGTAGAGGTGTGTTTTCCACATTCATTATGTTTTTCTGTGGTGTGAAATAAATCAGCGTGAGGTACTTATATTAAAACAAGACTGTTGCAATTGATACTTTTTTAAATTTCTATGTATTTAGTTTATGTCAACAAACAATTTATCTCTCATGTTGAGCTTGTTCTAGTAGAGGTCACATGATGCTCTGATAGTCGCCGGCCGGCTTCACCCCATGCAGCAGTGTGTCGGAGGCTCTCTGCGTCCTACTGGGGAAAACACATGTGGGGGATGACGGTGGTTGTCAGGGTGTCTAGACGGACTTGATAAGGATATTAAAGGCAAACAAAAGGCCGCTTTGTGGCGAGGTCACAGACGTGGTCAAACAAGCCTCTTTTTAATACAAGTGGGGGTCAGTGTCCAGGGCTATTTGTCCTGCGGGAGATTGGGGGAGGTGTTCGTCTAGTGGCTGTGAATTTGACACAGATTTTTCTTACTTACAATATGTGTGATTGCATCTTTTATTTCTTGCTTTTTTCATGCTTTTACTTTTGAATATGGTTGAGTATTGCAGTTAAATCTTCTAATTTGCAGTTTACATTTCTTTTTTCAAAGGGTAAAATCATGTTATTTAGAAAGGGCAAGGCCAGTGAGAAACATCTGTCCTTTAAGAAAAAGCAAAAAGGACTGACATTTACCTGCTCAAACAGAGTTAATTAACATTAGCCCAAGATCATCATCACTGGTTCTGAAAAGTGTATTGTGTATTTGTATGATTTTGTATTGTATTGAATGGGAAATATTGTTTTAATTTTAAAGTAATGTATATTTTACTATAGCACACTAAAGCTGACGACAGGCAAATGTAAGGGCATATTTTACAACATTTCTTTCAGTGAAGAGGGAATAGAAAAAGAGAGCAGTGATCATTTACTAAACTAATGCACAGTTGGAGAAGTGAAAAAGGCTTGAATGAAAGGCTGCTGTTGCTAATATATTTAATATTATTATTATATTGATTTACTACAGTTTTATAATTTTGTATTATATAAACTCAGAGGTGCACCTACTTGCTTCACTCATTCTTAACAAGACCATAAGATGCTGTTAAAAGCACAAAAAGGTATCAAGTGGACTTTTTATATTTTGTCTTGTCACATACTGAAAAACTAGTTTTCATGCTTGTGTATTATCAGGTTACGTATGGTTCTGTTTTGTAGTTGTGCTAACTTGCTTTTGAGTACAGCGTTACAATCATTGGTCCACCTCTCCACATATTAAAACTAGTTTGAACTAAACCTTTTTTCTAGTCGATAAATTTTGGAGCTTGCCAGTGATGCTAATCAGCCTTAATTTCACCGAGATAACCTGTGCATACATTACATTAAATGGGCGTGTATGATCACTTGACAAGTATAATTAGATTTTTGTTCCCACATGCTGATAGTGTGCAAATTAAAAATTAAATTTTCAAAATAAAATGAAAAATGCCAAAGCTTTTTAAAAGGGGAATTATTTTAGTTTTGATGTTTTTGTTTGTCCTCACAGGAACTGAAGAAACTTGGACTGGGCAGTGAAGTGAACTTGCATGTGTCTGAAGTTCCTGTAGAGTATCAGACAGTCCAGAGTTTGGTTCCCTCATTATGGAAGCAGTATCGTCCACTGGTAAGAGGAGAACACAGGAGAACACACCCATCCACATTATTCCAGTGTGAAAGGTGCAATACAAGAACTTGTGTCTGCCTCAGTTTCATATTACGTCTGAATTTACTGCCACATATTTCAGGTCTGATGTAAGTTATAATAGGATCGGATACACCCTGAGAACAGTCGGATAATAATAAATGTGTGGAACACATCCTGCATTAAATTGCAGACTTTTAATCAAGAAATGACTGGCTCTGATGCAAGCTCTTTATGAGGGAGTTTTGGGTCTGGTTTAGTAGTTCTTGGGTTCAGATGTGTGTTTTGTGTTGAATATACGTGCATTTCTGGTCCAGTAAAAAAAAAATCACAGCTCCTTTTTAGACAACTGGGGTTCAAACAAGCACAGAAGTCTGAGAGAGATGCCACATATATATTGTGATCGATCTTGGAACCCACTGATTATTGTCTGATGACGATTTAGTCTATGGGGGCAACGGCCAGTGTTTCAGGGTTTTCGGTGTAGCCAGCAGATATCCGGGTCAAGTCCTCCTCTGCAGTCTGATTAGCAACTTGATACGCAAGAATGGCAAGACAGACACATTAGGGTTAATCTCCACAGATATCTGCGTATGACTGCAAATTAAAAAAAAGCAAAATTGTTGTCAGACAATGGTGGACAGGTTCCGAGGTTGCACTCCAGCCAAAGCATCCCTCCTCTTTTGCTGTCCACATGAACTGTTTACCTGCTTTCATCCAACGCCCGCTCAGATGTGATTGGTCAATACTACTCGGAATACAAATCGCCAAAATCTTGGTCCTTTGCATACAGATTCTGATATTTATCTTTTTATACTAAGTATATTATGATTAATGATTTTATTGTTTCCTTTGTTTGCCAGTTGGTAGTTCATGTTGGAGTCTCAGGTATGGCCACCACTGTCACACTGGAAAAGTGTGGCAGAAATCACGGCTACAAGGGCCTGGACAACAGCAGCTTCTGTCCTGATTCACAGTGTTGCATCGTGGGAGGCCCGGACTGTATCGACTCAGTCATTGACATGGAATCAGTCTGCAAAAGAGTGAGCGCCTCTGGGCTGGGAGTAGCTGTGTCCGTCTCCAAAGACGCTGGAAGGTAATATTTACTCATTTTCTTTTAGTTAAACTCAGCTTTTGTTTTGACTTTCACGTCTGAATCATATGCTTCAAATCCAGAGGGAAAGTTATATGAAAACACATTCATGTCAACACACAAATCAGACGTACGCAATGTTTACCCTCTGCATTGTGAGGTGCATTCAGGTTGACAGTTTGAGAGCTGAGGTGAAACTGTGTGCAATAAAGGATGGAGGAGAGGTGGGATGTACTGTTGCTTAATGGGAACTCAAATCTCTTCCATCTGTGCAAATAAAGTTGAGTCAAAATAGCAAACTACCTCATTAGATCATCGATAAACAATACAATAAATAACAAAAGGTATACTTCTTTCTGGTGTAGGTAGTGTATCTTAAAAGAACACATTGCAGTTTATATATTTTTGTATTTATTTTTTACTACTACTACTGATAATAGGCCAATTATATCTATATGTCATTTGAATCCCATTAAACTGAAGATAAATATGTTTCATTAAAGATAATAACCTGACCTGTGTTTTTGTCATTGGAGACGACCACAAAGCAGAAATTTAACAAAATACTTTTCTGCAAGACATTTTACATAATTTTGTAGTAATAATGACCACATTAGTAAAATGTTGTTATTAAACAAGTCTCTCTCTCTCTCTCTCTCTCTCTCTCTCTCTCTCTCTCTCTCTCTCTCGTTAGTGAAGCCTGTTAACATGGAGGTACTGTATACACAGGATTGCTACTAGATAACTTACACAGCAGCAGTTTATATGACAGAGATCTTATCTGCATTATCTACCGAAGTTAATGAGCCTGAACAATACAGGAATACAGGAGACAAAAAACTTTATTATATTGACATTAGATTGTTTAAAAAACTGATAACTGATAACATCAGTTCATGTGTGTTAACAAATAAAATCATTAAATACATTTTTTTTATAAGAATCCCTTAAATGTAGTTATTAAAGTATTGTAAACAGTGAGTGTGACGAGGTCAAACTGATGCAGTCTAATACAACAGTCCTGCAATAAATCTTCCCTTCATAAAGGTTATAATGTTCTGTTTTGTATTGATTCAACTTTATGAGGATTTTGGAGGCTGCAGTTTGTGGTGTTGTTGAACTGTCTTGTGTTACACTGAGAAGTGTTTCTGTTGTTTCGACTTCCCTCACTGATATAAATGGATTTATATTTACATTTTTAAAATCTTATTTATAATAGGACTGCTGTATTAGACTTCATTATCATCATCATCTTTGGTATTTCTGTACTACACTTTCTTGTGCTGATGCTGATACACCTGCGATAAGCTAGAATCTGACATGCTGAGATATTTATCAGGTTATAGAAACAAAATCAACATTTTCATTAAATATAACAGCAGGTGTTGTGATCTGGCTGGCTTACTTTACGTCCATGTGTACGGCTAATCTATGGCGTCACTCACATGATGCCATAAAGATGTTATTTATGTGTGTGCTTTGCGCTTTGTATATGTTTGTCAGCACAAGGTTATCCAGGCAGAAATTGGGAACCTTATAAACAAATGTATGCGCACATTGGAAAAAATGGAAAATACCATAAATTATGTATTGGTGAATCCTTCCAAAGCACTTCTAATATGCGTCCAGTTTAATAGCTTTTATTGCATGTTCCATTTAATGTAACCAAGCCTTTCGTTCATTTGATGCTACTTTCTTCTCAAACAGGTATCTCTGTGATTTCACCTACTACACGTCTCTGTACCTGAGCCACGGTCGCTCTGCCTTCATTCATGTGCCTCCTCTTGGAAAGCCTTACAGCCGGGAAGACCTGGGCCGTGCCCTGCAGGCCATCATCCGGGAGATGCTGGAGCTTCTGGACCAGGCCGAGGAGAAGATTCACTGCCAGCACTTCCACTAAGTGACCTCCAGATGCCAACCAGCCTCTCCAGCCTTTACCACACAAGAGAAATTGCACTTAACCACAAGTAGCCAAACTTCTTTTTTGTTTGTTTTTTATTGTCATCTTTTCTTGGACAAAATGAAAATGTTGGTGTATCCCATCTTTTTAGTGTTTGTTCCTCTTTGTCTTAGGTTTTTGCTTCATGTTTTGCCTCATTCCGTTGTGTTTTAATGTCTCCCGAAGGTGAGAGGATAAAATGGAGGTCTCGAGACAACCCTCAGTCACACTATAATATAAGCTTTTGTCCCACTTCCAAGGAACATAAAACTTTCTGACTTTGGAGTTTATAATATGTGAAAAACGTTTAGGTTCACTAAGAAACACAGAAGCAAAGTGCAGCTCATATTTGTTTATATGCAGAGGGTCTGTAAAGTGACAGACAGTCAACCTATAACCCCAAATGTGACTCCTATTAATGCACCTTATAGGGTTAGGGTTATTGAAATGGTTATAGAAGTCACATCTGGAGAAACTGTGAATAAACTCTACAGTATTTAACTTCCATAATGCTTCATCCTCAGATTTTGAGTTTCATATTTTGAATTTCCAAACTTCCACTCAGACACAGTATGTTACAGTCAACTCACCTCAGTGTCTATAAATGATTAATGTACATGATACATTATGGGTTAAGTAGAAATGTTTAGCAGTGAACTGTGTTTGCTAAGTTCTGTTTTCTTTTAACTACCTTCTAACTTTGCTGTTTCACACTTGATGTTACGTTGTTTTTTCAAGTCCTTTTTTCTTTATAAGAAGTTGTAAATTTGCCTACTTTTACAAAGGTTATTTAAATCAGGGAACGGGTTGGTTCCAGCTCATATTCCCCCAGTTTGTTGGCCCAATTCTGACAGAAACCCCCCCCCCAAATCCACTCCACTGAGATCTGGCCCCAGGTTGTGCAATGTTATTTACAGATCTCAAGTTCAGTGATTTAGTTTTAGTTTGTCAGTATTATATTGTGGCTGCACAGTTATTTGAGAAAATTTAGATTTTTTGACATTTTCAGATTTCATTAAACAATTTCCGGTTCTAAATCTAAATTGTATTAATTAATATCCATTAATATTCCTTTTAAATGACTGAACAAATAGAAGATATTTTCTCTCCTGTTCATTTAATATAATGAGTTACTGTGGACTGTGCTGGATTTCTGGGTAGTAAAGTCCTTTTACTGATTTGGGACATTAGTAAAAATGCCTATTTAAACCTAACTTCACAAAGATGCACATTTTTAAACCGTGAAGACCAAATTACAAAATCACAATTTATTCTATTTTTCCACAATTGTGCAGCCCTACTTGTTATTCCTTGGTTAAAGCTTTCCGTTGTTCCCTTCATTGAATCAGATATAGCTGCTTATTTTATCTGAGGATTTGATTTGATGAAGTTGGACTCTCAGTTCAGTCAGAGTTGGGCCTGGACATTTATTTCTGTAGCACTTTCTTTTTCTTTTCTTTTTTTACTTAATCTGGAATAATGGACAACAGTTTTACTTATGTGAATGCTTGCATTTTGTATTTTTATTTTCAGTCACTTTAACTTGAGATATATAGCTTTCCAGACATACACATATCAAGTTTTAACCCTAATCCCCAATAATTATAATTATGTATGTGACGTATGCTTTATTTTTCCTGAGCTTTGGTTTGATCTTACCTGTGAAGCAGCAGATTATGTCACTGTGTCTGTGGTGGTGCCACTCCCAGGTGTAAATGTTCTGTTTTATGGCTTTTTTTGTATTGGATTGTCTGTTTCACTGTGTAAACCAGCATTTTCCTGCCTGCTGAGTCGTCAGAACAGCCCATGCCACCTAACACATCTTTGGTTTTATCCGTTTTAGTAGACGTTTTAGAATCAAATGGTCTACATTGTAAACTGTCAGAGCTAGTCTTAGGAAAATAACTGAACACTGTGCTTAGTGTTTTTAGTTACATGTTTCAAGCAAGTTAGTGCAACTGAGTTTGAATAAATTGTCGTTATTTTTAGCAGTGTGTGTCATTTTGATTGCTAGTCACACCATGGTTTGTACCACAAAGTATCATCCTGGAGAACTGAGCTTAACAGAATTGAACTTCTTCTCAGACCTAAATTTTTATCTTTGCATTTGTCATTGAACTTACATCTCCGTAATGTGGTTTTAAGATGTCTTATCAAATTGTTGAAATGATGGGCAGGTTTTAGTTCTGAGTTTGTAGGTGCTGATATTTTTTGTGAGTGCTGAGGAGTGAAAGAGTTGTGGAGGAGCTGCCCCTAAAATGTCTGTTCAAAAAAACTGAAAAGCCTCAAGTTTACATATGAGGTGACCTCTGACCCTGACTCTGTCCTGTGCCTTGCTGTTGTTTATGTGTGTTATGAAAAAGGCCTTAAAATGCCCAATGGGTCAGTTCAAAGATATATTGTTGATGCTGTCCAGTCAGATGTGTGGCTACCTCAAAAATACTTCTTTTTTTTTTTTTTAATCTCAGTGTGTGCTCTGTTGGACAATAACATTGTGGCTCTGTGAATTATTGTGAGTTTCTCTGTTTACGGAGAATCCTCTGAAAGGTATCTTCTACTGCTTCTGACATTAACAAAGCAATGTTACAACAAGTAATCTTGGCTTTGCAAAAGGAAAGGCTTTGAAATAAAGAGAATTAAAGGATTACAAGTGACATCTTTGTGTCTATTATAACTGTGTTTTTTTTTACACTACTCACTAGTTATACCTATTAAAAGCATGTCATTGATTTGTCACACACAGTTGAGTTAGAAAGTTGGTAGAGTCAGCATAACAGGCTGATCAAAGAGCATAGATGTTACTATGAAACGCCACTGTGTCATTAATAATTTGCCCGACATCTGCAAAAAACATGTCCGAACCCCATGTATATACCCTTCTGCCTCCTATTAAGTACAGTGCACATAATGGGTTTTATTATTTGCCTAAAGACTCAACCAGTACTTCTATCGAGCTCTCTGTGTGTTTTCTTTTATTACTTTGTGGTATTTGGATGAAAAACAACCCTCTTCATGAATATGTATCTTTTAAACACAATGTAAAGGTAGATTTTGTCACAAGGACCCTCTAGAGTTATAAAGCATGTCCTGCCTTCACTGATTAATTTGCAGTTAATCATATTATAATAAACCCAGTGAAATACACTGTTGTGCCCCGGTACCATAATCCAGCCTTGTGATAAATACATAGAGAAAACATGGTTAGAGTGAGAGTGTGAAATCTGGACACACACATAAGTTTAGTAATAGCAATGTTGTTTTTCCTAAAATGTATGGATGCCTCTTTCTGCCAGTGTGACAGGGAAAAAAAGATTCTGTAAGTCATTATAATGAGAAACTCAAAATATTGAGAATGTTTCTCATCATTTTAAGATACTATGTCATTATTTTGAGATTTATATTATATATTGTCCATATTATGATAAAGTTTCTAATTTAATGACTTACAGAATCTTTTTTCATCACCTTGGTGGCACTGGGCTTCCACAGGTTGCTGGAGAAACACACAATTTGGATAATACAAATTAAAAAAAACACCTGATAAAGGTGGGCAAAGCAAATCAAGGCTATTTATTTGAGCCTGTGTGGGTGATTTAGTCTAATCAAATATATTTAAATATCCATCATACATTTTAAAGAAGGAAGAATAACTGCAGGAGTTGTTCCCCCAGTCTCCCTGCAGGGGGTCCACGCTTTTGTTTTTGTTTTTTGATACCAGGAAATAGGATCAGAGTGAGAGCTCCCTCGTTGATGATCCGTCTCGGCGTGAACGTCACGACGTCACCACGTCGTGCGGCGCATGGAAGTTCGTCACCGTCGCGGTTGGACCTGCTGCTGGAGCTTTCGAGGTTCTGATCGGTTCCCATTTGTGTTTGGCTTCAAATTCAGACTCAACCGCGCAGCTCCGACTCCCCCCCAACCCCCCAAGAGAGAGAGAAAAAAACAAGCCAACACCGTGTGGAGTTTGTTCACCTTTTTTAAGACGAACACCGGAAACCGTTCGGTAAAGCGAAAGTTGAGTCGAGATGAGTGTGGAGGCGTACGGGCCGAGCTCCCAGACCCTCACCTTCCTGGACACCGAGGAAGCGGAGCTGCTCGGCGCGGACACCCAGGGCTCCGAGTACGACTTCACCGACTTCACCCTACCGAGCCAGACGCAGACCCAAGGCCAGACCCAGAGCCAGCTGGACAACCAGGTCTGGAGGCTCTCGTTTCTCTACGGGAAGGCGAAAATAAAGCGCGCTATTATTGACGTTAGCGACGGTTAGCGGCGGTTAGCGGCGGTTAGCGGCGGTTAGCGACGGTTAGCTGCCTGCTAGCGCGCTATTATTGGATGTAGCGTTGCCTAGCGTCACGTTAGCTAGCGGTTAGCTGTTACTGTTAGCTCGCCCGTCAACTAAAAAAACTCCCAAAGTGACTCCAGGTTGTCTTTGGCACATTTGTTTTGTAGTGCTCGAAGCACAGCGGACTCTCGGGTGTAACTTTAATGATTAGAGATGAGAGTCAAGACCAGTGAGAGTCTGTTAACTTATAATTAACTCGCTTTTTCCGCCGCGGTGTGTCTCCCCCCCCCCTAGCCGCTGGCTGCTACCGCCGTTAGCATCCCGTTTGTTTAGTAAAGCTTGTGTTGTTTTGCAGGTAAACGGTCCTGATGAAGGTCTTCTCAACGGGGGTGTGGATGACTCCGTGGCTAAAGCCAGCCAGCTGTTGGCTGAGCTCAACTTTGAGGAGGATGAAGAAGACACATACTACACCAAAGACCTGCCTGTGCACGCATGCAGGTACGCTGACAGGCGCCACACCATGTCTGGATGTTTACTGTAGATTACTGGGGGAATGATGAAAGGAATATGGGTCGCTGCTTTTACACACCAAATACAGGCCAGACCCTCAAATCATTAATGTGTACTATCCCCACTACACGTTACAGTGCACTATCAAAGTTTACAAGTAGGCTAGTTGTACTCATGCAAGACGGGCACATATTGCAAACGCCAGTATTATTTTTATATATATATATATATATATGTTGGATGTACACTACACTAATATACACCTGTGTATGTATACACTTGCTAGAATACTTTTCATACTCAGATCTACAAGTGTTTGTTAATGGGAAGTTAGAAGTTCCTGGTAAAAAAACAACTTGTTGTTGTTGTTGAACATCCAAAATGTCAAATACTGCTGGAAGAACATCAGGATTGTTTTTGTTTTTTGTTTTGTTTTTTTATACAACCAATTGACTTTTAGAAATGTAATTGTTAAGAGTCCTGCTTGTTTGGAGAGAGCATGATCCCCTGGAATATCGGTTATTATATGTTCAATACAATATGCTCTGACACTTATCACGTCTGTACTTCCTCTGTAATTCAGCCTGTTGTCAGTTTGTCATGGCCTTACTTTTTATCAAGGCAAGGTCCTGTGCTCATGTTGTGTTATGGCTACATACCGCAGTTATTCAGATGCTGTTTTTGATACGTTGTTGTTTTTCAGCTACTGTGGTATCCACGATCCAGCGTGTGTGGTGCACTGCAATACCAGTAAGAAGTGGTTCTGTAATGGACGTGGAAACACATCTGGCAGGTGTGTAGTCTGCTCATCTTCCCTTTATTACTTCACTCCTACTTGAAACTCCCAGAGTCCTTTTTTAAAATGTTTTTATTTTATTTTTTACTGTTGGTCAATATGTGGTGTTATGCAAATTATTTAAGTAGATTTCTGTAGCAATGCTACCAGGACAAATGTGACGGAGATCAAAGTGTTTCTGATTATTTTTCTCCTGTTGTCTGACTCCCAGTCACATTGTGAACCACTTGGTGAGAGCCAAATGCAAAGAGGTGACGCTGCATAAGGATGGGCCGCTGGGCGAGACGGTGTTGGAGTGTTACAACTGCGGTTGTCGTAACGTCTTCCTCCTGGGCTTCATCCCTGCCAAGGCCGATTCCGTGGTGGTGCTACTGTGCAGGCAAGTGTTGTCACGGGAGTAGCCTTTTACATGGGCGGAGGAATGTTCTGTGAAGAGTGTCCCTGGGGACAGCAAGGGACAGCTGTGTGATAAGTGATTATAAGTTACTCTGGAGAATTACCAAAAGCCAAGTTTGCACATTCTTGCTTTGAAACAGGAAGTTTATCATTAGTTCAGTTGTTAAGTTTTAGTCTTTACATCAGATGAATTGGTATACATCCTGAGGCTCAGGAAACTGATGCAGAGTGCCTGAAATGCCTGAATAGTCAGCCAGATGGAAGGAAAACCCCAGGTTATGAAAGTTTACAGCAACAAAAATGTCAGTGATAGACAATCAAAACGTAGATATTTTTATTACGGCAAGAAAATTAGTATAACCTGAATAAAGATTTGTATTTAAAGGTCCAGTGTGAAACATTTAGGAGGATATGTTGAATATAATATTCATAGATGTGTTTTCATTAGTGTGTCATCACCTGAAAATAATATTTTTTTATGTTATTGTTACATTAGAATGAGCTGTTTTTATCTACAGAGGAAGTGGGTCCTCTTCTACGGAGCCCGCCATATTGAACCTCCAGGTTTCTACAGTAGCCAGAAGGGACAAACCAAACACTGGCTCTAGATGGGACCTTTTTGCTTTTTCCTAGAGTTTTGTTTTTCACCGCTACATGCCATTAAATCCTACACACTCATCCTTTAATCATAAAGATAGTGCTGGTCCAAAACAATTGTAGGGTAAAATATTTCAATTAAAATTAGAGTAAACATGACCAAATTTAATTAAATATGTTTTCTTTGGACAGTGTGGCTGTGCTTATATGGCTAAAAACCAGAGCTGAGCAGATACGAATCCCTTAAACTCTTTGATGATCAAACGATGTAATGGGCACACTATTCAAAATTACCCCAAACATGTCTTTGGCATCTCTGTACTACAATTTGACTGCGTTTGACTCACATATTGACCACTATATCTGTAATAAGCTAGTTAGATGCAGAGAAGTTTGCACTGATGAATATCACTAGGGTGGGGACATTAAAACCAGCCAGATGCTGGTACAATATAAAAGTGGCTGTTAGATTTCAGAAACAATAATAATGGTGAATTTGAGCCTTTATCTGTCAGTGGCTGGTAGATTTGTAGAAAGTTATTTTCCCATCCTGAAGATTACATTCATCACTTTTATTCAACAACCTGTTGACTTCCACTAAAATGTGACTTTACTGTCACACAGAAGCAAGTAGTCAGCTAGTCTACAGCTGTTGCTCGGGGAACTCCCTGTTTATATGCACAGACCTCTAACTATTGCTTCCTGCTCAGGTAGTTCATTAAACACTTCTATGGGCACATTCACACGCAGCAGGAAGTACTGTGAGAGATCAACTTAAGCCAGACAAATAAAATTTTTAAATCATTAGTTTGAATACTGTAAAATCTCACACACAAATTAACTGGACTAACTCTCTGTTTGAACCTTGTATCCTCATTCAGGCAGCCCTGTGCCAGCCAGAGTAGCCTGAAGGACATCAACTGGGACAGCTCACAGTGGCAACCACTGATCCAGGACCGCTGCTTTCTGTCCTGGCTGGTGAAGATCCCATCGGAGCAGGAGCAGCTTCGAGCCCGTCAGATCACCGCCCAGCAGATCAACAAGTTAGAGGAGCTCTGGAAGGTAAGCGGCTGGGAGGCTTTTTCTTAGGGGCTACATGTCCAGAGCAACATTGCTTTAAGCTGCAAGCACAGGCTAAAGGTTTGTAAGTGACAGCTGCTTACAGGGATTGGTATCCACCTGTGGCATAACAGTTTTAAAAGACCTCTGCCAATATTTAGTGAAATTTGTGTGTGTGGAATAGGAGTTTGGGTTGGATGTGTGATGTAATCTGTACTGACAGTTGCTTCGACTTTGTTTCCTCCCAGGACAACCCCAGTGCCACCTTGGAAGACCTGGAGAAACCTGGAGTGGATGAGGAGCCCCAGCATGTGCTGCTGCGTTATGAGGACGCCTACCAGTACCAAAACATCTTTGGCCCTTTGGTCAAACTGGAGGCTGACTACGATAAGAAGCTCAAGGAGTCCCAGGTACCTGAACTTCACTTCTAAGTAGGAAACTTTGTGACTCAGAGACTGGTGTTTTTCTTTCTTAAATGTCCGTGATTATTTATACGTAGAGCAGTTTTCGCGTGACATAAAAACATCCATTATATAGTTTCATATGTACATTGAGGATTTTATTCCTATGCCGCAATCACGCTGGACACCATGACACATGAACATAATGTAACTTATATCTTTGACCCTTTGTTATTATTTGATTATATATTTATACTTCTTATTTTCCTTTTGCAGACCCAAGACAATATAACAGTCAGGTGGGACCTGGGGCTGAATAAAAAGCGGATTGCCTATTTCACACTGCCCAAGACGGATTCAGGTGGTAATTCTCTGAGTTTGACTTCCTCCCAGTGGTTCTGTGGTGCAGATAGAACCCATCCCCATCCCCCATCAGTCCTCAAAATTGCACGCAACATCCCCTAACCCTGCATCTTTTGGTGGCATGTGTGCTTGGTATTGTTTTTGCCTCTGTTTTGTAGTGGGGTTTTGTGCCATTTTGTGCGTGCACGGTACTGTATCATTTAATTCATAAACATACCCCATCCTCCTTAGTTTATTTGTGGGTCATTTTTAGCATTGAGTGGTTTCAAACTTATGTCCTTTTATATCAATCTCAGATATGCGGCTGATGCAAGGTGACGAGATCTGCTTGCGGTACAAGGGAGACCTGGCCCCGCTGTGGAAAGGCATCGGCCATGTCATCAAAGTCCCTGACAGTATCCTTTAAACTGTTTGGAGTTGCATATGTTTCATTACATTTCATTACAGTGTCTCCACATCTGACTCATTACATTGGCACAAATCCAAGATGGCAGTGAATAGTCTTAACTATAAAAGACTAATATAGACAACATGGTTCCACCCACACCCACCTACTAGAAATAATTTAAGGATAATGCTGGATTTCCTTAACAGCCTGTGTTTAAAGACTACGGGGATGAAATTGCCATTGAGTTGAGGAGCAGTGTTGGAGCCCCTGTGGAAATCCCCCACAACTTCCAGGTGGACTTTGTGTGGAAGTCAACTTCCTTTGACAGGTAGGCTGAAATTTTATACCTCTAAATGACTAATGTGTAGGGAACATTAGTCATCTCTGAAGTCACTATATTACTCCACAGTGCACAGAATTGTTTACATAGAGGTCATTTTGAATAAAACTGCCATGTGTCATTTGTAAAGTAGAGATAGGGTGTAAATTCACTCCTTTGGATAGGATGGTTTCTTCATGATAGTAAGAAGTGATAATGACTCACATTTATCTATGTATTGCTGCAGGATGCAGAGCGCTCTGAAGACGTTTGCAGTGGACGAGACCTCTGTGTCTGGTTACATTTACCACAAATTGCTGGGACACGAGGTAGAGGATGTCACCATTAAGTGCCAGCTACCAAAGCGCTTCACTGCCCAGGGCCTGCCCGACCTGAATCACTCACAGGTCAGACCTCACTCATCACTGGGTCCTCGTGATTCCTGTTATTATTTTGTCATTTATTTTCTCCTTATGTCTTCAAGACATTAATACCAGTGCAGTAAAAAAGTATGAGTTCACATTACATCAGTGCATCAGTATAGCTCACCTATTTTTAAAAGGAAGTGTTGGACTTCCATTAAATAGCCTTTTATTTATGATAAAAACATGTTATTTGTCTTGGAATGAATGTGGGATTTGGATCTCATTATTGCAAGTGGTTTTAAGAAAGTTTTGATGTCTGTATTTTTTGTAATACTTTACCTGCACTGAATCCTCTGGTTTCCTTGGTTACTTGTTCAGGTGTATGCTGTAAAGACGGTGCTACAGAGGCCTCTCAGTCTGATCCAGGGTCCTCCTGGCACTGGGAAAACTGTCACCTCTGCCACTATTGTCTACCACCTGTCCCGCCAAGGCAACGGGTAATACACGAAGAGTGTTATAGTTACCTTCTTAAAGAACCCTAATGTTATACATTTTGTTTATTGTTGTTTAATTGTTTGTGTTTGTACGTTTGCAGACCAGTCCTGGTGTGTGCTCCCAGTAACATTGCTGTGGATCAGTTGACTGAGAAGATTGACAAGACTGGACTGAAGGTCGTCAGGCTGTGTGCCAAGAGTCGGGAGGCCATCGAGTCACCAGTGTCCTTCCTGGCTCTGCACAACCAGATCAGCAACATGGACAGGTCAGTGGAATGAAGGGAAATTGACGGACTTCAAAAGTTAGTGATAATTGACAAAAAACCTATGAGCCTATAGGCCTATTTAAAATACATTTTAAAAATGAATAAATAGATTGAGATTCACTACTTTATTGTCATATACACTTCAGTGCACACAGCCAGGGTCTGTAACACACAGACATCATCAGTTCTCAGATGAATATATGCGCTATTAATTAAACTTCACAATAACATTATAACAATGCAATAGATTTGGTCAGCTGGCATGAACCTGAGTCACTGCACCATCTACGTTTATGTCACACGCGACACTATTAGCTCCAAAATCCTTGCTGCTTGCAGCACCCCCACTTCCCGCAGCCATGGAACACACAGACAAATATTCCAGCAATATTTGTCTGTACATCCATGGGTACACTGCAGAATCGAACAGAAAATAGACAATTCTGCAAATTTTTATCCTGGTGAAAAGGTAAAGAAATATTGGCTGATATAATGGAGCTCAGATTTTGGAGCTAATTGACTGATTCCATGACAACAATATCCTGTTTACATCCACAAAGATTTTAAGTTATGGGAACTTCACTTCAAAAAGGGGCTACAGTAAAGGGGCTTTTTAGACTTTGAAAACCCCTGGCCTCGATCACAAATTAGTTTGTAGTGTATAACTCCAGTATGTGTTCTCTGTAGTCACCCTGTTGTGTCTTTGTCTCTTTAGCATGCCAGAGCTTCAGAAGCTTCAGCAGCTGAAGGATGAGACTGGTGAGCTGTCGTCTGCTGATGAAAAACGCTACAGGGCTTTGAAACGCACTGCTGAGAGGGAGCTGCTCATGGTGAGGAGGAACTTTAAAGTGTTGGGGAAAGCATGGGATGTTCTGAAAATTTCATGTTTACACAATGAGAAAGACAAGTCTTCTGCCATGGTGATATCCTGGCTCACTCTTCCATTTGAGCATTGCAAATTAACTTCCTCTTTGTTTTCCAGAATGCTGATGTTATCTGTTGTACCTGCGTCGGGGCTGGTGATCCTCGTCTGGCCAAGATGCAGTTCCGCTCCATCCTGATTGATGAGAGCACTCAGGCCACTGAGCCAGAGTGTATGGTGCCTGTGGTGCTTGGAGCCAAGCAGGTACACATGCGCACCACACAGCTAAATAACAAATCTCTGTCTCTACAGCTCAGTTGGCAAAATTATTTGTCCTGAACATACAGGAACAAAAACGTCTTAACATTATGTTGTTCAATTAATTGTCTCACTTTTGTACATCATCTTCCTCCTCCTAGCTCATTCTGGTGGGTGATCACTGCCAGTTGGGTCCTGTGGTAATGTGTAAGAAGGCAGCCAAAGCAGGTCTGTCCCAGTCCCTGTTTGAACGCTTGGTGGTTCTAGGGATTCGGCCAATCCGCCTGCAGGTCCAGTACCGCATGCATCCGGCTCTCAGTGCCTTCCCCTCCAACATTTTCTATGAGGGCTCCCTGCAGAATGGCGTCACTGCAGGTTTGTCAGCACTCAGCAGTTCATTATCTGGTGTGATGGAGGGATAAATTGATTTTCGCTATGGCTGGAACATTAGCAGGTAAAATGGTATAATGAAATCTTCTTGTTCTCCCCAGCTGACCGCATCAAGAAAGGCTTTGACTTCCAGTGGCCTCAGCCAGACAAGCCCATGTTCTTCTACGTGACTCAGGGTCAGGAGGAGATTGCCAGCTCTGGAACCTCGTACCTTAACAGGTATATCAACCATTTTCTAGGGTTATATATTTTGTGTAGATGGATAAATTCATCGATATTTATTAATGGTTAAATTGTGGACTGGAGTAGACTTCCACCACAGATGCAAAATGAATCTGGTGCACTAACATATTTTTGTTTGTGTTTTACTTGTGTAGTATTTTCTTCAATTTAAACAGTGCAGTGAACGTTGGGCCAACATCATCTTGACAAATTGGTGTTGTTTTATTTGCAGCTTTAGCAAATAAAAGAATCCAGATGCCCATTTTGCAGTTTTCAAAATTGGGGGCACCATAAACATCATTTGAATTTTTAGGCCACCATTAGTCTACTCCTATAAGCATTAGATGTAGTTTTAAAATAGTAGCAGGACAGTATTTAACTGATGCTGATGTTTTTAAGGACGGAGGCAGCCAATGTAGAGAAGATCACCACAAGGCTGCTGAAAGCTGGAGCCAAACCCGACCAGATCGGCATCATCACCCCGTACGAGGGTCAGCGCTCTTACCTGGTCCAGTACATGCAGTTCAGTGGCTCCCTGCACACCAAACTCTATCAGGTAACCATACAGATGTACACAGAGATGTAGCTTAAATTTATCTTTTGTATTACTCTTTTAGACAATAATAAATAATAATTTAAAATAGTGTTGTTGGGGGTTACTCTGTCTGTTCTTTTTTGTCCTTCCACCAGAAGAGCTAAAGAAATCTCATTCAAATTGATTGTAGACCTCAATTATCATTAGTGATGTTGGACAAAATTTGTTCCTTCATTTTTACAATGTAATTTCCCCCTCATTCTCCTCTTTTCCTATTCCATTATAGCAAGTGGAAATTGCCAGCGTGGATGCCTTCCAGGGCAGAGAGAAGGACTTCATCATCCTGTCTTGTGTTCGTGCCAATGAGCACCAGGGCATCGGCTTTCTGAATGACCCACGTCGTCTCAACGTGGCACTGACCAGAGCCAAGTAAAAACCTCAGTATAACTGTTCAATGGATGCAATTTAGATACTGTCTTACATAGTCTTGTTGCAACTGTATGTATGTGTGTATAATCAGACCCCTGGACTTTTTTTTTTACATACAAAAACCTGTGCCAGAATAATTTGGAAGATGCTGTCATTAGGAAAAATTCTACACAGTGATTGCAATACAAAATTTCCACCCCATCCCTGAGCAGCAGTCTTGTGTGTTGTGAATGAAGGTATGGTGTGATCATTGTGGGGAACCCCAAGGCTCTCTCCAAGCAGCCGCTGTGGAACAACCTGCTGAACAACTACAAAGAGCAGAAAGTGCTCGTGGAGGGACCCCTCAACAACCTGAGGGAGAGCCTCATGCAGTTCAGCAAGCCCCGCAAGCTGGTCAACACCATCAACCCTGTGAGTTGAACAAACTACTGTATATTTAGCCACAGTGTTAGTTTAAGGACTTTGTTAGACTTCTGTTACAAACACCTGTTGACACATGTAAACTAAAGTCTTGACTCTCCGCAGCTTTGAACAGTTAGTAGATTAATGTTGATTATGGTTATTGATTTGTAATAATAAAAGTGCCAAAAATTGCCAAATTAACTGGTTTCTTTTTCACAAATGTGAATATTATACTTGGATAGTAAATTGAATATCTTAGTGTTTCAGACTTTCTGACAGATACAATGTTTTTAGACCAAATGGTTAATTGTAAAACAGAACAGGCAGATTGATCATTAGTGAAGATAATAGTTAGTTGCAGCTCAAAATCTGTGAAGTATCCAACTGTGTGTCTGTTTTTGTCCAAGGGGGGCCGTTTTATGAGCACTGCGATGTACGATGCCCGTGAGGCCCTCATCCCTGGCTCCGCCTACGACCGCAGTAATGCTGGTATTTATTTTAATATGTATTCAGTATCTTATGGTATGACATAAAATAATAACCTATGACAAACTTACTTTTTTACCAACGGGCTCCATCACAATCCTGCATTGTCTTGTTTTCTTTGACATGAACCTTGTTCTGTGTGTTTTCTTTCAGCTGGACGCCCGTCCAACATGTACTTCCAAACTCACGATCAGATTGGGATGATTGGGGCGGGCCCCGGTCACATGGCCGCTATGAATATTCCCATACCATTCAACCTGGTGATGCCGCCAATGCCCCCACCCAGTTACCTGGGTCAGACCAATGGCCCTGCTGCAGGTACAGTACAACACTAAGAAAGTTCTCTGAGCAATTACATAAATCGAAAACAGGCAAAATTTGGTCCAGCTTGTTAGAGGGAAAATGTAATCTGAACATGCTTCAAGAGAATACCCCATAATGCAAGGTTGATTGATTTGACTCTGGTCCTGATCTTTTTCATTAAGGTCGTGGAGCTATGAAGGGTAAGCCCGGGCGTGGCGGGCGGCAGAGGGTCCGTGGCTCAGGAAACCAGGGTTCCAGTCAGGGTAACGGACCAAACAGCCAGGCCAGCCAGGATGGGGCGTCCCAGTCCTTCTCCCAGGGCCCACTGACACAGGGCTACATCTCCATGAGCCAGCCCTCTCAGATGAGCCAGCCTGGCCTCTCCCAGCCAGAGCTGTCCCAGGTAATACATCTTTTTGAGGAGTTTGTTGTATGAGGGGTTATTTGCACTGGTCACATGGTTCATCATTGTTAATTGAACAAATTCAGTAGACATATAAGAGGAATAATAATAATAGGTTCTGGCATACAGCTCACTGATGACGGCCAAATATGTGTCTCTAATGATGTTTCTGTCCTCCTGTTTTCCAGGACAGCTACCTGGGCGACGAGTTCAAGTCCCAAATCGACGTGGCTTTGTCCCAGGACTCAACTTACCAGGGTGAACGTGCATACCAGCATGGTGGGGTAACTGGACTGTCACAGTACTAGATTGTAAGTACATAAAACATGCTCTTATCTGGAACAATATATTTATTTCCCCCGGTGACCTATATGTTCAGGATTGTTTGTTTGATTTCTATGTTCTGATTATCTTTGTAAAACTTAAAAACTTTGCATTTAAAAATAAAAACTAAAAACATGCTCTTAGCAGTTATAATATAGCACATTAAAAGGTTTTGGAAGTTGTGCAGGGCCACATGGTGTATATATAATATTTTTTCATTATTATTATTTTATAGACCTTATGAGAAGTTTGGATGTGTCCCCCCTTTTGAGAATTCGCACATTATCAGTTTTCTTTCTTTCTCAGCCCTAGCCAAATGATATTGTGGCTGTTGGTGTCACTGTGTTGTGATGTATGTTACCTAGACTTTGTGAGGTCTTTTGTTTGTCCTGCAACTAATGTCAAATCCACTGTCTTTTACAAATGTGTCTATGAAGTGATTCTGAGATTCAGGAATGTTTAGCAGGATGATTTTGCAGACTTATTATGCCGATTCAGTCGGAGACATCTGACTCAATCTAAAGCCAGTATTGTTCACCTTGTTGGGGTGAAAAAAAATAGTTATTTGTTAAATCATCTTCATGTTGTGGAGGTTATAAACCTGTTTTGTGTCTTGCAGGTCACTTGAAGAAGGGAGCTAGGCTTGAGCTGAGCTTAGTTCATCAGCTTTTTAATCTGGGAAATAATAAAAACATAAAATGGATACCTGTTTTCCTCTGCTACAACCGAAGCACCACTGAGTGAAAGCGACGGGATAGCGAAACCAAACCAATGACCAGCGAGAGAGATAAGAGGGTAGAAGAAGACGAGAGCACGAACAGACGGGCAGGGAAGATGGCAAGAGAGGCCGAGTGAACAAGCAAGAGGCAGGGACCGATGTCCGTGCAAAGTGAAGGAGGGAAGTCGAGAAAATGGCGGCGTGTGGTCGAGCTGCTGAGGGAAACAGAGGGGAGATCTCACTGGTCTCATGGGAATCCAAATGAGGCTAAACTCCCAACAAAACAATCCAGCCAACCCCTTCAACCTACAGCCTCCAGGAAAGGAAGGAAAGCGATGTTATCTTCGGATGGGGATCGAAGCTTTTCAACTGAATTTGAAGAACTTGTTCTCCAAACATGCAGGGGGGGCATGATTACAGAAAGCCATTGAACAGGCAACAAAAAAAATCCCCACGCTAAAAGTCGGTTGGTTTCTCGACCTGTTTCTCTTAAATTTGGTTCATCATGGGAGGAGAGCGGCACCAACAATCTTCTATTGGGCCCAACAACCTCAGCAGCCTCTGAAGGAAGCGGCAGTCGACACACCCACTCGGAAGAGGAAATAAAAACACGGTTTCTGTGCTTGAGTCTGAGATTAAAGAGCCTTGAATTGAAATACCTTTGATTTGCCTTGAGAACCACTGGCTCACTCACAAGGTCTTTAATGGGGTGGTTTCGACCACACGTCAGTGGTGGAGTGGCACAGGGATTTCAGACTGTTTTTTCAAGGCATGACGCGCGAATCCCAACGATATCGCGATCATCATGGGACAGTTTTTCTTCTCTGAAGTACCTTTCTTATCACAGAGCACAAAATTGCAAAAAAGTCATCGAAACTATCAAACATGACCAGCATTGAATATTCAACTCAATGTCATTTGATGTTTCAGCGAAGGCTTTTCCTTATTTTAATCTTTTGGAAGCAGGGGTGGTGTCCCACTGCGCTTCATGACCAGATGTCTTTTTTTAAAACACTCTGTGTACGCTTAGATTGGCAAATGCTTGAATGCTTTGCATCGATTGATTCCTCAGGGGATTGTGGACTGTCCACACTCATCACACAAATCCCTGCTTGAGGTGAAAGAAACCAAACAAGAAGGATGATGGTAGTCGAGGCTTATAGGCGGTCGTGGCAATCAATCCACCACAGGTAAGGAGTAGAAAAGGAAGGTGGCTGAGGGAGAGAAGGATATGAGAGTCTCCACATCTGGAAGATTAATTCAGGCCATCGCCAGGGTTAAAAATTTAGAGGGAAATGTTTGGCATTAGGACTGCTCAGTCCCAATGGATGACCACACGTTAGATGTAGTTGTAAACTCAGTGTCATTTCACACATTTTGATTTTGTGAATAATATTCACATAACAAGCAATATAGCCATGCTGATGGCCATATTGCCCAGCCACACAAGTCTAAAGATAATTAGGGTAAAACTTTCATAGGAAATATATCTAAAATCTCAGTTGAAAGGTCTTTACCTCCTGTTTATTAAAACATTTTACCAAACCCGTTACACAAAGTGGAAATGCCGTCAGTACTGATTAGATGGCAAAGAGATGACTGAGAAACGTGAATCAGTGCCTATAACCAATCACCTTCAGATAAACAGCTGCAGCACAAGCATGAATGTAGTTCAAATCAAACTACCAGCATAATAATAATAATAATAAAAAAAACTTCCACACACCAGAGGGCTCAAGAAACCCACAGAAAAGGACTTATTTTTGTTAATAAAATCAGGCCAGGTAATGACGAGGTCAACGAGTTTAGCAGCTGGGTAGTTTTTCAAAGGGTGGGCGGATGAAAAAAAGCCACCTTCCTTCTCTGTGGAGTAAAACAAACGAAGGCTGGTTGAATTTTTTTTTCCTTATGTGGACTTTTGATTTGTGCAAAGCTGTTTTTTGCCTGCATTATGTATTCCTTGTAGAGTTCCTCTTGAGATTTATGTGGATCCTGAACCCTCTTCCTGGAGAACTTTGTGAACCTGAACCTTGAGTTGATCCAAACTTTGCTTTTTGTCAGATGATTCGCTGCTTTGTGTGTCATGTTTTGTTTAGTTGGGTGTTATTTAGCCATTTTGTGTAGTTTTACTAAAAAAAAAAAAAAAATCTGTTTTTGTAGCAACTTGCTGACAACAGGAATGAGGCGGACGCCGTTTCCTTTCATTAGTTTTGTATCTCCTCCTCAAACTGTCCGAGGGATTGTAGTTTTTTAACTCTTCCAGGAAAGATGCTTTCTGAACAGTTAAGAATGTACTTCACTGTTGTTTCTCACCTGCTTCTCATTTCAGCAGTCATGTGACAATCATGTTGCGAGTAGATGTTGCCATGTTTGACTTAGAAAATGTTCTGTTTTGTTGACATTGAGCGAATCTCTCATTTTTTCCAATGAATTAGTTTCACATATCAACCCTTTCCACTGAAGTCCTAACATGTTATAGCTTTAAGAACCTGCTGCCGTAATATTATTGTATTGCTTTGGTGTTTTTCCATCTTCTGAGCCACAATGAATTGCAACATATGTGCAGTGATCATTGAAGAAGTGATTCAGTTGTAGATTAGTTGTTAAAACATTTGCATCCAAACCTTTGATTCTCTACGTCAACAGGCAAAGATTAAATAAATGAACTTAGAGAGCTCAATGTGATGTAAATACCTATTTGAGTCTTATTTGCAGTGAAGTTTCATCACAACATGGTGGTTTCCTTGTTAAACTGAATCAATAAAGGCTGTCGATTTGAGCAAATTTAATGGTATGAATTCAGCACCTCTTCAAATTTATTGCAGATGCTCACAAATATGAAAATATTACAGGTATTTTACAGTAATAAAACTTGTAGTATATACATGGGTCTCAGCAGTTTTCATGCTGTAGCCTGTGCCGCCTTTTTCTTTTTCATCTGTTTTCTCTTCATCAGTTTCTTTTTCAGCTGTCCATGTTTCTGTCTCTGAATGCTCTCCTGGATTTTCTGTTTGAACAACTTCTTCTGGCCCTTGATCTTCTCCAGCTCGGCCTTCCTCTTAGCCTCCAGGTCTGGATCCTGAAACAGCATTTTCAACAAATCAACAAAAGGCCATTTCAAATCATAAAAGTTGGTTCCAAAACTCATCTCAAACCAAAAACCTTTATCTAATTTTGGTGTATAGTGAATGTTTTTTGCCCCACACTGGCCCATTTTACAGATTATATTTGGAGTTGTTGGAATGGGTCAGTCTGAAAAGTCTCATGAACAGGAACTTGATGGGTTTGCTAGCAATTAATTGAATGATGAAACATTTTTCCTACAATTTTTACCACATCCTTTCCAAAAACCTTAAATGTGCATTTACAGTTGCATATTAGTTTGCATCTTGTTGCTTCATCTTAGTAGTGTTCAGACAATAAACTTAAATTTGTTCAAAATAGTGCTGTCAAACAATTAAAATATTTAATCGCATTAATGTCAGTTAACTCGCAATTAATCGCACATTTTTATCTATTCTAAATGTCCCTTGATTTCTTTTTGTCCCATTATTTATTCTCATTTTAATGCTTTTAACATGGAAAAGTGGATCGGCTTGCTTTGTGCAAATGTTGTTTTTATTGAAAACAACACTGGCATATACTGTAGTGTTCAATTTCACACTAACATTCTCACTTATCTCTCACACAGTGTAACACTGTCCATCAATAAAAGAGTGAAAAAAATACTTTGTCACACAAACAGCCCCTTCAACAGCCCTTTCTAAGGGATCAAAACAGGGCGATACAAAATAAAATTACAAAGTGCACTGTGGTAACTAGGACTCGCCTATAGTGCAGTTAAGCCATGGCTTAATACTTTTTCAAGTTTGCTTTGAACATGCAGTGGTGTGTCTTTATTCCAGGCTAACCGCCTTATTTAAATGAACCGTAATGGTTACCAATAAAAGGTAAGTCTACTACTTCTTTGCTTTGAGCCAGTTAAACAGACAAGCCTGTTGACATTTTCAGAGAACAAGGAATCCATCCATTTCAGCGTCTCACGCTCGCCATCCACTCAAAACATAACGTCTACTGCTCTTAAACAAGTGTGTGCGGCGTGCCTGTTGTTTTGTTTCCGGTCTAGCTAGATCCGGTGTGGTGTTGTAGTGTTTTTAACGTTACTAGTTGTTGCAACAGCATGTGAAAAAAACTACAAAGTGTGCTAGGCGTTAATCTTGCGATAAAAAAATGAACGCGGTTAATAACGCGTTAAACTGACAGCACTAGTTCAAATGTTTAGCTGCTAAAAAAGAAATGTACCTTTCCCTCCAAGATCAGCTGTTTCCTCTTGTTGATCTCCTTTTTCTCATCAAAGTCTGTCGACTCGAGTTTCTGCAATAGGGAGAGTTCACCAGCATTTTAGAGTACAGTCAGAAATAGACAGCCATGACTGAAGAATTATGTTGACAAAGGAACTACTGGATCAAATCCATCATAAAAAAAGTAGTCCCAGAGTCAATTAACATTAAGTGTTGTGCACTTAACTACCAAGAGTTGAGCTAATGACTGAATATGAAGAAAAAGAGGCCTCCGTACTATTTCACACTCCCGTCTGGTCACGTTGACCTGGGTGAGGATCTTCAGGACTTCTTTCTCCTCCACAGGATACTCCTTCAGCTTCGTTTCTGTGTGAACACAACAGACCGTTTGTGGAGTTACACCACACTTTCACACTGTAGATGGTGAACTGAGAAATATCTGTCTCAGTCTGGTCCTGGATGATATCACTTAACATCCTGTCTAAGACTTTCCAGTCCTGTTCTCTTTTGTGATGAAGGCCAAATGTACAGTATTAAACACACAAGAGGAGCAAGCTGGCAGGTCAGAAGGTGGTTTTTAGTGGAGCTGTGAAGATGCACATTAAGGACAAGTTGGCGGAACATTTTCCTATGTTCCTTTTAATTCAGGCTTTATAAGTAACTTACGAGTCTGTTCTTCGATGGAGTGGACCAGGTGGATGTCGTACTGTGTCACCAGTGTGATGGACACGCCGTTCCTCCCTGCAGAGGAAGAAAACATCATGTATGAGCTCATGGTCCAGAGTAAGTCATTGATGGGGGAGGATGTTGGTACTAAAAAGAGTTGTTAAAAGGTTACCTGCTCTCGCTGTTCGTCCGACTCTGTGTATGTAAATCTTGGGAATGCCTGGGGTGTTGTGGTTGATGACAACCTGCACGGTCGGAATATCCAAACCTCTGTGAGTCAGACAGAAGAGGAAGGATGTCAAAACAAGGTGACATCAGCCTGTCTATATCTGTTTAACTCCTATAGAACTGACAGATGATTTTGCTAACAAACTTTGTGAAAGACCATCATCCTCCTCCTCCTCCTCCTCCTCCTCCTCCTCCTCCTCCTCCTCCTCCTCCTCCTCCTCCTCCTCCTCCTCCTCCTCCTCCTCGAGACATACAGCGGCTCAGCGGAGCTCCTTACCTGGCAGCCACGTCTGTTGCGATCAGGATTTTGTAGACGCTGGCCTTGAACTTGGCAAGGTTTGCGAATCGTTGTTTCTGGAGAAGATAAAGAGCAGCCGTTCATTCTGCAGGCCCATTCATGTGGTTTAATCTGCTTTAATCCCTTTCACTCACTCATTTCTACATCATCACAATGGCTTTGTGCTCACTGTACGTTTCTGTCTTTGTCCCTTTAATGAGACGAATACATTTTCCATATCCAACGCGAGCTAGTGGAGGAGCTCTGAAGATTGGTGATAAAGGACACATCACCATGTTCTCACCTTTCTCTCACACAAAGCGAACTCACATTCTTTGTGTAAACCAATAAAACTGACTGATACAGACTATCCTTCAGCTGTCATTCCCCCAGCATGGTCGCCTCTCCCTCATAGCCCTAAAAAAATCAGCAGGCTTGAAACATACTTGCTGATATACTAGCAGTTGGTGACCTGACTGTAAAAATAAAGTTTCTAAATTGCACTAGACTCTAACCTGTTTCATCATGGAGTGCAGGGAGATGGTTGGAAAGTTAAATTCTCGCAGCATCATGGTGATGATTTGGCAGTTTCTGAGGAAGAATGAAGAAAAACAAGCAAATTATTTCATCATTCATTCATTCATTCATGATTTCAACATAAACATGTACAAAGAACTGGCTACTGATCACACCCAGGTTCAAGTTTCAAAGACATAAAAGCTTAAGGTAGCTTCTAGGCTTAATATATTTATCTACTTAACAATAACAGACACTCAACACCGAACAGGCAAACTCTCCAATTATTAACATTACACGTCTCATAAAGGCTACTTTAGAAAACTAGCATCGCTTAAGGTCACCACAATGCTCAATATTGTACAGGCATGCAATGAATACTTAATTTTAATTCCTTCTGAGCTTCTTACTTGCACGTATTGGTGAAGATGATGATGGACCAGTCGTCGTGCTGGTCAGTAAACGTCTGGATCAGGTGGACCAGGTAGGCGTCCTTCACCTTCTCTGGAGTGAGGATGTACCTCTGGTCCAGCTCCTCCACCGTTCGTGTCCTGTGAACAACAATAAGGTGTTATTTCACGGCCCCCCTATAGAGTTTCTGTTGCCAGAGAGGTGAGAACCCGCAACCCTGGAGCTGGTATTCACAAGAAGTTTGTGCAAGGAGGATTTGAACGTTACTTCACATTCAGCTGCAGAGAACAAGTGGAAATCTGCACTCGAAAGCCTGTAAGTGTAAACATGTAAAGGCTAACCAAGATGAAAACAAGGAACGAACGAGTGCATCAGCTCACTGGACGTCCAATTCTGAGGATAAGTGTAACGACCACAGAAGCAAAAAGTTCCTGCTCTGAAGTGATACCATTTTATTCCGCGCCCACTTTGAATCGGCCGTCTCTGGTGTTACATTTCCTGTTCCACATCACGACATTTGAATACACCTGCATGAGTCTTTCTGTGCTTTCTGCAAATGGTCTGAGCGTTCCAGCAGGATGCTCATTCAACCGCACTTAACACTTCTGCTCGAATTATTTGCATGACTCTACCTTGCATGCAAAAGGCATTTGTGTGAGAGATGCAGTTCAGCGATTAGTTGCACCTCAGATCAGCTGACAGGCGAACTGATCTTCCAGGCTGATGCTCCGGTTTTATTAATAACACGCACAGAATGCATCTGAAATGAGGCACAAAAGCTCTTAATAAGTGTTTTCTTCAACCTTGCAATAAAAGGGGTTGACACACTAGAGATGGGGAATTATACGATTGTATTGGTACCAATATCATTATTGATTCTGCTTATTAGTTCCTGATCAATTTTCTGTGTGGAAAAAAGTCTTATCGGTATATACAGGTTTTCAACAGCAATGCAACTGTTTTATTGTCTCTGAGTCTGAACACAGTAGAAAAAGAGTAGAGTTTGAGTTTCTTGAAATGAAGCCATGCTTTGGATCATTTCTTCCTCTCTACCATGACTCCTTCTTGTGCCAAGTTTCCAGCAGCGTAGATGCATGAGTGTGACAGACACTGTCAGAAAAACATGCCAAATATTGATAAAAGAAATCAATAAGCTTGGTGGCTTGTGATTCCGATGGATCAGACAATTTGGAACTGGTTCTCCATTCCCATCCCTACTGCACACAAAGTTTAAAATTAAAATTAAACCTGTATTGTCGGTCTATCTTCTCCCCGACTACTCAACAGCCTTAGCAGCAGGTTACTCACTCTGACTTGCTCTCCCAGAAGTAAGGTTGGTTCATGGCGATTTTCTTCAGCTCCTGCAGGGTGTCAGTGAGGGTGGCGCTGAACAGCAGCGTCTGACGTTTAGCCGGTAAAATCCCCATGATCGTCTCCAGGTCTTTGGTGAAGTCAGTGCAACCCTGCTCCAACAGCCGGTCCGCCTCGTCCATAATCTGGCAAACACACAGACGAAACCACAAACTGTACTGGTCTGTTGTCAAAACAGTGGAGGATGAAGTAGCTTCAAATGTCCAAACTTGATAATTTCATGGGTGAGCATAAAAAATTAAATAAAAACATTTATAAAACTAATTTCAGAACAGGATTTTGTTATTATTATTACTATTATTACTTTACAGACTCTTAAGGATCTGCATTAAAGAGTATTGTATGTTCATTTGCTGTTTAAAATACATGTAAACAATTGAAGATGTATATGATCATCTGGGGCTGCACAGGGTTTAAAAATTAAAAAAAACACATTAACTCATGAGCTTAATTAAAGCATTAATTTGCACACATGAACTTTGTATTAACTTCATTAACTGTGAAATAATGTATTCACTTCCTGGCCTAAACTTAGTTCTAACATAACTAAACAGATCCTAAGTAAATGAGCGCTACAGCAGAGACAAGGCACTGAAACTTTGTCCAAGTGTCAGTTTGTGTTCCTTCCTGAACTCACCAGAAACTGGATCTTGCTCATGCTGAAGGTGTTGGAGCTGCGGATGTGATCAGCCAGCCGTCCCGGCGTCGCTACAACCACATGCGGTTGGTTGGACAGCTCCAGCGCCTGGCTCACCATGTCTGTCGGTAACACAACAGCGACACTGTCAGCACGGATGTAAGACTCAGACAGAATCCAGCAGTACCTGGCAGCAGTGCTTTATAACTCCAGCACCCTCTCGTAATAAGAGCGGTACACACAACAGAGGGGTTGGCGACATGAGCTCATTCACACAAAGACAATAAAATCTGATCTGTGATTGTAAGCTGAGTGATATCTTTTGTTTTACAGTTTGTAGGATGTGCAGATTTACCCATTCCACCAACAATGATGCAGTCTTTCAGACCCAAAGGCTTCCCAAGGACTCGAAACTGCTCTGCAATCTGATAGGCCAGCTCCCTGCATGACATCACAAATGATACATAATCAGTTGGGAACATGGGTTGGGGTGCTATTAATCTCATAATCAGTCACTTTTAATGTAACAAATACAACAATTCTTATTTTAAGGAGACTATAAAGTGAGGAAAACATACCTATGTATATTATATTCCACTTCTGACAATAGATCCTCCTAAATGTTACACACTGGACTTTTAAAACTCAAACAAAAACACTGGCTCTAGATAGGGATATTCGTGTTTTTCAGGTTCAGGTTTCAATTTGCTTATTTTCTCTTGTTTGTGGTTCTGCTGTTGTGTTTTATTGTGCAAACATAAATACATTTAAAAATGTATTATATATATATATATAAATATAATCACTGTACAATGCTGACCTGGTCGGAGTGAGCACCAAGCAGAAGATGCCATACGGGTCCTCTGACAGTTTCTGCAGCACTGGGAGCACAAACGCTGCCGTCTTCCCACTTCCAGTCTTAGCACAGCCCAAACAGTCCCGGCCTGAGAGGAAGAACAATTCAATTCAATTCAATTTTATTTGTATAACGCTTATTCAAAATAGAAGTTATCTCAGGACACTTTTCAAAACACCTTCATTCACCTGCTCTGATTTACTGACTTACATGCCTCCTGGTTATTTCCAAGGATTAAAAAATATTAAAATATTTTCCTCGTCAAGTGGCTCATCCAAACTCCACTAAAAATATAATCAATTAATTGTATTTTTGCATTATCTACAAACTCACACACTTTGAAGATCAACCCTTTGAATTATTTCTTATCTAGAGAGTTTTCTGGCAAATTCGGCAACAGTCAAATAAAATAAAATCAGATATTTTATAGTTTACAGCCACCAATGTATATGTTAAGGGAGAGAACCAGAGGAAAACAGTGGCCTGATCCCAGACCTCTGAATTGCTGACAACGGGATAATCACCAGCTCTAAAGATAATATTTTAACTAAAACTAAAACCCGATTGGCCCATTTCATATAAATACAAAAAAACAATAGAGTTTTCTAATGTAAAAGTATAAAAGTATTTACCTTCACTGACAACAAGCACTGACCAGTAAATTGATAGATTTGTCAATGGAGTTCTGCATTACTTATCGGGACATCTGAACGTGGGGTCAATAAGATATTCACATTACAGACAGACAGCGTGGTGATCTGTTTTAAACCTTTAGAGTTAACAGAGGCGGACTCACCCTGCAGTATCGCCGGCATACAGTGTTCCTGTACAGGAGTGGGTTTATTGATCCCCAGCTGCTCACACTGTCTAACCAGCCAGTCTGACAGACCGAGCGACGAAAAGTCGGCCATCTCTGATTTATCTGCTTCTCTCCGGCCAGATAACTTCTCCTCTGTACTTCAGAGAAACACTGAACTACTTTATTTTAACGCAGGGAAAAACATCCTCGTGTATTTCATCAGTGGTCGCTGTAGGGTGACGTAACAGCATGACGTATTACGCTGCTTCTTCTTCTTCTTCTTCTTCTTCTTCTGGTTACGCAGAGACGGCGGCGTGTCGCTGCCCTCTGCTGGTTTTATTTTAAATAGGACCTGAAGTAAAATCTTGGTAACATGTTTTCATGTTGACCCCCATCTTTATATAAACTAATGATCCCCCCCCTCCCCTTATAGGCTACCTATATTGTATTACTGTTGACAGTAAGAAGGTAAACAGCTCACCTATCAATATTCAATAAACTCAACTGTAGTTTATCCTTTCAATTCAATTCAATTCAATTCAATTTAATTCAAATGGCTTTATTGGCATGACGTAACGCTGTACATATTAAAAATAATAATAGTAATAATAAAGGAAAACAATACTGACAACAAATTAATTATAATCTATACTGTTGGTAATACTGTGACTATGATTGACTCAATCACAATCAATCAATCTCAGTCAATTAGTAATTAATTACAATCAATTAAAACAGTAGTAAAGTAACAGGCTACAGTTAAAACAAGTAGTCTGTTGTCAATATAACAGTAATAACAAATTATTAAATATAATATATATAATATTAAAATATATTAAAATTAAAATTAAATAGATAAAACTGTAAATGTGTGTGTGTGTGTGTGTGTGTGTGTGTGTGTGTGTGTGTGTGTGTGTGTGTGTGTGTGTGTGTGTGTGTTTATTAAAAAACAACAACAACAAAAACAACTACAACTAAAACAATCAATTATTTTATACATTTATCTGAGTTTCCTTTCTCTGGCGGGAATAATTAACTGTGGGTCCCTACTGACAACTCCACCACCACCTCTGTGTGCACTGTGTATGTATTCTACACCTCCAAGCATACATAAACAGATTGATATCGGTAATGAATTCAATCGACCACAATCCGTTTACTTAGTGGGGCTTTTGGGGGAACTTGCCAGCCTTGGCCCAGTTAATCCAGCCTCGTTCAGCATTAGAGATCTACTGGGTCACATGTTTTGGTGCAACACCAGGCACTCACACTCACCCTGACGCTCCTCCCTATATAAATCAGCTCAACTGTCAACACCTCCACATTTCACAGATCTGTTCCGGCTTACTATTTTCTTACGATTCTGTAAAATTTAAGCAAATAAAAGCTTTTTCAATGACTACATTTTTTTTTTCAGCTGCAGAAGAGCCCTCAGTACTAAAGACTGATCCCCTACTGATCAGTGTCTCTTTGTTTTGAAGCTCCTCACCTGTTCCCTACGTCTTCACTGTATCTGCACTGTTAAATGCAGATGACATTTTTTTAATATATATCTTGCTTGGAAAATATGGGAACATATCGGAGGAAAAGCAATTCATAGTTTCTTATTCTCTATTTATCCAAAGACTTTAGATTTATTCATCTCTACCGCCTGTCCTACAGTCTCACCATCGATGATTGATGATGAAGCAAGACAGTGTTTTAGATCAATAAAAACCTTCTACTTTCTCTGAGAGACAGAGAAATCAAATTGTCAGGTTGTTTTTGTTACAGCCTATTTTCGCTAGTGGTAAATGACCATATATAAGTAAAAAAAAAATACATTAAGAATATCATAAAAAGTATTCTTTATTTATTATAATAATTTCAGGGTGAGTATTCCTTTGCTTCTATGTGTAAATACTTTTTTTTTAAGCAATTATCAGAAGGTTGCTAATGTGTGCTGTAATGGGGTTACAACCTTTCCATCTCCAGCTGGTCTGAATGGATATAAACCCTGAAATATCATCTTAATCAGTCTTTACTGGCTCTCTGTGCTCTCTGATTGCACTGATTTGTTCCTCTGACTGACCTGAAATAATTGAGCCTGAAGCACCCTCTGATGTTTATGAAGCAGAATTCTGTCTGTTATGCGTCGGTCTGAGAGTTAAGAGGATTGCATTCAGCTATAAAAACCCCAGAAGAAGATCATCAATATGCGAGCACAGAGGTTGTGAAGAGGACAGTTTGGGGTGTATCAGTCTCTTTTTGCTGTTCTTCAACTGCCCACTTACAACTTGGATATCAGGGCGTCCCAGACACATGTGATAAGTGATTAAAACAGGGATAAATATGTGGAAAGAATCACTTGTCACTGTGGAAAATTGCATAATATCTTTTTCCTGCTGTGTTTTATTATTCAAAATACAGTCCAGACAATGAAATTAAGTGCAATAAAAAAAAGCTTCTGTGAAAATGACATTTAAGATCTACTTCTCCTTCTAGACTTCCAGTGCAGATGATGACTTGTTTGTCACATCCTGCAGGTATTGTATTATTTTCTCATACCTGCCACAGTGAGTGTGAAGAAGCAACTGCTTGACTGCCGAAGGAGAGAAATCTTCAGCAGACCCATCTGTGTGTGCACACTGTGCTGCCAGAGGTGATTAATGCTCTGTGTGTTACAGGCAGAGGCCTGGAGGTTCAGCTCCATCCTGCCCACACTGTCCAGCTGTGCTGCAAACTGCCTCGAACCGGCTGAGTAGTGTCTTTTTAAATGAACATGAGGGTTGTTTGCATGAGATCTGCTGTTCCCTGTTGCCTCCCCGCAGCACAGAGGAGCAGTCAGCTGAATCGCTGTAACAGGCCACTGAGCAGCACGATTAGCGCACAGGAGCTGCTTCCGTCGCTCTTCCACTACATTTGATGCTCTTGAACCTATATTCAAGCAAATAAGTGGTTTATTTGAAATCAGCAGTGACTCCAAACCGAGGCCCGTATGAACTAATGAGGTGAAGAGTAGCTTTAAGTGTGCTACAGCAGTGAGTTTAACCCGTTTATGAGGAAGGCTGTGACACTTTAATAAGGAGAAACAAATGGGTGAAATATCTTCTAGTGTTCTTTTGTCTTCTTCTTCCTTTTACCAATTAGCAGTTCAGTGAAAATTGTACATTTTCAAAACCGATTTAACATCATGAAAAATCTAAATTACATTTAAACACATTTTCTGTATAATTTTATGTTTCTCTTGTGTGTGTGTGTGTCTGAATAATTGATTGATTGATTGATGTTTTATGACTATAACCTGTGGGTTTCATAAAAAAACATACATTTAAATTGTGCTTTTTATGATGATGTCTTCATGTTTTATGTCATATTATGTGCTGTCATGTATGGTTGTTGATGTTATTGTGACATTTTAGATGTGCTTTGTGCAAAGCGAATTCCCCTAGGAGCAATAAAGGTTTGATCCATAAACCTTATGCAGATTAAAATGGGGGGGAAATTGGCTTTCAAAAATTGCCTATTTAATCAGTGAGATGAGGAAAGACAGCTCAGGAATTCAACACACGTTATTAATCTAATATATGCAAATCATTTTATAAACAGGCACTTTAGAAATCCCAGAGGAACTTGTATCACTTTTATTGTGAGCATGTTTATCTGTTTTTTGATTTATTGGATGTTGGATGGCTTTCTGACGTATCTGTGCAGTATTAACCAGGTTTACCACAGTTTATTATCCCAATGTTATGCGATTTTCAGTGAGATGATTACAGTGATTTGATGACATAATCATGGCAATGAAAAATGCTTCATTCCCTAATGTATAAAAATCACTGTATCGGTGCACAATAGTGAGTTTATTGAGCTTTGTGGTATTTTCCAGTCTTATATTATTTTGCTATCCCACCAACAGAAGGATATTTAACGTTTCCATGTGAGTTTATCCATCATAGTATTTGATGGGATTACCATATAGCTCTGTATAAACAGCTTTATACTGAATATTATCTGATTTAACGTGAGATCAACAGAGTGGGTGCGGGATTGGACATCTGACAGATTATTTGCTGAAGCTTTTTTTTTGTAAAACAGCCATTTGACTTACCACCAGTGGTTCAGATGCCTCGCGCTTTTATTACGCTACACTTCATAAATACACATTGAGGAGGGCTTTTAAGACTGTCCGCAGCCCATTTACACAGATTATATTTCACATTCTGGCATTTAAGTGGGAAGTAGGGACAATGAGTTGGGGGGGCGGGTTTGTGGTTTGCAATGTGGCCATAAGATGGCGCTGAAGAGGCTCCACGGTCCCACCAAGAGAGTTGAATGGGATCCCAGTGTGATCTGGCAGGAGGCGGGAGGGGAGCGCAGCACAAGTCCTGGAAGAGGTTTGAGCCAAAAGCACTCCACTGCCCGACTTTCATCGACATTCCTCCGTCTGTCCTGCCCGCAGAGCTGAGCCAAACGATCCACAGTGCGTAATTACGCACGGGGACGGAAGATCCGCGGTGTTGCTCGCCGTGGAAACCCGTGGACAAAGGCAGGCTGGAGTACAACAACTGACTTGAGAGGAGAGGAGAGGAGTACTGTTGTAGGGGAAAGGGGGGGAGGGAGGGGGGAGATCTGGAGTCGGAAGTGATTTGTCTGTTTTTTTCCAGAAATGTAACTTGCGTCCTGGATTTTGTGGAAGAAGCGAATCAATTTGGAATAACGAGGGAAAAAAAGGACAAAAAGTGGAGCGGTGAGTGGCATCAGACCCCAAACCAGCATCCAGATCCACGGAGCATGGGGTAAGTTTGACTCTTGTGTCTGTTGTACAGTTATTTTACTCTCGCTGTCTGGAAGTGATTTTGTACAGATGGCGAAATACTTGAAAAGTGAACTTTGTGGTGATTTTCTGCGCCTGTGGCTGTTTCTAAAAACCACCTTCTCTCTCTTTTAAAGCCTTTTTGGAGTAATCGATCTGAATTCTAACACCAGTTCCCATGTGACACTGCGTTGTTCTCTTTGTTTACACTCTCAAAGACATAATTGAGAGAGCAAGCTTTTTATTTGTGAACCGTAGAGCTTGACCCAGTTTCATCACAGGTCTGATGTCCGTTTACACCGTAATGTGACTGTAAGAAGGTCAAATTCACATGTTGAGAGATCGTGGCTGTATAACATTGAACCCTTTGGCTGATACACACACGTTTTGTTTAAAATTCAGTCAAGCTGTGCTCAGTCTCGTGTGTGTGTGTGTGTGTGTGTGTGTGTGTTAAATTATACACGCCAGTCTTCAGCTGAACACACCTGAACCCTCCTCACATTACCAGAGTCCATGCTGTCAGCCTCCTCCCTCTGGGCCAGTACTGTGACACTTTAATTGAGAGGATACTAAAATGACTGAATGGGAGCAATTTTAGAGCTTCCTCAGCACTCTGTTATCTCCATAAGTGTTATACTGATATATTTTTGGAAGCCCATTATTACACTATACACTTTATTTACAGCAGTTTTGCTCATATTCCTCTTTTAAAGAGACAATGAAAAGAAATTTACACTGCAGCCCAATTTATATGTCATAATGGACACATCACTTTTAGAAGGTGTTAATGCATACATAGTCTGTTTATTTACAGCTTAAATGAGTCTCTATGGGGGGATATCCAAATTCTACAGACCAGTACTGTACTGAACTGCCCAGTGATGTCACTGAATCCCTCAGAAGACATGCAAGTGTGTCCTACAAATGTCCTTAAGACCAGGCTGAACCTGCACCTCCTCCTCAAAGGAGACACACACAAACTGAGGAACTGCATTCTGGTGGTCCTTTTACTTGTAGTAAAGTCAACTGTGGAGTTTACAGCACAAGTACCAGCTCATTGGGAAGTGCAGTCACACAACATAAAGTTATAAAATGTAACCATGATTCCCTGAGTGGAGAAACTATCTCCCAGTCTTGTTCCATATCACAAATGTACAGTGACTGAATTATCTGCAAGGTGACACTCAGGACCCAACACACGCTCTGAGCAATCTCTAACTCAACCTTCCACCCCACATCTAGTATACCCAGCCATGTACTCAACATGTAAGTGGATGTGTAAATGAGGATGGGAAAGACAAAGTGGTATCTGCACATACAATATCTCTATTATACAGCCTGACAGTGGAAAGTTTCAGGTTGACTGTGCCCTCTTTTCAAGTGATATCAGTGGCACATTAGCACCCACGGAGACCTGCTGTAAAACATCTGCAGCCCAGTGGGGCTTTGAAACAAACATCTGATCTGATGCCTTGGGTTTGATGCATTTATACTGTGAGAGACACAGATCACTCGGTGTCATGAAGGACCTTTTGATAGACAGAGGCAGCCTGCAGCTCTTCTGCCTTCTTGACAGAAGTGAGCGCCTGGAGCAGGAGAGTCTCGATTAACAGCCACTTCAGGTCCATAAACAAAATGAGTAGTGGGTTCACAAGTGCTCTCATGCTGTGTGCAGCTTGCCTTAAAGTACTTATCTATGTAATCTAAACCAAGTAGGTCCCTGTACAAATGAAATATGTCATTTGATGGAGAGAAAGTCTCAACATAATTGAGATCTAAACAAAGCATAGTTTAAGTCTGGCTTCCATTTAACACCTGCTGTAGCTTTTCCACTCTTCCAGTTGAAGGATATATTCATCAGAAACTGATTAACCACACAAAGGCAAATACATGGTAACACAAAATGGCCACATCACAATTTCTTGTCAGTTCCTGAATGCACCATTAAATAAATAAAGAACACAACTGATCACCAGAGGTGTCTTAAAATTTTGCACGAAAAAATCTGCATTTCTTGGTCACATTTGAGCCGACTATTAGTGTGACTAGTATTTTAAAGCACCATTTTAAGTTAACATTGTTTAATCAGAGTGTATTAATTGGTTAGTGTTATGTTTTTACTATTTACAATATTTATATAGTTACTTTATTTTGAAATCTGTCAAACATTGCTGTGATTCAAGTTTTTTTTTCTCTGACTGGATCATTTAATTGTTCAGCATATTTGACCTAAGTTGGATTATAGTTTCCAACCTCATCCTACTTGAGGTAATGCCCTGTGTAGCTGCACTGTATTCTCTGTATTGGGATGTCTGATAATAATCACTGACAAGTTTCACTGGTCAGTTTTTTTTTTTTTTCACTGTGTAACTTGGATCCTCTTTCCCCTTGTTCTGCTGCAGAGGAGTTGCCTGCGAGCTGTAAAATGTTCCCGCTACATCGAGAGAGGTACTAACACATGTCATGTCCGTGTTGTGACTCTGCATGGCAGGGATGGGCGATAAGTTTAGTTTTTGATCTTCTTCCAAATAATACAGAGCATCAGATGACTGTTATTGATACCTGTACCTTCCATCAACATAAGCTACAGCATTCATCTTTGTTTGTATATGGACGTTATTTGTCAGAAAACACTGCAAGTGAAACATTTGCTGAATATTTTTGCAGCTTTGTAATGTAAAAGTCAACATTACATCATGACATTGAGAAAGAGCTTTTGTGTTGGCTCTGGTTTGATACTCAAGAATACAACTCCAGCATCTGTACTTTTGATACCTTGGGGATCAATCCGCCCATCCCTACTTCATCAAACATTTATTTACCTCTGAACAAAATCCACCCTCATCACATCCCCATAATGTTTATCCTCTCTTCGGTTTCTGTGATTGTTCTAACTGTATTGTTGGAGTGGAGGTGTCATGCTTGTCATTGATGTGCAGATGTTGTCAGCTCGCTCTCCTCTTCTTGTTGTCTCTTCCATCATATTGTCCTCCTGTCAGCAGCTCCACTGCAGCTCGGCTGCTCTGTATACTGTTGGGTTGTTTTGACTCTTTAACAGTGCATCATGTTTTGTAAGATGTTGGTATGTTTTGCACATCAAACCTTGATTTTGGAAACAACTGAAGCTGTCAAATATGTAGTGGTGTAAAAAATGCAATGTTTTCCTCTGACATGCAGTGGATCGAAATCCTCAAGAGACATACTGTCCGTACCGATACCTCAAACCACTGCTTCCCAACCTGTGAGTCCTGGTCCCAACTAGGGGTCACTAAATCTTAATGGGGCGTTGCAAGGCCTTGTTGATTTTATGGGCTGTAAGAAAAGATGTAAGAGAAATATTAGTAGGCCTGTATCTCAGTATTTCATTTATTTCTGTGGAAACCAAATGGAATTGTTATTTTTAAAGTTTTAAAGATTATTATTTAAGATATAAAGTAAAAAACTCACAGTATAAGGCACTTTGAAGGCCTGAACACAAGCTTTATTCCCAGAGCGTTCACTCTCTGCTAAACAGCCTTATCCTGAGTTAGAAAAGTATGCAGTTAAAATAACCAAAGAGCTTACAATGAAAACACGCACGCGCACACACACACACACACACACACACACACGGCCCTTGTGTGTGATTTAAAAACAAAAAAACATAATACAGACAGACAATAACATAAAAAGTTCCTAAAAATGTTAGTAAAAGTCATCTCTGGGGCAGTATTCATAGGAAATAATTTTACACACAGTTACACAATTTTACAACGTCATGCAGTTATTGCTATATTACTATTTGGGTACCATGTACAGGCTATCACTTGTTCTGTACTGTTATTGCTGTGCACTGAAAGAATATAAAATATCTTTAAAATATATCACTTAGTCGGGGGTCGTCATTTTACTCAATGATAGAAAAGTAGTCTTAAGGAAAAAGGTTGGGAACCAGTGCCTTAATTCACTCAAATCCAAGCTAACAGCCTTGTCGCACTGTAAAATGAATAATATATTCTCCTTATAAGCCATTTGATGTTTGATTCTCAAAAGATGGAGTATAAGTATAAAATTATAGCTCAACATTTCAAGAGATGAAATGTCACTTCAATAACACTTTCCACAAGTGGTATCAATCTTCTCAACTCTGAAAAAGAAAGTGAACGTGATTGACCTGAAATTCAATTTCAGTTCAATTCCCTTTGCTCTGAAGCATATGAGAAGGTAACAGCTGTTAAAAAGCAGTGTATATTTAGACAGTGTGTGGCATTTTGTCACAGTATGATCATCTATCTACATAATTACAGAGGAGTCATTTGGGACGGTGACGATATTGCTGCCCATATCATCTCATTTGCTGTTGAAATCTGCCTTAACGTCACCGTGCAGCCTCCCTCTACAGCACAGAGGATGTCTAAACTTTGGTTTAATCAGTTAATCTGCAGCATAATGCCATAAAAACGGTTCAGCGTCTGCGTCCTCCCACTGGCCAAGGAGAAACCAGCTGGTCTGTGGGGAGAAGAGCTTCCTAATTGCTGTTTTGGAGACATCTGCAATTGCTAGAATAAACAGTCATCCCGGCTCACTCTCTTTCTGTTCACTTCATTTCACAGTGTTTTATTGGCATGAAAATGAATAACAGAACCGCTGGAGGATAGCCATGAAAGATCAGGTCTTTTCTCTGTCTCTCCGTCCTGACCTTCATATCAAAACACTCTCAGCTTTTTGTCACCTTCACTGTGTGAGACAGCAGTAAGTTATCAGTCATACTTTTGCAAGAGGAGCTGACCTTCAGATAACTGAAGTGCTGTTGTTCAACACAACCAGAGCTCATGGTTTTGGCAATGTTGACACTTTAAGGCTTGTGGTCATGCAGTGTATTGTTCGACATCTTCTGAAAAACCCCTTTCACTTGTTTCACACCAAAGCTTACTTTGCAGCAATGTTAAAAATCATGTGCCATGTATATGTTATGCTTTAGATTTGTTGAGCAGCTACAGTATGAGTTAGCGTTCACACTCACGGTGCTATTTTGGTATGTAGTTGTAGTTTGCGTGTCATGTTGCTGGACTGGGCCAGACACTCTCGCTGGCTCAGGAATGTGGACACGAGGCTTTCTTACTCTCAGAGGTCAGAGGAAGCACACCCGTAAAGGAGAAATGCTTTTAGAGGAACAAAGTGAAACTGCCAAAAAGAGAAGCAAAAAAATAAAAAAAATCTTTTCCTGTCTGAGAAACCTGAAGTCCCCAGAGGCTGAAAAAAACCATAGCAGACTTCCATTTTTTTTGTGTGTTTTAATGCGCAGATGGTGAAAAATGATGCTCTGCTGATGAAGCACTCAGCTGACACTCTCGTTTAGACCGAATTTACTCTTTTCTAAGTTTATGGGTCAACATGTGTTTTTCAACCTGACAGGCCGAACATGGCTCTCTGTGAATACCTTCGGATTACTGCAGAGCTGTTAGAAGACTTCTAGAGATAACCCTGTAGAACGTACGTACTGACAGCAGTTTCTCGCCCTCTCAACTATATATTTTGCTCGGATACTTGAATGTGAATAATATAATGTGAGTTGTTGCATAAACTAAAGTTACATCAGACCATCTGCAGTCTTTCCACACTCATGCATCTCCAGTATAACAGCAATACTGCAACACTGACCGCTCAAGTTAAAGGATAGGATCACAGACTGTCAGCACTCACATGTCCATGCGCACATTAAAACAATCTTTCTTCATAATTCTTCCTCTTGTTCATATTGGCCACAAAGAGATCCACAGTCCTTCTTCTCTGTAAAAATGCATTTCAAAGCTTCAAAGCATCAAATAGTTCTGTTTCACAGTGAGTTTTTTTAGTACAGCAGCCCTTCTCTCTGTCCTTCACTCAGCAAGGAAACGCTGTCTGCGGAAACAAATAGAGGATGTTTTGTAATGAAAAGACTGTAACTTTGGAAGATTTTTTTGTTGTTATGACTAAGTCTGACTGAATGCTTCATATTAACTAAATCCATTGTTGCACAGTATGAGGAAAGTGCTTTTTGTCCCTCATTAATCACTTTGATTAAAACCTTGGAAGGGCTCTCTTCACTGTCAATATGCACAGGATGAATAAACCAGTGAACTTTTCAATGTACATATAGTATGTGGCTAAAGACTTGAACAAATGGGAGCCTATTCTCTACCTGAGATTTCTTACATCAAGGGTTTTTTTTTTGTGATATTGGGCTGAATAATTGGCTTGACTTGAAGCACATAGTGGTATACTATAATATAATATAATGTAATGTTATGTTATATGGCATCAAACATGCCCAGAGCACAAATATATTGGAGTTACTACAACGACATAAAACAGAGAGAAAAGGAGCAAATCCTCACATTTTGAGATGCTGGAACCAGCAAAAGGTTTGACATTTGTATACCTGGTGCTTTGACCCTCACTTAACCTCTTAGCCATCTCCCTCATCAGATCCCCTGCAAGTTTTCTGATCTACTGTTTAAAGTGTGAATGCTGACTTTAAAGTACAACCAATAGGATTTGTGGCAGCGAGTTTTGCAGCTTCCTCATCCCCCCGAGGCTATTTACAGCCCGCAGAGCTTATAGGCTCCATTTATTGGCAGTTTAAGGAGTATTTTCTCAACTACAGAAGTGACTGGTCTGGTCTGACTGCAGGCCAGACAGGAGGGTGCAGCTTCTGTTTCACAGATCAGAGATTCAGGGCGTTGAATGGATACTGAAGTTAAGAAGAGAGATGAAGAGAGCAGCGAGAGAGGATTAGAAAGTGATGACTTGGGGTGAAGACACACAGATCTCAGCACCACTGTGTGTGTGTGTGTGTGTGTGTGTGTGTGTGTGTGTGTGTGTGTGTGTGTGTGTGTGTGTGTGTGTGTGTGTGTGTGTGTGTGTGTGTGTGTGTGTGTGTGTGTCTGTGTGTGTGTGTGTGTGTGTGTGTGTGTGTGTGTGTGTGTGTGTGTGTGTGTGTGTGTGTGTGTGTGTGTGTGTGTGTGTGTGTGTGTGTGTGTGTGTGTGTCACTGAATAAGAAGTAGGTTTAGAAAAATCTGAGACCAGCTGAGTATTTTTTTTAAATTTCTGGTTGTAAGCTTATCACAAATTGTATGAAAGTAATATTTAATGAATGTATTCATTAAACATCAAATCTCATCCAATTTAAACCGGTTTAAAATGAGACATGAGTGGTTGAACTACAGGAACTGAAGGCATTGTGTGTTGCTCAGAGCTCTTCAGCACTGTGTGGTGGGTGTCAGTTGTTGTGTTGTTTGATTCTTGGCTCAACTATTTGCCCACAGAGCTGCTCAAGTTCTTGGTTGTGTCTTGTTTGTTAGGAATGAACAATGACCCCAGAAAGAACACCAGTATTATGATCTCTCTTTTTTATTATTTACACACACCACATCTGAAGGTTTCCTACATAGCGAAACTTGTCTGGCCCAGTGATAACCCACACAGCCCACTTACATCTGGCCCAAGTGCAGCAATGAATTACAGTCCAGAGGTGGTCCAGACAAATGAGGAAACTAACCGAGTAAACGCTAGGCCTGAACATAAACAAAAAGATAAGGCTGTGTCTTTGCAGTACTACAGTATTTGATTATAATGCTGTTTGGACACACATTAGACTTTTCATCAGAGATTGCAGCTCCTGAAACTTGTCTGGTCCAACATAGGGCCAGAATAGGGCCAGCTAGCTGACTGTGATATGGTTATGTTATGGGCCATATGTGGCTACCGCCTTTTGGACAGTAATTCGTTGCTGTATTCGGGCCAAGTGTATTGGGCTAGACCAATTTTGACCAAAGTTGTTCATTCAGGGAACATTACAGAGCAAGTCTTGAAACCTAGGCAGAGTCGACTAGGCGATGATTAGCTGAATAATCCAGTGTTTGATCGACAGAATTGGCAACTGTTTTTTGATGATTGATTAATTGTTATTTTTCAAGCAAACATACCAAACAACTTCTGGATTTGCTGCTAATTTGGGGTTTTGAACTGTTAATCAGATAAAATAAAGCAAGTTGTTACCTCAGGCTTTAGGAAAGTTTGATGGGCATTTTTTACAATTAACCGATTGATCGAGAAAATAATTATCAGGTTAATTGATGATGAAAATTATTGTTAGTTGGCACCGTGATGCCGACCTGTAACTTCCATCATTAAGTTTTACATGTTGTATTTCCCACTTTGTTCGTTCACTCCTAATTCTGATGTTTTTTGAAGACGGCACAAGTGAAGAGAAATCCATGTAGCTTCAAACTAGTTGTCTTGATGTTTTGAACTCTGCACGTGTCTTTCCTACATCATAGTCAGTTTGGATCTATATGAGATGTGATTTCTAAAGGAGGCAATGAACCGTTATTGAAGATGTGCGAGCAGTAATTTGTAATTGAGCACGAAGGCCTGTGGTGAATGCAGCCACGTAGGTCAGAGAAAGTGTATTAAAGCCTCCTTGTTCTGATTCCTCCCCGTAGAAAACTCAGCCCTCGTACTGTCTGTCTTCCAGCTCGTCCAGATGGAGCTATCATACAAGTCCCTCTGTTTATGGCCTTTGCTGCAGACGGCAGCCAAACACTTGTAATATTTTCCTGTCCCTGAGAGGAATTATTTCATCTGTGTGAATGTGAAGCATGAAGAAGAGCTTGCATGCTCAGCAGAAGCCTCTCCAGGAGACATACTGGAGGAGTAAAAGGGCTGTATTGTTTGGTCTGACATTTTATCAGATCACTCATCCTGTATGTACACCCATAACCTCAAATTCATCTGAATACTTAATGGCAATTAATTTATCATGAGGGTGGAGTTGCCTCCTCCTCTAACTGGTGTGCTTTTATGGGGAATGTAGAAGACTGTTAGTGGATTAAAGAAAACTTAAAGCTTCAGCCATCAGCTCAGACTCAGCTGCTTTACCCTCCAATTCTCTGACAATGCCCGAATATCAAATAAAGGTTTACTTAATGCAAACTTCCAGAAGTTTTTTTTTTTAAGGGAAAGTGTAGTTTTAAATCCGTCAGTTGGCACCACATCAAAATCAGGAGATGATCCAACGGTGACAGCCCCCCCTGCAACAGACCGCTGCCGGCTTGTGCGGTGCATGAATACAGAGACGTGCAGGAGTGAAGATAAAATGTCCTGGAAAGGCATGAAAAGTGCTTGTGCCCATGAGGTTTGAACCACACTTGAGGATTCAGCCCTGTTCCCCTGCTGGCCTGCCTGTCTGCCTGGGCTCAGATCCCAGCAGAGCTTTCCCTCCTGTGTCTCCCGGTTTTGCCTGTCTGTCTTTTTCTGTCTCCTTCACTCTGACCCTGAATACAAAATAATAATAAAAAAATCCAAAGGGGAATGTACTAGCTGTTCTAGTTTTTATAACAGGCTGTTCCTTCAGAGTATCCCAAACAAAACCATCTGTGAAAAGCTTCTCCAGTAACTCACACTGGTTTTAGCACATCTCTAGTTTAGGCAACAATGGCAATAAGAATGTAGATAATTATTTTTTTAATATTTTGTCATCTGAGCATTTATTGCCACTAATTCAAATTATTTTTGTAGTTGTCATTTTTAAAGCACAATGCTGAACATTTCTTAGTCCTCAGCTTCTCAGTTTTAAGGATTTTCTGCTTTTCTTCTGCATAACGTGGTTTGATTAACTGGATATTTTGGAGTTTTGGAGTGTTGGTCAGACAAAACAGGCAATTTGAAGACATCAGCATGGACATTTTTTAACTATTTTCTGACATTTTATAGACCAAACCATTATATATTGATGTATTGAGAAAATAATTGACATTTTAATGAATAAAGAAAACAGTAGCAGGTCTGATCCCCATGCAAGAGGATGTACACTGAGGGAGAAAAGAGGAATTCAGTTGGAAAACAAACTTTTGACTCTTTGGTTAAGGGTGAGTTTCTCTAATTATGAAATACCTTCCACATTTCCCCTGATAGATAAACTAAAAGTAGCATTTGCAACTAGTGTGAAGGAAAACACATCTTTATCTTCACACAGCAAAGTACAAAGGGACATTTTTAGAAACTTGTTATTCTCATTTGCTCTCAACTCATTTGTTTGGAGGTTAGAATGGTTTCTGTGTGGAGAAAATCTGCACACAGCATTTAAACATAACTTAAATTACAAACAAAAATTAGTAGTAGTTTCTAGTAAAACCTTATTTTTTTATGATATATTAAATCTTAGTATCATTATATCTTAACTTCATCATGAGACACGCAGACATTGTAGTTATGGTTCTCAATCATGAAATCAATTTACACCTCAATAAACATGTCCCATTTTGACCCTTGTAATTATTGAGCTGTAATCTGCAAGTCTCCCTCCGCTCATGCATGGATGCGTTGCAATGAGTGAGTGCAGTATGATGGAGGGGGAGGGATAGGGCGGATGTATATTTGACCTGGAACTGTTTCACAATAATTGATCCAGATGATCCCCTCACTGGAATTAGGTCTCAGGCAGCAGCAGAGGAAAGTAACTGCAGCATGAAGATTTACACTATTATAGAACATTTACAATTTGTGTACCTGAATACAGTTTACAGGTACATACACACAGGTAGTAGCAGCAGCAGCAGCAGATCAACTTACGAAATATGATGCATTGCTTCTTATGGAAATACCCAACAGTACGTAAAGTAATTTTAAAACCAACCAACCAGGACCAACATTATAAGTCTGTGCACATGGTTCAGTAATGATCTAATCATATGACTGTATGTGTAATATAGTGTATTTCTGTACTTGCACAAAATGTGGAGTTAGTGTGTTACACCGGATAAACCAGTATTCCGGTTTGAATTTCCTGTAGTTTATGAACTTTTCATATACTGTTGCATAGATGGAACAACTCATTTGTTTCTTGTGCATCAGTTTATATTGATTTTACAACTATTTTAAAG